GATGGAAAGATAAGACTTTGTGAAGTAGACTTACCTGAGAGCCTTTCTATTACAGGTTTTACTATATCTGAAATGAGCATTTCGAGTGAAAAAACACACAGTTTGAAACTCAGAAATCATCAGAATTTATAAATTCTGAATCGGACAATTTTCTAAGATTTTGTTATAGAGTTCATTTTTGGAAACGAAATTCTCATTGAACGAAAACCCAGAAAACTGAAAAAACAGAGTAATCCTCCTAATTCCATTTGGTTTTCGGCAACATTTAGCAAATCTGTTCGAGGCATTTCCTTTTTTACACATAAGCTGTTTATTTGAAACCCCTCATATAAAAAAGAAACACACATTTGCTGCTTCTGATCTGAAAATAATCAGAACATGCGTCAGTTGTTGCTTGCTATTCAAATCTGAGAAGCTGAAAAAATTGAATAACGTAATCAGCATATTTTTATGTGATTTCCTGTTCTGATTTTAAGCTGAATGGGCCTTTAAGATTACTGGGCTTCAAGGAGCTTCCAGAGATGATCCCTGTCTAGTATGGCACAATTTGGCGCCAATCTCTGTATTTGTATAAATTTTCGTCCAGTCTCGCTTTCATAATTATCGATGAGTGATGCCAATTATGTCATACCTAACGACCTGCAATTATGTAGAGGGCTCTCTCTAAATCGATGAAGGTCGCACCATTACCCCCGTGTTTCAATTCGAAAATGGTAATTGAGATTCCTCCGTTCGAAAGGTCTGTAAGAAAAATGTTCAACATTCCCCAATTCCTTTTGTTCATTTGCCCTTTCTGTGTATGAAAAGTTCATGATCAGCATACCAATAAAGTATCAAATATTGTGTATTTCCTTCTCTATTGTTCACCCATATCATAGTGTCCCTTGTTCTCCGTTTTACATGATAAAAGTGAGCTAGAAGAATGAGGAAGAGATGTGTGTCTGTTAGGAAAAAAGAACAAGGAAGAAAAATAGAGAACAGACAAATTCAGTATTCGTATAATAGAAAATCCTCTCCTCTTCTTCTTATTCATTGCGGGTTAGCAGAAAAAGAAGAAGAAAATTGGGGTTTTGTAACCGGTGATTACGAATTCACGATAATCATGGACTCTGTCTCTTCTTCTTCCCTTCTCAATAAGTGGGTGAGAGCAACGATAAGAGCAACAATTCATTGGATTCACAGATTGAATTCACTTGAAAGACGCTGGATGAGAAAGCAGTCGTGTGGAAAAATATGTTTTTCGAAATGTTTTAGAATTGAATGTTTGGATAACGCTGCTCGAGTGAAAATGAGAAAAAAAAATAGAAAAGGGAGCGAGCTGCTTTCCAGCAACCTGAACTCTTGGACCCTGATCAAAAGAATTCAAATTTTATGGTTTCTAAACAATGTTTTTGGGAAATAGAATTTCTTTTTTTTAAGAAGTATTTTCGAATCTGACAGATTCAAAAATATCTGAATTTCAGAAATGAATGGTTTCAGAATCTCGGAAGCTCAGCTTCTCAAAATTGGGGATTCTCAGAATATCGCTATCACGAACTTTCAGAATCTTAAAGCTTCAAAATCAATAAATCTTTGAATCTGAAAAATATCATAATCTTGTAATCTCGAAGGCTAAAGAATCCAAAATCTAGGATCCGCAGAAAATCGAAACGAAAAATCCTGAGAATCTTAGAATCCGGAAACGACAAAATCCGAGAGAACTACTGAAGAAATCTCGTGGAATACGCAGAAGTCTCTGCTGTTGATATAGAAATCCAAATATTGGATGAAATTTATCCCTCACTAACGATATCAAGATTTTACGATGTGAGCAGATGACTATTTATTCGATGTGGTTCTGTTTTGAATTTCCTCCTAGACAGGGAGAACTAATAACACAGAAAACAAATATGACTAATCAGAAAATTTGAAATACAGAAAAAATAAAATTTTCCGAAACGCATCAATTCGAAAAAGAAGGAACTGAAACTTGACAGCTTCTCCTTTGGGTTTTGTTGTGAGCCCCTCTCCTTTTTTTTAAATCGCATCAATTTTTTTTCGAAACGCTGCACTTTTCTTGCGGGTGTTGAGAAAAGGCAGGAAGGAAGAAGAACAAACGACTATTCAACTCTCATCGGTGTAGTCGATAGGGCCTTGCAATTAATGACGTATTGTTCGAGGTTCACTTTCGGGGTGGTCTAAATCTCTTTGTGTCCTCATTGTCCCTCTTTATTCGATATCCTGTCAAGGCCGGTCTGTCAATTTTACTAGGTAGCAGATGGTGGTGGTGTAAGTAAAGAGAGCGTAAAGAAGATACGGCAAGGAGACGACGACGGGTAGCCGTCAGACTTTTTATTGATCGTTGGCCTCATTGTAAAGAGGTTGAGGCCGAAGGAGGGTGGAGAGAGAGAGAGAAAGAAGGAAAGAAAGCGCATGTTTGTTTGAACGACGACCTCAGCCGATCTTTTTCTTTCTTTCTCGCAGCAACCCTCTTGCAATAATACAATTGATGATTCAGCGATGAATAGAGACACAGACACAAGTGGGGGTGACGTGGAGGTGATGAATGGAGTCAGAGAACAAAGAAATTGAGCTGAAGACGAGACTCGTTGTATTTCAAAAAATCAAAATTCCTGAATTCTGACGGGTGGGGATTGTAAGAAAAGGTTTCGGACTAAGGAGAAGTACTACATTTCATTTTCCGCATATTGAAAGTTGTTTTGTTAAGGGTAAAACCGTAAGATTTCTTAAAGGCGCAAACTTACTATCTTATCTGCGTTTCGAAACCGGTCAATATGCAATTCTACATGTACCTTTAAGAAAAAGTACGGTTAGAGATTTTGCGAACACCGTCCAGAAAACTTGCAGACAAAGACGGATTTTTCTTTTTTTTTTCCCCAACCCCTTTTTTAATACTTTTGAATTAATATTTTTCATGCTGAAGTTAAACTTCATCTCTCATAACGTCCCCCATTGAGTTGCACATGCTATCTCCAATAGCAACTCTATTCTATCAAGCAGCTAGTGAACACATGCTTATTCCCATGTACATGTATCACGCGACAGTGTGTACAAAATGATTAACAATGAAAACACCACTTTGCCTTATGTTAAATTTCGAAATTTTCAAAATTTTCAGACCTAGTAATGGAAATATAGCTATACAATCGATGTAATCGGCCTTAAAAACAGGTGGAAATTCAATACGTTTGGGGGAGAATTAAGCTTGCAACAAGCTAAAATGATGTCTTATAGTGTATGCGAATGTATGAAAACGACGTGCGAGGAGTGCGGTTGTCTTTCTCGCAAACACTCACCACACCCCACTCGTACTAACATTTGCAATGCGACCCTGCATCACATGACTATGCGCTCTTTCCGACACACAGTCCATCGTCGGACACACAACGATTCACCGACCAGAGAGCGCCTCTTTTCTCTCGCTTTCCACTTCGGCAGCATTCTCTCGGCCCTGACAACGACCCGTCTAACCAAAACACTCACTCCGTCGTATTCTTCTTGTTCGTAAGGGGAGAGAGGCTAAAGCTTTTTCCTTTTTTCCCTTCTCCTAAGAAGCTCTCCAACAGAATAAAAGAGATTTCCTACTTAAACATGTTCGCAGTCACTAGGGAACGGATTGAAATAGCACGGACACAGTTCTCTTTTCAGCAATAATCAACCTAAAACTGCATCCATCTAAAATCTATCGTATTCTCATAAGAAATTCTTGGAAGAAACAACATATATGAACCTAGACAATTCGATTGTTGTTGAAGGCACAATATCTCGAGAGTTGAATCCAAACAAATCCAACTAAAAACTTCGGGAAAAAATGAATCATGGCAGATGAAGTGGACTCCGGAAAAGGAAGTGAGCAGACGGTGTCTTTATTTTTTATTTCGATAAAATGGATAAGAACATATGCGTTTTTGGTTATATTCGAAGCTAAATGAGAGGAGTACGCCACGAAACACGACCAAAGCGCGTATACAATGTGTGTCGGACAGTCGCTGCTGTTTGGGAAGGAAGTAGGATGGTGGGACTAGAGAGGGGAGGCCGCATCGCAGTGGCGACGTATAGCGAGAGATGGGCGGCTGTGCAGAGACTTTGTACATACAACGTTGGAATAGCATGGAGGAGAGAAGCAGACGAGGTCGGAGACGCAAAAAGACGCTTTGAGACACAGACAGACAGACGGCGACGACTGCCCGGGCACGTTTGTGCGAGCGACGCAAAGCGAGTGAATGACAACGCGACGGGGGCCTTTCTCTCTTTTGCGAGCGCGACCGTCATGTTGCTTGTGAGTGTCGTTTGAGCGGTATGAGCGTCCGTGAGTGGATTCAGGGACTAGAGACGACCTCCCGCCAATACCCCCGTCGCCCACCCTGACGCCCGTCCACTCAAATCGGCGTGTCCAGTAGCGTTTTCGCCACCGTTCACTCGTTCGTCGCTCTTTTTCCCAGTTCTCGTGGGTCCCGGCAACCTATTTTGGCCCTCAACCGACTCTTGATATCGTATTTATCGTCCCGACATATTTATGCCAGTTAATGACCCTCATGTTCGATCATGCCACAAAACAAATGTTCTTAGATGTTCCTGTGCTGTCTCAGCAATTATTATTTCACTGGAAAGACAACTATTTGAGCTGTTGAAGTCTCTATAGTGGGATTCCTCTGAAGTAGCATTTTTACTGAAATTAGGTGGAACTCGAAAAATATCTTTTGTATTCTCGTGCGAATTGCTTGACACAGTTTAAAAAGTTATCAGAAAAAAAAGTTATTAGATAAGACCGGCATGTCATGTCGCTGATCAAAATCGAATGAAAAACAAACTAGCCTAATTCGCCATTAGTTTTTTTAACTTTCTCTTTTCCACTCTGTATTCTTTTTGACCTTTTTATCACTATTCCCACCTTCGCGTATACATATGCATTAACTATTCCTTCAACCTTTCCGATTTCCTGCTAGTGCTAACCCACGCAGCTGTTCATATTTTCAGAGCCTGCCTTCTGCAATGTTGAGATGGTACATGCTCCGCTTAAAAATGCAATAAGAGAATCTCGCCACGTGGCAGTTCATGGACTACCACGAACCATCCCGGATGAAGACCTACACAAATTTTTTTCCAGGTACTTGTGTCCCAGTTGGTCTTTATAATATATATGTATTCATAGATTCGGACCGATACAACAGTTGTTTCGGTCACCAGAAGACCTCGAAGGCGTCCTTTATATCACCTATATGGACACTCGTTCAGCTTCAGTTGCATGCAATAGCGAGAAACAATTTAACAAAGATACACCGTTTCGGATTGAATACTGTAATCCAGAAACACTACCTAACATGCAGTAAGTTTTTGAGATATTGGTTTTGAACCACTTTTATTCTTTTTTTCTCAGCATGGCTTCACACCCATCGACGGCTAATACGTTGCCACACAGATCATCTACACAGCATGCTGGAGATAGACGATCGCCGAAAAGGTTCGTCTGTGCTGATGAAAATACGTGTCTAAATAAGTATTCCAGAAGTCAATCTGAAACTAGCAACGGACCAGTTTATCCACAATCAAAAGAGGGGTAAGAATTAAAATGAGACGGGGAGAGATGCCGCGAGGGTAGTCGCAGACAACGAGACATTTAATAGACATCGAAGAGAGAAAAAGAGAAATAGGGAAGAGAGATTGTTGACCCTCTGTCAAGGCGACTGAGGACGGGGAAGACGGCCCCCCGAGCGGTCGCGCGCACCAGACATTTTTACCCTTCATCTTTTTTCTAAAATATGAACTGAGTGGGAGGTTCTATCGACTAATGGGGGGGGGGGGCACAATGGAGAGGGGCCGAATATCGACTTTTGTTATCGACTTTTTAGGAGGTTCACCTCCATTAATTTCTTGTCATATCCATACTTGTAACGGGCCGGGCCGAGCCGAGCTTTTTCCGGAATTTCGGAGGCCCGGCCCGGCCCGGCGGGCCAGTCATTTCACTAGTTTCGAAATTTTCAAAAAACACATAAGGGGAGGCCCTTATGTGATTTTTTTTCGAGTTTTTCGATCTTTTTTGATCAGACAGACAAACAATCCGAAATACGAAAAAAAATGGAAAAAATTATATTGAGAGCTCAAAATTTGGCTCAAAAATACAGAATTTTTGACACCGGGCCTTCCGGGCCGGGCCCGGGCCTTGAAAATTTCCTCCGGCCCGGAATTTTACAAGTATGGTCATATCTACTATCTCTTCCTCTATTTCACACCATCTCTCGACATGTTCTATCTTGATCTCACTGATGAACCGCTGACTATAGGCATAACACATTTTTCACCTTTTTTTTGAATGAGAAGTTCTGTAATTTCAAACTAAATATTTTTTTGTTGTTGTTTCTATTCGATCTGTGTAACGCGTCTTTTCCGATTATAGGCTGAAGTAGTAGTAATAATTATGAGGGATTTACTATCCGTAATGACTGATACATTTTCAGGAGCAACATACCATCAAACCCAGAAATAGTGGCCACTGTGCACTTCACTGTGTGTCCCGGAAACGCGATGGAGAAAGAAGTGTGGGATCGAGTGAAGATACACTCGAAAAGATCCGGAATTCCACATACTATTGTATTCGATCAGAATTCGAATGTGCCAGGCCAGAGGAAGCTGATAGTACATTACAGACAGTGAGTTAAATGCGGTCAAGTTTTCGAAACCTTTGCAATATTCAGGTTCGACCGAAATAAACTGCAATCCGACAAAAGCTTACTGATGGGATCACCAGCGGATTTTCATATAGCATGGTATGCGAGAGAACATACAGAATTGTATATTCTTTTGTCCCTGTTTTTCATTGAACAACGGACTTTTTTCCAGGGATAAGAATGAATCGAAGGTTGAAAAGAAAATGCACGTCACCGTACAGATACTTCATAAAGAGGGAACTACAAAGGATCTTCATTTAGAGGAAAGATTTTCACAATACGGTCAGGTGCTGGATGTATTTCTTGTGAAGGCCCCTCAGCGTGGATATGTTTTCGCTGTCATCGTGTTTCCTCGAGTTGCAGACGCTCACAGGGCAATGAATGACAAACAAGAACCGAAGGTTTGTGTTGAGATTGTTCCGCCTTGAAAATGCTAATTGATCTTCTAACAATTATGTTAATGCGCTCATAATGCTACAGTTCGAAAAGCCACTGGTCTTTTTTTTTCTGAATCAATTCTTGGCAATACTTTGAAATTCAAATTCCAACCAAAAATAAATAAGCTCAGAAGTTTTTTTCTTTATCGAGAGCCCCCTAAAAAACAAGATGCAGTTTAAAAATCTATTGTTTTGAAGGAAATTCGTCAAAATAGTGTGCGAATTTTCAGCCTTTGGCATACGCGGCACCTCCATCTAGACGCCTACTGGTAATGAACACCCAGCCGAATACCATGGACCAAACGCTGGTGGTGGTCCGAAGTTATTCAGACGACATCAAAGATATATTGGTGGATTACGCCGAAAGGAGGGCAGTCGTAATCTTCGAAGATATTAAAAAATGCACGGAATTGATGAGAAAGCTGAAAGTGCCTACTAAACAGTAAGTCTTCAAATTCAATTCTTAAAACTGTTTACTAAGAACTGACTACGCACAAAAGACCATTTTCAAAGGCCTAACTAGCTGTATCTCTGTCTAGTTATAACTGCGATTTTGAATTCCAACTTTCCTGGTTTCTCTTCTCCTCTATTTTCCGTGTGAAATATCCGCGCGTTTATTTTGCATGCAGCTGAGTCGGTGTGAAATCGAGAAAAGTGTTTATCATAAGCAACCTCAAAATGAAAAGCTGAATCCAATCTGAAAAAGAAACTTCAGTATTCAATACAAATTAATAGTTATGCGCAGTTTTCAGCTGTTCGGTTTTGCTAATTAAGGAAACTTTCTGAATTAAGATACGAGCAAGCTATGCGAAAAAATTATTTATGGTTAAAAAAACGGTGCTTCTCTCTTTTTTCTATGTAACGCTCGCGCTTTTTCATCTGACCATCTCCTACACTCTGCGTATCCTCCTTTCATTTTCTTCACATGCATTTTGACGGGAATGTGAATAGAGGGACTGGGTGGAAGGGCCGTGGCTTGTTGTACCGGACGTGTGTGGGCACCCAGTCAATCATTGCGCGTCTGGCGCGGAGAGAGTTATTTTGCACTAAAGTTTATTGCCACCACCACCACCACCACTAACAACGCAAACATCCTTTAAATACAACAGGGTGTTTGGTCGCATGACAAAAACCCGAGAGCAGTCTAGGAGATGCTCAGATATTTGCACCCACATCATTTGTGAGATCGAGAAGAACATGTGGTATGTAGTCCCCTGAAATATTAGGATCATTATCTCGCGCCTAGTATCTCAAGCATTATAGAAATAAATGTTTGAAAAAGGGCTTCAATAGATTTGAAATATATTCTCAATGTTTCATCATAACTAAATAAAACTTCATTACAGTCGTTACAGTCACTACATAGAGCAATCAACTGCAGTGGACTATTGCCCTGATAAGTTATACGATTTTATCGTAGAGGCCACTGAAAGACGAAAACAGGAAGCAGCCGAAAAAAAGAGACAAGCCGAGGAACAAGCTGAAGCTGAAAAAACGGATGGTCTATCAAGAAACACAGATACAGCTCATGCGACGCCATCGGGTTCTTTATCACAAGGTCATAAGAGCGCGAGAGAATCGAAATCATCAGTGGAAGAACAGCACAAGGATCAAGAGGAAGCAGAATGCTACGGCACCCCGTAAGTTTAGCTCCGACATAATTTAAGAGCAAGGCGTTTCAAAATTCGGACAGTTCAAAACCGGACATTTTGACATTCTGATAATACAGAGACAAGACAACAAAATGGTTTTCTGACCAAATACATTTTTAAAATGTAAATTTTTCGAATTTTTGGTAGTGTTCTATTAGAAATAAAAACCATCCGAAAGCCATAGCACCATTGTTGTACTCTAAAACCTATCAATTCGACTGCATTATCACGGTTGCGAAAATTTCTGGTTTTGAAAAGTCCGAAAATGTTTCAAATATTTCAATCATCCCTAAGCTGAGCCGTGTTTCAGCTGGATATTGCTTTCATCACTTTGTTTTGGAAACTTGTCATTTGTCTGTTTTTCAGGTCAACTAGCAACGAATGCAACGCAAAAGAAAATTCAGATGATGATAATGGTTTTTCGGGATCCGGATTGAGGCACAGTCATGGTAAAAGTGAAGATGGCGAGACGGATACAATTGATGACTCGCCTGGTCCCAGTAAAAGATCTGATTCGGAGCGTAAACAAAGAGAGGAACCAGAAAAGTCGAACGGCGGACCAGAAGATCCAGGAACCAAAAGAGTCAAGCGATTTTCTCAGCACGGTGGAATCGTTCATAGCGGTTCTAATGGAGGTTTGCGGTCCTTTACAGTTAACTGGTTGGAAATTCAGTATTTTCAGCTAGGGAAAACTCGATCCAGCCGTTTCAGTCCCTTCCTTCAACATCGAAAAACCAGGATGAGCGGGAACTTTTTTCGAATGTGTTTGCTGACAATTCGTATGATGAGTGAGTTATTTTCAGGATTCAAGTTTTCATAATCTAATTTTTTGTAGAACCAGCGCTGAAAAAGAGGTCAATTCGAAACGAAATTCACCTCCATCTTCATTCGATTGTCAAAATGACACTTTGATGAGAGTGATCAATCGTATGAAATGGAGACCTCATCCCAATTTGAGTTCTTTCCCAACTCGAGTTGACGAACTCATGAAACTAAATCTGAGAACACGGGTAAACTACGAAAAATTGACTGGTAGACCATTTCCCAAGTTCTCAATGGAAGATGATCTCAGAACCCAAACGTCACTTTTCAAAGAAAAAAGAGATTATTATCGGGAGACACCGTGTAAAGAATTGGATATCAGGTTGTTAGATTGGAGAAAATTAACCGACCATATAGACCGAGACATTGACGAGTTTCGTGCTCCTGATTCTAAAGAATTATCGAAAGATATTCCACAACAGACGATAAAAAGTGGTGGGAGACCGAGTCTTGACGAATCAACAAGATACGGCAGAGTGAGTCTGCTTTTTTTGAATAATCATCCTCATTGTTCTTTTCTAGCTGTCATTCGACTCAACGAATCAACCAGTTGAACTAGCTCAACGGAGCCATTCCTTGAGTATTGGACCTACGACGCCAGCATTTCCAACTTCGCAGCCACTGCTCGTTAATACTCACCATTCTTCACAACCGAGTGGATCTGGAGTGACAACTCCACGCAGTGGGCAACCCCCTATTCCGATGTCACCAGTGGTAAATTATAGGAGTGCCTAACTAGTAAAAAATCTCAATATTGGAAGAATGTTATTTACCAAATTTCATTTTTCTTGTGTTCAGTAATCAGCAGGGTCCTCGGAAGAATCCCGAAGATCCGAAAAAAAAATTTAAATTCATTATCTTAATCTCTTATGGGGTTATTCATGGAGCGAAGATAGGNATTGAAATGCAGTTCCGCGCCCCCGAGGTTCAATGCATGAGCGTCGCGAAATGTATTTCAAAGCATTTCGCGACATAACTGTAAATGCATTTCAATACATATTTTCGCTACATGAATAACTCCATAAAATTGAATATTTTCAGTCTCGACACAATTCAGTGTCGTCTACCGGTCGACCTGCAAATATTCAAGCGTTGCGTCATCACAGTGTCATGTTCCCACCAGACGTCTCCATTCCGCCACCTCCAATTCCACCAACTAATGATGAAATGCGAACAATACAAGGAAACCTTTCTAGAAGGAGTTCCGAAACACTCCCACCGCTGAAAAGTCCTCCGTTCGGAAGTCTGACCGCGCCCATCGCTCCATCTCCTTCTCAAATGATGGCTGCAACAGGAACCCATTCCGTGTCATCTTCTGCTCACTCAACACCTCGTCATTCGATTTCTGGAACACCTATTCATTACGAACCTCCATCAACACCGAAAGGGCCTTCAATTTTAACACCAAAGACGAACAAGCCTGAAAAAGTGCAAGTGCGACACGATTCTATTTCAAAACCAGGACCGTCTAACGCTGCAAATGCACTTCAAGCTCGATCGCAGTCGATGACATCTGACCACAGAAAGAACGTTACTCCTACTGTTCGAGATGCTGGTAGCGATCTTTACGAGAAAATTATGTCCAACCAGCCGAGCATGGGTTTCAAAAAGCTTCCACGTATCGAGAAGAAACCATCTGCGCTTCAAAATGTACATAATCAACAAATTAACATTCCAACTGCTTCAACTTCATCAGCACCATCAACTTCTTCAAATCATGCCATGCTGCAAAAGGACAAAGAAAGAGAAAAGGAGAAACGTAGGAAGGAAAAAGAGCGGGAACTAGAACGGGAACGTGATACTCGAAAGGAGGTGAGAAAGAAAGAAACCAAAGAAGAACGGCATAAAAGGAAAGAGCTGGAAAGAGCAAAACGGGAAGAAGATGAACGACGGGAACGGAAACGCGAGAAACAGAGGATAAGAGAGAAAGAGGAACGGAGAAAGGAGAAAGAAAAAGAGCGGAGGAAAGTTGAAAAGGAAAAACTTAAGAAGAAGAAACACCAGAGAGATGACAGTAGTGATGAATCAGGATCTAGTTCGGACGATGATTTGGATTTGGATGTCAGGAAGTCGGCGAAGGAAATGACGCAAGAAGAGAAAGATCATCAACTCGCAATGATCCTTTCGAGAGGTAGTATAATTGAGAACCTGAAGTCACGAAGGAGGTCTGATAAACGAGGACATGATTCGTTTGAAAAATTGCGTCAGAAAAATGAACAGGCTGGCACACCGGTGAGTTATTCAGATACAGAATTTTTTTATCCCTCTGCTCATCCAGAGTTTACAGAGACGCGTATTGATTGAATCTTCTGATGATGATGATAAAGGAAAAGACGATGATAAGGATAAATCTGATTCCTCGAGTGGAGAGGCCAGTGAAACGGAACAACGCTTCATTCCTCCTCCGCCACTGCCGCCGTCTTCCACGGGAGCAGAAGCTGCTAAACGCAGTAGTAAGCACAAATACAGTCATAAGGAGAAAGGTGAAGTATTGTCATCGGATGGTGAAGGAAAACGTGGAGAAGCCCGCAGGAAGAAGAGATCCAAAGACGACAGAGACAATCGTAAAAGACAGAAGTCTCTCACCAACTACTCATCAGATGAGCATGATCGGGAACATAATGCGAAACGAGTTCGGAGAGAAGAGAACGACGAAGTAAGTGTATATTGAGTCATTTCATGAAATTACGTTAATTTTTCCAGGCGAATCGTCATACCTCTCGAACATCCAAAGATGAGCAAACATCGAGAAAAAGAAAGTTGGAAAACCGTTTGAGTTCAGATGAAGAATCTAAGAGAAAGATTAAGCAAGGTGATTTTCGTGACATTCCACATGAGAATATTTCGGACGAAGAAGAGTCTGAATCGGCAGCAAGAGTTAGAAGGCAGTCGTCCAGTAGTAACGCTAGCAGTTCCGCTTATGGAAAGAAGCTCAAAACGCCGCCAGTGATCACCACCCCATCTGCTACTCCCCTCCAATCACCAAAAATTCTTTCCCCGAAACAAGTATACTCAAAGACTTCCACATCTTCAAAACTTCCATCTATCACTGCACAAGAGCCTTTGGTATCTCCGAGACCTCGAAATCGCACATCGTCATCAACTTCTACTGCTACCAACTCATCTAAATATGAAGCTCCAGCTGTTTCCGAAAAACAGCTTTCGCCCCCAGTCACAGCAAAAAGCAGTGTGTCTTCTATCGACGATTCGGCACTTCACGATGAGTTCAATATCAACTCGGCAATCGATAGTCCGGCCAGCGTCACAGGAAAACCGATGGTGTTGACGAAGGCAGCAATGAAGGCGTTTAATTCATCATCTCCTAGAAAGGTTAGTTTTCAGCTCGTTGTTTGGTTCTTTGCTCGGAATGATATGGATGTTTGTTTATGAGCTGTAAATGTTGTATGTTCTGGTTACGCTTTATGTTCTTTTAGCTGAGCAATTCGTCGGCCCAGCATGATTCGTCTTCGGATACATCATCCAGCTCCTCTTCATCTTCATCTGATGATGACTCCGATGAGGATACTGTAGTGGCTGCGGAACCAAATGATGCTCCCCCGGCTGCCATTGAAAACATCGCTGCTGAAGAACCCATTGAAGTGACTGTTGGTGAAAGTTCTGATACGCTGGAAACACATTTGGCAACTTCAACATCACCCGTCCTACCTGCTCTACCAGCAGAGTTGATAGTGTCGGATGAAAGTAAAGAATCATCTGATGTGGAACCTGTGGTTAAAGAATTTTTACAATCTGCCGCTCCAATTCAACAAGAAATGAACGAAGAATCTCAATGTGCCGTATCAACAGAGCCAGATGTGGAGCGTGTTGAGGAAGAAGATCAACATGCTCAATCTGAAGACATTGAAGAATCTCTGATGACGATTCAAGAAGATGTGCAGATGGAAAAAGAATCAGAGTCTGTTGTGCAATCGAGTTTCTCTCCGCGTCAGGAACCGGAGCATGTGCCAGCACCAGTCACAGAAAAATTCACATCGCCGAAACAGGTTGACACAAATCCTATTTCACCATCAGCTCATACTGTTATTTCGGATCAGGTAAGATTGCAGCATGTAGCTCAGCGAATTGTGTGAGATTAGTATACATATATTGCACAGATTCCTTAAGTTCTGTTTTTGAGAGTGCTCAGATATTGTGATAGTCATTAGTATCCGTGCTGTGTCAGTACATTCGGTTAGTAACGATACGGTGTTTGCAGGAAACCGATCAAGCTGTTCAGTCGATTTTCGACGAAGAAGAAGCTGACGAGTTCCCGCAATATCCAGATTTTGTGATGACCAATGACGACAAAGAAGTCCCTGATAAAGTACTTGTTTTAATCAAAAGTCTGATTTCATTTTTCCTACTTTCAGGAGACCGTTCATCCAGAAACCGCGGAGAAGACGTCATCTCAATCAACCATCTCGTCCGAAGGTTACAGCATAGATAAATTGATATCTCCCAAACCGTCCACATCCCAACCTGAAAAGAATAACGATGTTGGCAGTATTGACACCATCGAAGGAGAATTCCCACATATTGTGAATCCTATTGAACAGATCGTTGAGATTGCTTCAATAGAGCCGATCGAGAACAACGCAGCAGACGAGAAGTATATGGATGACAGCGACGAGGATTATGGAGCGAGACCACTGGAGATTGATGAATCCTCACCGGAACATCATACATTGGAGAAATCTGTGGAGATTATGGAATCTGAAAATATTCCAACTAATGAGAAAGTTCAAGAAGATCATCATAAAAATCACGAACTCGTTCAAGCTCCTGTGCAGCCTCAAAAACCATTGGAAGTAATCACAGAAACACAGCAATCACATCAACAAGTAATTCAACCTTCCCCACAACCTGCCATCACCCCATTATCTCAACCAACTGTTGCACAATCAGCATCTGAAATCCCGCAAACATCACCGACAGAAGGGGAATCCGTTCGTGCTCGTTTCGGTGAGCTAATCAGAGATAGAAACGTCAATGAGATGGCATCGCTTTTGCAAGCAAAGCCTGAATACCGGAACTTTCTCTATGCAGACATGGTACAGACGATTTCAGATATGGTCTGTCATGCCGCGCATGGTGCAGGAATTGGATTTTCAAAAGAGACGCAAGAGCGACAAGCGGCTGTTATGGCTCAGCAACAAGAACAAATGGCCATTAAAAACGCACAAGCACGACAAGAACTGTTGGAAAATCAGCGACGAGCGGTGGAAGAAGAGAGCTTAAAGCGACAACAGCGAGAACAACTCGATCGTAAAATGGAGATGGATCGGCAGGAGAAGAAACGAAGAATCGAAATGGACCGGGCGAACATGCTTGCTATACAGTTAGCTGCAATGCAAAAGAATCCCGGACAGAAGAACAATATGGGTTTCGCGATGCAAAATATCATCAATCTGATGCCTCCAGAAGCCAGACTGTTGTACACTGGATTCGCTGGTGTGACTCATGGGGTAAGCCTTTGGGAAACGTTTTTTGAACTCTCTCATAACAAAAACATAAAAAAAGAATAAAAGTTTCATTATAAAACCAATTTCGTGGGAGACTGGTTTTTGAAAAATAGGACGAAAATCTATTTTAATGAAAACTACATTGTATCAAATAAGATGAATTATCGGGATACATGACAGAGAACAAATCTAGTTAATTAATTAGTTGTACAAAATCACCAAAGTAGATGTTAGTTGAATTCAAGTGTCCTCTCTCCTATCATAGTCACACTTCCTAGTGCAATGAGGGTTTATTTCACTACTCTTTTCCTTCCTTTTCTTCTTCTTGGTTTTCCATTTTCTTCGCCCCCGAGCTGCACATATAACTCCCACACTGACACATGCAATCGCCCTCTCGCATGTTGCAGTTTGTCGCGGGGCGCCGCTGAGAAGAAGAAGAAAAAGAAGAAGAGGAAAAAAAGAGGGAACAGGGCACACAAACAAACTGAAGAAATTGAGAGTATTGAACAAGTGCAATGGAGAACAAATGCTAGTGGATAGATCTGGAATCATTAACAAAGGAAGCCACCATCCAATTAGTCCATATAATTGTTTCAGCAACAACCTGGACTCGCCAATGGAACAACTCCTCAATTAACACCACGTCCTTCTTCAACAGCTTCATCGTCAGCATCTGTAAGAACCCCACAACCGCCCTCTACTTCGCTGAATCGATCCAGTGTAGAGCCTTCCACAGGTTTCGACGGAGCTATATTTCAAAGATGGTTTTACAATGTGAGTCTCTCTTCTTTGCTTTTCATTTATTTTTGCCCTCTTCTCCAATATTGACTTTAACTTTTTGCGAGAATGAACTCCGTACGGGGAACGGAGTTCGTTGAACTGGTGTAATCTGGGTCAATATTTACGGCACTGTGCCGCACTGAGCGAACGACAGTATTTGAGAACATAAAGTTGATGACGCTGGGTTTCGTTCGTTCCCTTTTTTCTCAGTTGCCACAAAGACAACAATTTCTAATTTCTTGTGTAGCAGAGGGAGGAGGGGGGAAGAATGGCGCCCCACATGAATAATGAAACCTCCAGCGGGTGTTGGCATCGTGCCAAACGCTTGGTGTCCCTTGCGCAAAAACTGTCCTTTTCATCTGATGAAAAAAGGGCGCGGAGAGGGAGGGACGAAGAAGTGCAAGAAGACGGGGTTTACATGATTGAATGAGATTGCAATTCTGGGTTACTGTATCACTGATTGAATTTTCTCAATATTTAAGCGAACGCATTTTTCGTTCCCATACAGAACCTCCCATTTCGTTCTTTTCGTCGAATTTTTTCCTCTTTCTTTTCTTTTATTCTTCGCAGCGAGAGCGTGACAGTTCTTTCTAAAATTTTATCGTCCAAAGACGGCAATATTTTTTGGATTTATTTTTGTAGAAACTGTTTAGTCACAATCCTCCCTTGCCGCAAACGATCATGCTAGAGATAGAGACCTTGGGTATCATCAACAATAGGAAATATAGAAAGTGTATCGCCTAGTACGAACCCTAGTATCATTTTGTTGTTTGTTTACATCCATTCGAATGCTGTTCTTCGCTCGATGTCGTCGTCGTCCTTCCAAGGGTGCCTGGTGGCGCACGGTGGGCGAGCAGCAATAACAAGGAGGCGAGGCGGCGAGTGGTCAGGACGCGGCTACTCCGTGTCAATCAGTGCCTGGTGCCAGCCATTCCTTCGCTTCTCTGGCGCGAACGGACAGAGTAAGTGGAGAAGTAGAAATCGAGACGAGAGGAGCTGGAGGCGCGAGAGGGTCGAGAGAACGTTGTTCGCAACATCTCTCTTATTATCCCTGCTGTGTGTTGTGTACTTGGAGGCGCCCACAGCGCTTTTCGCTTATTCTCTGGGTCTCACTTTTCGCATAAGGCGGCAATGATGTTCGAGGCGCCGGAGGAGATGCACTATAAGTCGTGCCTGCGGCCTCCATGCGTGGCGCTGTTGTTTTGGAGCGCGACGCACGCTCATTCGCTTGGTCGGTCGCGCGCGCCCCGCGCTCACTCCTAGGAAGGTCCCGCCCACTATTCGGTTGTTGTGTCGTCGCGCGCTCTCTATCCCCAGCCACGGTTGATTGTCGTTCTCTCGCCACTCACTTGTCGGCGAAGCTTCCAGTCAGTCAGTAGAAGCAACCCGAAGAAGCACCCACTCCGTTCCCATATCGGTATACACTTTTTTGATATCTGTGTTCCACGACGGCACGGGCCAACTATTATCATGATCTGAGTGGAATCATTTTGTATCTATAACTTGAACTACCTCACTACTGAACTACCTCTTCTTATTCATCTCTCAAAACTATTAATTCGTCTACCTCTTCTACCGTAATCAATATATATTTTCCTCTTCACCGAAATATTCTCTTCAATTACAAAGTTGCACAATCGACGTTGATTCACTCCTCTTTGCTGAACAACTGCTGATAAAAAAGTACATTTCGGTCGACGCTCTTCTTATCTGTCCCTTCGAGTTGCCTGATATCTTCATCAAGCGTAAAAAGAAGATTGCGTTCTCCAATTGACGTCCTCGACAGAAACACCATCTTCTGTTTCTTCTGTCCCAGTCACCAGTCTCAACATATTTTTATACCACTTTCGACTGACGTGTGCACTTCGGTTGCACTTTTAACGCCCCAATCGCTCTCCTATACTCTTCAACATCCTCGGTCTCTCTCAGTTTGTTGTTGATTTTGCCCGTTGTCGGTTTGAAAAATAGCGCATCAGTCGACAGAGGAATCAGACACCTCGGGAGGACGAAGCAGCCCGCCTGTCTTCTTCTTATTCTTCGTCTTTCTACATCATTTCTGCTATTCAATCGCAATCATCTGGTGATATTTTCAAGCCTGTAGCACCATGAGCTCTGACGAGTCCGCAACTTCTGTTGCACCCAACCCGGCTCCAACCACATCATTAGCAGAACTGAGTGCATTGCTACATCAAATTGCAACGCCACCTCAAATACCAATTGCCCCTGCCACCACGGCTCCAAACCCTTTCTCAAATTTGGAATCGCTCCTCAGTATGGCAACCATGGCAAATCTCACTGGAGCAGCTGTGAATCCATTATCCATGTTTGCTGTTACACATGCCATCAATCAAGCAAATCCAGTATATCAAGGAATTGCAAGGGCACTTCTGTCTATGAATATGGGGCTTTTAGCCAATCAACAGGCGTCGGAGGTGATTGGTCAGCAGGAGACATTGATGAACATATTAGCTGCAAAAAATGGGTTGCCATTTCAACTGCCTCAATTGAGCCAGCAACCACAACAACAACCGGCAGCAACGTCCCAAGGTGGCTTCGCGATCCCACAGGGTCTTCCCATATCTCTAAAGAGAGGCAACAAAGATCAACTGGCAAATGCCACAGATCGGAAAAAGTCTTGTCCACCTACGGTCACTTCGCAAGGACAACAAACGCTTCAACAGCTTATGGGGACGAATGCAGCACCTCCACCTCCACCACCACCAAGATCTCCTTCCCCTCCAAGAAAATCGATGTTTGAAAACCTGCCACCAGAGATGAAGGAGAAGAACGAGATGTTCCGCAAGGAAATCCTTCGTCGTTTGGACATCATTTTACTTGAAGAACTTGGTGCAGATGACGAAGAGGCTGAAGCGAAGCCAGACCTTCAAGAACAGAAGCAAATTCCGACTTCTGAAGAGGATGTTGACGAAACCAAAGGCGACTCAATGGGTTCCGAAGGATCTGCATTTCGTAGGATACTATCCAGAAGCTCTACAATGAACAACTCTAGCTCTGCGTCTGCTTCAAGAACTACTACACCATCCACTACCAGCTCAATTTCCAGTGGTCCAGATTCTCCACCTCTAGAAAGTGCCCCACCGCTAGAAAGTGATTCATTGAGCCCAAAATTCTTGGACATGTTGACGAGCGTTGCTGTTAAACACCGAGAAGACTCTAGTTCTGATGCACTATCAGCTAATATTATGGATGAAGTCGCTTTCACTCAGGTTGGTTTCTGTCCTTCTTCCCCTTTTTCTCCTATTCGGTCAGTCAGGTGTCTTTCGGGCATTGCACTTTCACTTTGCGAAAATTGTTTACATTTTTTGTTGCTTGTTACATCCACACGGCCTTCTCCTTTGCCGAAAATGCCATTGAGGGCGCTGCATTAGGAAATGATTTTGCTGCGTTTATGTTTTCTAAATGGGAAGAAATGTTCTCTTCTTCGATTCACGACTATCCCAGCTTGCGTTGCTCATGTCTCCGATCCCCGACCCCAAGGTACCAGTGTAATATGTCCTGAGAGATCCTGGATTGAAGTAAAAGTGCGTGTGCTGTGACAGCAGGGAAGAAGAAAAGATCTCTGTTGTAAAGAATGGGGAATTGGTTTTTGGAAGTGGGGGGAACGAGAGAAAAAGAGCGAAAGAAAATCGTAAAGAACGGGCCGAAGAGCTTGTTTTTGAACTCAGTTCCTTGTTTCCTACTTCTTCTTCTATTTTTCTGCTTCTATCGACGTCGTCGCCATTTTTGTCCGAAGACGTTGATGGTGGCGGTGGAGAAAAACAAGTAGAAGTAGAAGAAATGAGTCATAGTGTAGGAAGCGTGCGGGCTAGAAAGACCTGAAGCAAAAACAGCCTCCCGTTCTTAGGCTCTCTCTTGAAAATATGCCTTGGTCTCGTATAGATTCTCATTAGAACGTGTATATAGGACTAAATATAGCAGATATATATCGAACACAATTTTTTGTGTACATGATTACATGCTTGTTTTCAGCTCGCCGCGGCATGTGCGGGGTAAAAACACAGTTCATGAGAGCAAAAATGGGGAAAAATAAAAAATCAAGTAATAGGTTTTGGAGAAGAGTGGCTCATCAGGGAATCAGTTATGACACGAATCAATTTTTTTCAGCATTTTCCAATGGTATGGACTGGTCGTTTGACAATGAAGTCTACGGAGACTATGATCAACCTTCATTTGATCAATGGATCTGAAACCTTCTTGAATGGAGTCCTCGGACGTCAACTGAACGAGGAGAATCCACGTCGTGACTCGGTGAAAATTAATCAACGTCTTCGGCTGGATAACGGACAAGTTGATCGTGAGTTTTGATGTATAATTTCTACTGAAAATTGGAAAACACTAGACTAATAAGAATGCACTTTTTGTGTTGTTGTTGTTACTTATTTGTCTACACACGGACACGGTCAATCAGTCTCAATTTTAGTTGTTTTGCGAGAATAAAATGCCCGTGTGTATTGAGGCTGATAGTAGTAAAAACGGAGAACAGAAGTGCAAGAGAACTCGTTTTTGGGTGGACGGAATATTTTACAATTTATTTTTGCATTCCACCTGAAAAAAAATATATTTACTGTAAGAAGTTGGCCGTATTTCAATATCAGTGCTAACGTGAGTTCGATTACGTCACAACTTAAATTTTGGAATAGATTTTGTCTCGAATTACTCTGTAATATACATTGTATGATGATCAATCCAGGAAAAAATTAGTGATGTTTGAATAGTTCTTGCTGAAACGAGAATACCATCTTTTTTCTTATCTAGATCGTGAAATTTCTCGAAGCATTCACACATTTTTAATATTCACAATTTTCTCTTCTTATTTTAGTTGCTTACTATTTCGACACACTCGTGCAAAGTGGTTCTCTTTGACCCTTATCGTAGTAGTTTCTATTACTTCCTAGTCTGCTTCTTCTCCGAAAACCAATGCGAAACACTAGACACAGTCCGAAAAACGAGTCATACAAACAGAAGGGGGCCGATGTGCACTTTTTGTTTTGAGATCGCCTTCGACGTCCCCCATCTGACCGACTTCCGTATTCGCCACACTACTTCTCCTTCTTCACTGACTCATGTTTTTTCGAAAAGGCCTATGTGCTTCTCCTTCTTATCCATCTTGCATTCCATTCGTTTGCATGCAAAGCATGCACAAAATAAAATATCAGGGGTTCGGAAAACAAGGAAACGGGAAGGAAAACATGAGAAAGAAAAATGACAGCACACACAGAAAACAGAATAACAATAATCATAATGATTTCAGAGGTCCACGGTATCCTAACAAACCCGGAATATGCATGCTGTCTTGCACTATCAGCAGTCACCGATTACGATGAATTGGCCAAGAATGAATCAAATCTAAAGGCATCTTTCATTGACTATTTGATCAAGAAGAAAATCGCTGGAGTATCGTGTCTGGAAGAAGTCGATCAGGTGGGATTTATAATTCTACGGTTATATGTATATTTCATTAACTTTCAGAAATTTAAGAGTGCTCGTGTCCATGTTTTCGCTCCTGGAGAAATTGTCAGCAGATATTTGTCCGAGTTAGCTTCATCTCTCTACGATTATCTTCAAGTCAGTGATGTAAGTTTTTGCAGATTTTCGGACATAGCCTAAATGTGACTTTTATTCCAGACCCGCTATTTGCTGATAGTCTTCACCAACGACAAAAGTGATCTAAATATGGATGGCCCACCACCATTAACTTCCCTCGCTGTTCCACCAATCAGTAGCAACTAGGTTCTTCATCTTCATCTTTCACATGTCTCATTCTCGTTCTCTGCCAAACTCAATTCAATACCGATCCTCAACGAATATGTGCAATCTTGTCGAATACCTAAATTTCTGTGTACTATTACTACTACTCACTTTATTTATTTCTACTATATATCTCAGCTCGTCATCATATTATGTATCTTTAACCTGATTGACTCAAACTTGTGTTTTAATTTGAATTATGGGTTTAATAATTTAACAAACAACAAACTCGGTATACTTTTTGCAATTTTACCTCCTCCTTTCTCTTTCCCCCTTGATGTATAGTGCCCCCTTTCTCATTTTGTTTTACCATTCCGTCGGCTTCCACCCGTCATCCTCCTCGAGCATTTGCTCAATTTCCTTTAGAAATGAATTATATTTTCCTCTCTCCTCCGACTCATTTCGAAAACTTTTATCAGCTCCTATTTCATTTGTTTTAGCAGCTCCCAGTCCCCCTTAATACTTTTGCAATTTTCTTCATATTTTATCCTGTTCTAACCCGTTGTATTTTTCGTTCTCATGTATTTTGATCGGAGAGCGGCCCAGAAAACCTAAGCCGTGCCGAAAACGAAAGCGAAAAAAAAAATGAATTGAATTTTCACACTAGCTGCATCTCTTTGTTTTCGAGGATCACATTCACTCATTCATGCAAACCAACACCATAATGACGCATTCGAAAAATAAGGAAATCTTTTTGGGCAACAAAGCTCAATAACAAAAGTTCATTAGCATTAGTCGTTCAGAAGGCGGAAGCAGAAGATGGAGTGTGGGCGAGTACTGTGAGCAAAAAACTGCATAAATATAATTTTAAAAATTTGGATTCGTTGAAAAAATATTATCAGATTTCCGATATTTTGCAGAATTAGGTCTTGTTTTTCGAAAATCTTTTGCAACGGAACACTGAGATTACTTGTATATGTTATCTGAATGTTTTCAAGAAAAATTTTCTCGAAAACTTGCAGAAAAATGTGACGAATTCATATCGGAAAAAAAAAACTTTTTGTAGATTGTTATTTCGAATTAAAGAATTAGAGATTATAGGATAAGAACTCTCCATATAAATCTGATAAGGATTATGGCAAAAAGTCTGCATGTTTCTCTTTGATCTCATCTAATTTCCAATAGCTCGATTGGGTTCCATGTCGAGTCACAGAGAGAGCAGCGATTTTTGCAGCCGAACGAATCGAATCGATCATTGAAACTCCAGCGACGTGATGAGCAGCAAATGTACCACAGAAACAGTCACCGGCTCCCTGGAAATTCATTTTATACATTCCCAATTTATGTATTATTGTGAAAAAACCCAAGAAAAACTGGTCATTTTTTAAAACAACCTCATCTTTAGACACCGGTCTTTTTTTAATTGTTTCGTTGATAACTACAAAAATAACTACAAAAGTATCTACAAAAGCAGAACAAAGTTTTAAGATTTTTTAAAAATTTTCAGGATGTATTAAATAGAAAAAGAGCTTCATTTTTTATTCTGACGACTTTTTTGTACGAATTCATCCAAACTCGATATGCCTCTTGGAAGTAGCGCAACTCTTGATCATTCGAATTTTGGCGCTTCTCAGTACTGAAGGGCATAACTCAAATGGGAACATTGTTTCTAAAAAATTGTCAACTACAAAAATGAAGTCCTTCTTTTGTTTAATAGTTTCTGAAATTTTCAGCGCAAACGAATAACGTCTACATACTTTTGTAGATCCCTAACTTTAGTTTCTGTTTTCAAAACCGTATCATCAAATTTTTTGATTTTTGTCCGGTGGGATGAAATTTTCTGCTTTAGCTTGTAGAGCATAAAATCATAGTATTGAACGCACAGTGGTATCAATCGCTTCCACGTTATCCACCGATATATGCTCAATCTCGTTATGGCCTTTTGATGCGAGGAGAACACCTGAAAAAAGTATGATGAATTTTACGATTCCAATGTTCGGAATTTGAGAAATCACAAAAAAAAATCCAAGAAATACGGATAATCAAGAATCCGAGAAAAAAAAGGTTCCCGAAATTAGAGAACTTAGTACCAAAAACTTATAATATCTTAGTCTCAAACTCCAAATACTGAATATGACGGATTCTTAGAGTCCTAGTATCTACGAAACCTTAAACTTATTCTAGGCAATTAGAGTAGCTCGAACCTTTAGCTCCAAGTGTTATGATCGCATGCTGAGGACCCATTTTGACCATTTCCACAGCAGCCTTTTTAGCGTCTTCCACGTTGTTTTGAGGGATTCCAGTGATGAATTCAGCCTGAACATTTGCGACATAATCTTTCTCAATTTGAATTCGTTTAAATTTTGAATTCCAATCTTAAATCTCAACAAACCTCATTCTCATTTGTACAAATAATATCCACAAGATCCAGAATTGTTTTATCCATATTTGCATCTCCTGGAGCTGGGTTCAAAAATGTTATGACCTTATTTTTTCGAGCGATTTCGAATGCTCTTCTATTTCCTTTTTCATCGATTTCTCCTTGGCACATGACCATTTTCGAGTTGGAAATAATTGAGGAATTGGCATCAGCTACTTCTGGAGTCAGGAACAAATTGGCTCCCAAAGTGACGACGATACTATTCTCAGCTGAAAATAGGAACTGTTGAGAAATGCAAAGGTTACCGTAAAACCTGTAATAAAAGGGTCTCCGAACTTTTAACTTTGAGCCAATATATCTTAGTTCCTGTCAAAGATATAAAAAAGTGATCAACTGATAAATTGTTAATAATGATATCAGAAGTGATTTGTTAGTTGACACCTTTTTGATATCTTTCTTAGAAATCGAGGTAAATTAGCTCAAACTTGAAAGTGTGGGGACCCTCCTAATTGTATTAGGTTGGCGGGAAAGTCTTTGTCACTCTGTTTGTTTAATCACTGTTCTCGTATATGGAGGCTGTGTATGATATCGACTCTAGTGAATAACAAGGTGATAAGAACCTTCCATATAAACAAGTCCCCATTTCCTTCCCTGCTCCTCATCTGTAATTGAAACGATATGTTTGTTCCCACTGCTATTCACATCAGACATGTTTTGATTTACCTCTTCCTATCTCACACCACGATGAAGGATTCGGAAACTTTCTTGAAGAATGTGTACAACACACATGCCCCTCACTACAATACTATTCGCAATTGGTTCCATCGTTTCGAAAAAGATGACTTCTCGCTCGATGAAAAGGATCGCTCTGGGAGACCCCGTGAGTTGGATTTGGACAAGCTGAAGCACGCATTGCAATCGGATCCATTTCAATCTAGCCGTGAACTAGCTGTCACATTCGGAGTTCACCATAGCACAGTCCTTGAAGGTTTGAAGTCTCTTGGAATGAGAAAACTTTTTGGTCGATTCATACGTCATCACCTGACTCAAGCCAACCTTGACCGCCGAGTCGACGATTCGATTACTCTTCTCACTCTCCACGCGGGCGATCGATGGCTGGACCGGCTAATAACCGGAGATGAGAAGTGGGTCTTCTACGATAATCACCACAGGAAATCCCAGTGGGTTGGAGAAGGAGAGAGCCCACAGGATGTCCCCAAACCCGACCTTCATCCGAAAAAAGTTATGCTCTCTGTGTGGTGGGGAGTGGACGGCCCCATCTACTGGGAACTTCTGCCCGAGGGCAAAACAATAACTGGAGACCTCTACACTACTCAACTACGAAACCTCAAGAAAGCAGTCGACCGTTCGGCCCTGAAAGACAAGAAAGTGTACTATCAACATGATAACGCTCGCCCACATGTTTCGAACAAGTGAAGCAGGAGCTGATGGGATATGGATGGAATGTTCTCCCTCACCCCCCGTATTCTCCTGATCTTGCTCCTTCCGACTATTGGTTATTTGGCGATATGACACGTGCCTTCGAAGGAAGAAGCTTCAATTCCCGTGGAGCGGTCGAAGCGGCACTCAAACAATACTTTGCCTCACGCCCGGCTGGATTCTACCGCAATGGAATCCATAAATTGAGGGAACGTTGGAGACATGTTGTTGATAATGATGGACAATATAATTAATTATTCGGTTATTTTTTCTTTGAGAAATAAACTATTGAAAAAGTGACAAAGACTTTCCCGCCAACCTAATAAGTTTTACGGTAGTCTCGATTTTCGCAGATTCATGATTTTAAGATTTCAAAGCTAATCTAAAACATATCAAATTTTGTTTCTCACCTTCTTTATTAACAGTGATAGTTGCAGTAGCCGTGTGTGACTCTTTTGTCTTTCCAACACAACTCGTATCCACTCCATTCTCAGTCAACCCTTTAATATTCGAATCTCCAAACATATCCTCTCCAACCAATCCAATCATTGCCACATTGGCTCCAAGACGCGCGGCAGCTACCGCCTGATTTGCTCCTTTTCCACCGGACCCTGACTTGAAATCATTTCCACGAACAGACTCTCCAGGACGTGGGAAACGATCGGTGTAGCTAAAAATTACAGAAATTGGTTAGCTGAAATTCGGAATGATACAAACCTGACAAGATCCTGAACGATACTTCCAAGCACTACAATTCGGTCGGACGACATTTTGCACTCCGTGTGTACTGTGAAAATGGGGAATAAAGAAGAAAACAGAAATAGTTGAATGAAGTGATAGAGGAATAGAGAAAGAAACAGTATGTGTTTGTAAATGGGTTTACTACTTATTAGAGGGTTGTTGGTAGAGCAGATGTGTTGTCTGTACTGTTTGTTTTCTGGTTCTATTCTACAGAAAAGTTTTAGGTTAGAAGATACAAAAGAATAATACCCTAATACTTTAAAAACATAATATTTTCGGGTTTTTAACAAAAAAGGGTAAAAAAGTAAAAAACGTTAGAAAAAATAGAAAACTAAAAACTACTTTTACAGAGAATACGGTCATTCTGATCGCAGTTACCGGAAAACCTGTATTAGAAGAATTTATAGATTTTCATGAACTTTTAACTAGAATTCACCGGCATTTTCGATGAAAAATTTTGAACAAAATGTCCGGAAATTCCCTCTCATTGAAGGGCCCCCTTCTCAGACTTATTTTACGGTGGTCAAAGTCAGAGTCTTCAATTAGAGTTTTTCTAAAGTCTTTAAAAGGGGACTTTTGGATTCAAAAACTCTGAGTTGTGAGGAAGTTTACTAAATTTACAACTCTATGTCAGGACTTCCAAGACAAATATTCGAAAATCTCCTGGAAATTCAACAAATCATTGCCATCTTACAAATGAACAGTTTGCGTGGTTTTTGTGAGACTATTCACCTATCTTATCGTCTCCATTCATGTTATCATCTTCTCCATCGACTTATCAATCTTTTTTCTTCTTGACCTTCAACACATTTTTTAAAATTTCTCATTTACTTCACTCATTCAATGGTAAAAAAGCACAAAAAGAAACCGGTTTCCGGAACTCAAAAACAATTGAATAGAATATATTAAAGTTATTGAGAAAATGTGTATTAGGTGGGGAAAATAATTAGAACAAGAAAAAGGAGTTGAATGGATTGATTAAAAAACAACTGTAGAATTCTAAAAACAGATTAATCGAGCAGAAAAGAAAAACATATTGAGGCGATGTTGATGAAAGAATCAGAAGACACGTGAAGAGAGAAAAAACAAGAAGATGAAGATTCTAATGACTAGTAATTGACTAAATTTTGACTTCCGCTGATTGTGAAGATGCACCAGGATCGCAGGAATAGTGACGCCTGAAAAAATATTTGTATGAAATCATTGATCAAATTCTTGTAGATTGTGGTCAAATTAACAATCAAAGGACAATTTTTGAAAGTTTTTGAACTTTGAAATGCTCACTTGAAAATGCATCGTGTTGCTGCTGGATCTCTTAATTTATAGAACAAGAGGTAAGCCTCATTGGTTTGTACATGTCCAGATGGCACTCGATCAACCATCGAATCATCAAATTTCCTCCATTCGATTTTCGTTTTGGAAGAATCGAAATCAGCGAGACGTCCCAAACTGATGTAGTGACCGAAATAACTGCTTCCACTGTGACAGACAACTCCGGTTAGATCGTACATCTGGAAAAGTAGTATTGTTGCGGAACATTTTTTGAAAAAGTTGGAATGCTTGGAAAGTTGAAAAATTAACTACTTATGAAATTGAAAGAACCACAATTTTTTAATTAAAATTATATAATTACCGTATTTCTTCTAATAGAAGCTCACCCAGACCATAAACTTTGAGCTCAATTATCTCGCTTCCCGAAAGAGATATCAAAAATCAATCAACCAACAAAATCTTCATCGTCATATCAAAAACAATTTATCAGTTTGCCACTTTTTGATACCTTTCATAGAAATCGAGATAAATTTGTTCAAAGTTGAAAAGTGCATAATTTTATAGAGTGTTTACGGTAATAACCTTATCATAGTTGTGGAAAATGAATAAATTAAAGACATATTTTAGTTTGGAAAGCGGCAAAAAATTCAGACCTATAAAAGGTAATTTTCAGAAACCTAAAAAAAAACTAAAATAAAAAAACTCGTACCGTCGAATTATGACTTGGAGACGTTTCAGAGAGGAACGGAGACATATCCAAACTCTCTAATGGATACTCAACAGTTCGGTCATCTTTGCTTCTTCGATGCACAGACGTTTGATGAGTGAATGCTGAAAAAATAATTTTTTGTTCGAATTCTCCGGTTTTTTTTCATACCTGTGTACACAAATCTCTTTAACTGAATGATCAAAACTGGTGGCAACCTATACAATTGCAGCCTTTTTGTAGCTTCCACGTGTTCTTTGCATGTCGAACAGTACCAACTTTCTTCTGGTTTCAATCGTTCAGTTTCTGAGAACAAACTGAGCATTTGGGTCAGATGAGGACTTCTTTCAGAATTATGTCCCTTATCCAGGGTTCCCATCCCTCTGACAGTCATCAATTTTGTTTTATCCACATCCGTATCGATTTCAGTCCTATTGTCAATTGTGATGTACGGTTTTCCATTCCTTTGATTTATCCAATTTATCGATACAAAACTTCCAGATTCTAATGCTTGACACGCATCGTCATCTCCAATACTGTGTGCTCCGAATGAATCATTTTGGTTTGCCAATTTTCGAATTTCAAACATCTTCTGATTTTTGGAACGGGGCTCTGCAGCTACACTTCTTCTACGTGGAGTCGATGAAACACTTGAAGCGGAAGATGATTCTCCAGGTGGTTGAAGGAATGTTGGTGGTGCTCCGACTCCATTTTTTTTCTTCGTTGAACCGGATGGAGCCTGCATTGAGTCCCCTTCAACTCCTTCTCCATCATATTGTGGTTGTTGGAATAGAGTTACAGTATGGCGACTTTTTGCTTCAAGAACTCGATAAAGATGTTGATAAGTCAGTTGAGATCGGGGTAGAGAAACGATCAATGGATGTCCAACCAGGTCACTCGACATTCTCTTGGAGCAGACTTCCCTGTGTCCTCCAGTTGACCAGTTGGCAACTTGACATTCTTTCGAACAGTAGACAGCGTCGTAACATTCTTCGCACGCCTTCAGTTTCACCTTCGAGTTTCCACATTCATGACAGGAATATTTGAGATTTGACCTGTATAGTTCTCGTTGAAGAACATTCAAAACCACGACTTCTTCATTGCACTCCGTTTCATCATGAGTTTGGAAAACGAATAGATAATCCGGTGAGATAATGTCCGACACCTTCATATCACTAGTGTAAATTTTATCGAATCGATGACACAGAGCTTCACACGCTCGGAGGTTTCTTGTTGGAACTTTGATCATTTCACTGACTGCGGAAAGGAAATCAGCGACAGTTCCTTCGGCTGAGTAGCTGACGGTCAATTTGAACGGTTTCGCTTGATTTTCTACTGGCCAGAAATATAGTGACGTGGATTTCTTGTTTTTTGGGAAGGGAACAGGCAAATAGACGAACGGATCAAATGTGATGGATACCTGAAAAAGATACTTTTTAAAATTTCAAACTTCTATTAATCAAGAATAAAGCCAGATCCTAAAATAAATTGTTTCTAAAAATACCGCAACGCTTCAACTACTGTGAACACTAAAATAATAGAAGGTCACCCTATACTAGCACTTCAAGTTTAATTATTTCAGTTTCTCTAAGAGGTATCAAAAATCTGTCAACTGATAAAATGCTTATCGTAATATCACCAATACTTTATCAGTTGACAGCTTATTGATATCTCTTATAAGAATTGAAATAATTGAACTCAAAGGTCAAGTATAGGGTGCCTTCTGTTCGAATTTTTACGGTGAAGTGAAAAAAATCAACTCACCCGATCACAATTCGGACACTGTACATGACTTTTCAATTGCCCATGGAACAAATCCACAAAAATCGAGTCATTCCTGAGAATATGATTTCTCCATGCTTCATTTGACACATCCAAATCATGTCTTCCATGTGATTCAACAGTTCCTGTCAACGGCTTTTTCTTCACCCGATTCACGTCTTCATGAAGTCCATCGAGAAGAAACGAAAGGAATTCGTGTGCATCGTGTTGTGCAAAGTTCGCGAATTGTGATGCTTTCTCAGAAACAATATTTTTAATATGAACGGGTTCAATGGCTTTATGTCTTCCATTCCACATTTGAACCATAAAATCTGCGAATGCTCGTGCCAATCGTCCTTCTGAACCAAGTGGATTCGATTCGTTGATCTCCATTTTATAATGATCTCGCAGGAAGAATTCTCGTAGTTCCACATTGTTAACGAGCATCTGGAGGATAGCATTCATGAAACATGTGTTTCCAATATTCCGAAGACCCGTGTATCCTTGGTCCACAATACAAACGCTGTCTCTATCATCTTCATATGGAGACACTTTTGCAGTTGGTTTGTATGAAGACATGACTGCAGCTGAAGCACTTCTAGGTAGATATCCTCCTTTTGTTGGTGGAGGTGGAGGAGGGGGAGGAGGGATAGTTGAAGTAGTAAACGATGATGGCTGAGGTGTCATTGAGCTTCGACTCTCATCTTCTCTATCCAATCTTTCTCTTCGAGTTCTCAGTAGAGTTGATGTAGACGTGGATAACTGGGAATACGCTGGTGGAGGTGTAGCTGCAACACTTGAATAAGAAGTCGTCATAACATCATCCATCGGAGCTACAGCAGAAGACGTTGGTGTGGCAGAAGACGTGACACGTGTCACTGAAGAATATCTAGATCGGTAGGGCGTCGCAGATGATGATGAGGTGGCGTTCGGTGCCACCGCTCTTCTGAAGTCGGTTTGAGCAGTCGAAGGTGCTGCACTGGTGATATGAAGAGATTCGAGACCGAGTTCAGATTCTCGATCCTTTTCTCTTTGCATCCATTCCTTGTAATCTCGATCTTTTTCGTCTCTTTCTGCACGTTCTCTGGCTTGCTGGGCGAACATGGCAACTGTGTTTGTACGACCACTGAAAAGTAAAGTAGGTTGGAAGGTAACTATGAAAAAGTGGACTAGAAACAAAAAAACGGAACGTTGTTATTTTTTAATGAATTTCCAAATTCAGTAATCTTCGAACATGGAAAACTCACTATGATGAACGACTTCTGATATGTGACGACGTTGGATGTACCATATGAGTTCTTGTCGTTGGTCCCGATTCAATTTTCACTTCTGGGAGAGTCGATGATGATATTCTGTCACTCCTTGAAGACCTCCGATCATATGAACTCGATGACAATGATGACGTTCCATACGACGACGAATATGGTTTTGTTTCTCCAACTGTGGATCGTTCAATTATGCTATATTTGGAGATCCCTCGATAATTATGTGGTGTAATTGTCGAATGAGATAGACTGTCATTTGTAGAGACAGAGACTCTTGCGGCAGCTGGACTACTGTACAGAGTCTTGTGAGATGCGGAAACGTTTCGCGATAAGTTTGTTGAAGTTGCGGAAGGCGTGGTGAATGAAAGACGCGATCGGGGGGCCGACGACGGCAATGTATGCGACGACGAGTCGGCCGCCGTCGACCCAGATGCCGTGGAATTCAGATTACGAGAGATGTTGGGTGTGTACGAAGATGGTGAGTATTTGAAGGTGTTGAAGCTGAAATATTAAAAATTTAACACCAGGATACATAGACAAAAGTTTCATCTGTTTTCTCTGAAATCGTTTTTTATTTAAAAGAAAAAATTGCAGTTGTAATTTTTGGTAGGTGAAATTCTGAAAAGACTGAAAATAATAATCTACATATCTACATTTAGAAAAATAGAGAAATCTGCTACTTTTGAAAACTTTTGTTTTCCAAAAAAAGTTGGGTGTGGTTTCGGAGAAAATAGTAAAAAAGGGAGTGGTTTTATACTTTGAGCTTGTGAAAATTAGATAAGAAACATATAATGAAACAGTTCAGTAATGAAAACTGCAAGCTAGTTTTTCAGGTTTTCAAAAAGTTTCATGATTCGGTTTTTGGTTCATTCGTCCTCCAAGTTTGCACTTGATGACATGACGTTTGGGGAAAGAGAAAACTGATATGGAAAGCAAAAAACTATGTTAGAAGAGAAAGAAAATAGTGTAACAAAGAAAATTTCCTCCAAAGAAAAATAGTTTCATGTGAGAAGTGCATTGAGAAGTCAAGTAACCAAAGCAAATTGTTTATTTTCTAGTTTGTCTTCTCTTTCTTAATCAATGCCTTCAGAACTTTCTTTTCTATTTGTCTGAGTCTCTTCACACTTGTTTGCTCAATTCCAAAAACTTGGTTTCACTGTTTTCTTATCATGGAAATTCGTCAGAAATGCACATGGGGATTTGAAAGTATCAATGAAACGAAATTCATGAAGAGAGGGGAATTTCCGAAATGTTCCCTTTCTAGTCGACTTCACAAGTCATATATGTATTCTGTTTCTCTGGCATTCTCTTATTTTCCTTCTTCTTTTTCTTCATGCCTTTCTGCCGTGTCAGCTAATCCGAAGTGGGGAGAAGAAGGGAGGATGTTGGCATGGTAACCAAGAGAAAGAGGTCGGGGAATTCTCACCTTGGTGTGTAGGATCTTGAATAATTGGAACTACGAATTGATGAGCATGAGCTCGACAATCGCCCACTTCCACCACCTTCATCGCTTTTGCGCATTCTGAAAAAAAGCATTAAAATTGGAATGTGATTTGAGTTTCAGTTTTCAGTATTGAGATCAGGGGATGATCAGAGATATCGTCTATTCCTAGTTTGCTAAGAAATAAGGAAGAGGTTAGGATCCGTGAAACGGGATCTTGAGAACCAAAATGCATGTTCTTGAAAGAAAAACAATCGGATTTTCGGAATCCTAAAATTTTTCAGAAAGTCAAAGTTTGAATGGATGCAGTAATCCAGAGGATTTCGTGTCCAGAAGTTTATTAAAATCAAGATTCAATTGAAGGACTCCTCTGATAGAAGGGCCCTCTGAGAAGGGATTGTAGGAAGGGCCCCTGTAATAGAAGGGCGCTCATCAAAATGTGTTGTTTGAAATTAAAGTTTTCGTTAAGTTTTCAGTGAAAAACTTTCTGGAAGTTCCGAAATTTCACAGAATTTTGTTGAAACAGTTTTTTGCTCAAAGAATTTCCTAATATTGGTGAAATTGATGGATTCTCATGCATTTTGAACGAAAATTCACCTAATTTGTTGATAAAAATTTTCGAAAAAAAATGACCCAAAAAATAGAAGGCCCCCCTGTAATTGAAGGGTCCCTCTAATAGAAGGGACAATATAAGAGCCGGCCCTTCTAATACAGGTTTTACGGTATGCAGATTTTATGGTGTAGTAGGAAGCTACAGTTATCGCTATCATCGGAATCCCAGAATAGGTCAAAAAAATTCTCAAAAATTTTGAAAGACGTTCAAAATCAGTTTCAGCGTCTCTACTGAGATTTCTGGTAATGACTACAGACGTCGTTCAGAAATTTAACTTTTCAAAAATTGAATTCGGGAAAACTTTTTCTCAGGCTTTCTTATCAATACTGAATACTAGGTTATTGCAATATTTCGACCACAAAACCAGCAATTGAATTCAATATTTGTTTAGTTTTCTGATTATTTTGAAGCTTGACTAAAAATATTAGCTAACCTGATTTTTGCCTACTCTGGTAGACTTATCAGGAAGTTTGAAAAATAAACTTATTTAGAATTTGAGTCTCGAAGACTGAGCATTCATCCAAATTAGGTCACTTGGTCAGAAAGAGCAAGCTCTAAGGGACATGTCTTCTGATTTCAAAATTTTCAAATCCTTTTTCGAACGTATTTTCAAAGTTATTTCTTCCTGGTATCGAAACCTGAGACAAAAAGTTTAAACAAAAGATGCACCAGGTACCGAGATAAACAAAAATGAAACGTTCTTCCGTTGGCATAATAATAATAAAATCCTCCGCGGTAGATGGGAGAGTGAAACAATCGGAGGATCGAGAAAAGAGGAAGGAAAAGCTCTCGAAAGTTATTAGAAAGAGAGAAAGAAGAGAGAGAGTGCTCCTCAATCCTCCCTCTGGATGTGCTCTTTGACTGGGGAAAGGGACGGGAGCCCTTTACACACTGTCTCTTTCCCGTGAGCGGGATCCTGGATCTATCTGCTTCTCTTTGTCTCACACACTATTTCTCTCATTTTTTGGGAATTGCTTTAGTCGCCCACAAAAGTGATGAAGATGCCCTCGGGAGGGATGAGAGAGAAAAAGAAAGATTTAAAGCTGGCTTTCTCATTGTGTTCGGATGGATCCGACACCGGAAGGTGGTAGTAGTTGGAGGATTGGATAGGAGAAAAATGGAAAAAAGTGAATGAGAGAGATAAGGAAGATAGTGAGATAGAGAAAAGATAAAAAGACACAAAAAAGAGAAGATATTGAAGCAAGCCACGTCACTAACGTTTCAATATACACAATAGTGACACACCACCCTTTTTTGTCTTTTATAGTTCTGGGTTTTGAAATTTCAGTCAACTTTTCAAAACTCCCAGTTTAGGGAATTGGAAATATTTATGTTTCTCACAATTGGTAGTCAGAGAAAATAACCGAAAAATAACTGTAGTTTCAAGTTTTTTGTTTGAATCAGGTTCTGGTTCAGAATCCTATTTCTGATTATGTGTTGTTTGAATATTTGAAGTTTTAAACTGAAAATTGAAAATACTCCAAAGCTAAATTATTCTGACACAAAATATCGAAGGTGTAGAAGAGAAGCGCCGGTGGTCTGCGCCGAAGGTCCCACAACGACAACTACAGTAACCTAAAAAACTTCTGTTCTCCAGATTTTTTTTCTCAATTTTCGTGCATTTCTGACGAAAAGCAGCGAAAAACGTGAAAAAACTGGAAAATTAAATAATTTTCCTGGTTACGGTAGTGGTCTTTGTGGGACCTTCTGCCACGGCCACCGGTGTTTCTCTTCCACGAATCCGAATTTTTGTACCAAAAAAAAAAAGAAAAACACAGTTTGGCTGTATGAAGTTGAAAATATCTATGTTTTTTCTGCCGTATTCAACATGCTGTTCGAAATTCAATACATTTTTTCTTTCCTCCTTCACCTCTAGATATCGAATTTCAAACGGCTTCCAGGACTTTTTTCTTGCTGCTTCTTCTTCTTCTTCGTCTTCTTCTTCTTCTTCTTCTTCTTCTTCCCATTTGAATTGCTTACCTTTTACCATTTCATCGCCAGTCACTTTTTCCTTGGTGCCGTCTCTTCGGTTGAATCTTTGAGATAGCAGATTCTGAATTGATTGAAACAGAATTGGAGAACTTTGGGAACGGGATAAATTGCTTGACGATCTTGAGAAGCTGACGAGGAAGGACCGCCACGTTGGATTAGATATCACTGAACGAATGGGTGGGACGAATACTGATAACAGAAGCCGTTTGATATGGATGCAAATAAGGGATTTTCAGATAAATATAGAAGCAGTGAATGGGCCGACGAAACGGAGAAGCAAGCTTAAAAGAGTACATGGAGCAGTGGAGGGTGGAAAGACGATGAGAGAAAGAAGAATAAGAATAAAAAAGAGGTGCATGTAGGACGACAACTAGGGCCCCTGAAGACCGCACATTTCCACTTTGTCTTTTTTTGTGAAATTTATATGAAGGATTATACTTTTGAAAAGTTTAGGAAAGAAAAAGAGAGGTCCGATATTTGGATCTACTTTTGTGCGCTATCCTGAAAGTTTTCCCTGAAGTATTCTTTCCTGAAAAATTTGTTGATTCAGATTTCACAAAGTATTTATTATTTTCAACATGGATTAGCTTCTCAATTTCGAATCAACCCTTTTCTTTGTATCAAGCTCTGGTAATCGGCTTCTAACCAGTTTCGGGAAATTTTCCAACCAGATTCGAGTAAAATTCTACCCAGATTCGGAAAGTTTTTATTTTCCGACCAGATCCGGTGATTTTCTGACCAGATCCGACCGAGAAAGCTAATTTCCCAACCTGATTCGGACAATTTTCTAACCAGATCTAGCCATTTCTGCTCCGGAATTTTGGACTCAGGGCAATCGTTTCACGTCTAATTAGAAGTTAACCAAATCTAAACTAGCTAATTCTATGTTCTAACGCAACCGCTTTAGATCGGCAAGCCGGCTAGCTAGATTCGCATACCGCCTAGGTAGATTCGCGTCTAGTTAAATTAGGATGCTTCCTCATTAGATTTGCTTGTTTTTTGAAAGTTTATTGATTTTTGAAAAAATTTCGGATTATAAAAAGGTTTATTCAACAAAAACAAGCAAAGTACAACAAATGAGGGGACTAAGAAAAAGAATTAAAAATGACAAACGAGGAATTATCAAATTATCCTGTTAAATTTGTAGAAATCTTCGCTTCCGCCTATATTTCGAATTTTGAGGTCTTTGCTGGTAGTTTTTTTGAATTATAGAGATCCTTCTAAATATCGCTATGACAAGTCGATATCTTTGCTCCAGACAGCTCCGAATCCCAAATATTCGTCGAATTTTTCTGATCGTAGACGTTGAATATTTTGAAACTGAAATTTTTTAATTGTGTCATTTAAAGAGTGGGACATTTAGCTGATCACTTTATCAAAATACTGTTATTGGCGCAGCTTGTGATTTCGGAGCACTTCCATTTTTGAGTGGCGATTGAAATAACTGTTGATATAATTTTGGATTGAGTGGCCAACAATAGAAAGTATGTCCGCTTCAGTTCTTCTCGTTCCAAAGATCTCCATAAAGACCCTGAAAATGGTAACATTCATTTGGCATGTTTCTAGAACAATTACCTCCGGTGTTTGTATCCTCTGTGTGAACGCCATCATATTCAACAAACTTTCATAGAAAAAGATATTAACTTTTCCCGAATTTTCGAACAGTACTGGCGATTTCTGCGATAGAATTGAAGTTTTCGGTAGAAACGGAATCCAGACCAGCTTACAATCTCATTTTCATCAAAATTTCTGAATTCGGTTTAAATAACGACATTAAACATGAAAAAATACATTTTGTGGGCGGACCCATGTCAATAAACAATGGACTCGTTTCCGAGAAATTTAGGACCAGAAAATTTATTTCAAAAACTGTAAAAACAAACTACGAAAAAACGATGAAAACAAAAATAAATAAATTTGAACTAGCCGAATCTAGCTAGTTTCTAATTAGGTTCGCTCATTCGCGCATTAGAAAAAACAAATCTATCTAGATTCGCAAATATCGACTGGCCGTACCGAATCTAACTAGATCCATATTATATGTGATTATTTTGTATTTTTGCTACTACAATCTATTTAGATATGGCATTCCTAGTTAGATGTGCAAATAACCTAATTAGCCGTGGTTTTTCTAATGAGAGCTAATTAGACGTGAAACGATTTCCCTGAGGAAACCGATTACCAGAGAAGCTTGGTCCTGGTCGCTTGGTTGAGCCAAAACAACGACTTTGATATGGCATCGTGCAAAAAGTTTGAAACTTCCTTTTTTATATTTTCGATCCGCAGAATCCCTTTATACGAAGTTTTCATAAAGTAACTTTCGAATCACAATCCGTTACAATGAGAGCCTTTTCATTTGAAAAACCGCGCTTTGAATTTAGCCACAGCGCGCGTTTGCATCATGCGCCTTTAAAAACGAAATTTTGAATTCTCTTTGAGACAGTTTTCGATATTTTTCAAAGTTTTTGAATGTTTCCAACATTTTCATAAAATTTTCAGTATCATAAAACGTTTCAGCAAAATGTCAGAAATTTTCTCCACGGGAGATCAATCTTCTGGCTCATTGGAGGACTCAAATGACGAAGTTAGGCGTAAAAATGAAACTGCCTTCAAGTATTCACAACTTTGTAAGTTACCAATTATATTTTATGTGAAAATGTTGTTTTGTTTTCAGTCCACACAACTCTATGTGAGAAATTGTATCAAGAGTTGTGCGCTCTGGCAATTGGAGAGTTCGACATTCCAGAAGGTCAGATTTCACCAGTCATGTGGACCAGACTCCATGAGGTATTCAAATAAAAAGAGAATTATCCATTAATCACAAGTGTTGACAGATCTACTCAGAAGTCGAGATGCAAACTCGCAAGCTTCCTAATGGTGCCAAATATTCTATCGACTCTCAGAAGTATGCCAATGAAGCCGTCCAAATTGCCAGTATTCTCTCAATCTACACAGCTTTAGCACACGAATACGATGAAACTTTGGAAGTTTCTCTTCTCAGTAAACTAGTGGTTGACGATGTGGAATTTAGGCGTTTATATGTAAGTTTCTCTTCGCTGTGCCAATCACAGAGAAAGTTGTCAGGCACTTCTTCTATGGAGTGAGAAAGCAATCAGCGAGCAGCAGTATGAGTCTGGGCTTGGAGATAAAGTGAGAAAGATTGAAAGCACAAAATCGAATCGCATCAATTCGATTATGATTTTGAAACGCCCCACTTTTTCTGCCGGTGCTCCAAAAGACGCTTCTTTGGATCCAGACGCCCCAGGTACAAAGGAAGATCAAACTCTAGAGCAAATGGCTTACACCACATTCTTCCAACTTGTGCGTTGTGGAGAAACTACCAAAGCCGCTAATCTAGCGATTGATTTGGGAATGTCTGCAATCGGAGCTCAACTTCAGTTGCACTCGATGCTGCGTAATCCTCTAGATGTCCCATTGAAAGTTTCTTCCCAAAACTTTGGAGAAGTGAAGAGAGCTCGTCGTGCGAAGTACTATGAAATGACACAAAGATTGATTGAAGAGTCGAACGGTAGTGAGGATAACGCCTACTGGACATTGGTTTCTGCTCTACGTGGCAATATTGCTCCAATGCTTAAAGCATCGAAGAATGTTATCGAGAAAGTATGGGCGTACGCGAATTCTGCTGTTCTTGCTAGACTTCTCCTCGCAGAAGGAGCTATGGATCAAGAGACAGTTGCCACTCTATTTAATGTTCCACTTACCGCAAAGTCACTTTTGGAAGAATTGAGGACGGTAAGTTATATTTTTTCAATTCTAATTAATTTTTCTTTATTTAAGGAATATGATGGGTCCAAAGAAGTCTACATTCTTCTGAGAGTGATTGATGACATGCTTAACGATGATATTGAAGACCTATTCAAATTTGCAAACGAAACGGTTGGAGAATACGTTCCAGACGACAAAAACTGCGAAGTTAATGTTCTCGCTCTTGATATTTTCTTCCATCTTGTCGCTGTCGCTTACGCCAGTGGATTTGAATCTAATGACGATGGAAACGCTGTTATCGTGTTGGGATTCGACGATCTTCGTGTCCGGAGTGGCAGTACATCACACAAACGAATGGCTGCGTTTTACTCCAGATTCCTACCAGAAGATATGAAAATCCCAGAAATTGTAGAGACAATGAAAAGTGAGATTGACTATCTATTAAAAAATTACAAAAATATATATTTCAGTGGTGGAATCTGAAAAAGAACGAGAAATATTCGCTGAGTCATTGAAACAATCGGACATTAATTTTGGACGATGTGCATGCACACTCATCGAGCAGATCAGGAAAGATGACGAAGCCAAAATTGTTTCACTTGAAGCACAGATTGATCACTGGAATTGGTTGTTAGTCGGAGGGGAGGAAACCGCACTGGCTGCTCTTGAGGAATGCAATCGTTTGCTTCGAAAGATCATGTTGAAGAAACCGATGGATGAACCAGTTGTGCGACAAATTATCAGGAGAGCTATTCAAATGGAACTTCCGAAGACGTTGTCGCAAGCAGTTGTCAATGGAACAACACTTCTTTCGTTGATCAAAGACGGTACATTGTACGAACAAGAAAAAGGATCTCAACTAGCAATTGACAAGGTGGAGCATGCCGCCTACGAATTTTATGCTTTGTGTTCTATTCTCGTAAGTATCTGGTTAATGATGGAAGTTTTATTATAACATTTTTCATAGGATGTGAACAACTTCATCATTACAATCGCTCTGAAACTGAATCTCATGGTGAAATATTCTCCTATCACCGATGACGAACTTGCTGCAATGGGTGGAGGCAAACGGTTAGATAACGTAAACGCTCTTGATTGGGAAGCGTCTCTGAGAGTTCGTGCACGCGCTGAACAGACGTTCCGTGAGGATTTATGTAAAAAGACGGCCGCTGATCATAATACCCGTCTTGGAATGGTACATCAGCATTTTGATGTAAGTGGTAAAATTTTCCAAAAAAAAAGAAACAATTCATTTTTAGACTGTTCTCCCAATCTTCCGAGGACTCGTTCAAAATATAGGAATTCGTCCTGAATTCTTCCTGAGCCCCAGAACTAACTCGGATCCAATGCGAGATCATCGAAGAGAGATCCAAATGCTGCGCAATCATTTTATCACCCAATTCTTCCTGACATTAGCGGAAGCAGCTGCGAAACTCAATGAAACTACTCGCTTCCAAGAGGTTGTTACAAGTTTCAACGACGACTTTGGAATAGATCAGAGCTTGGTGACAACGATAAAAGGATATTATGCTAAAGTTAACATCAAACTCGATTAACATCCATATCAATAATTGACGATTTCTGTCTTATGTTCTCTTCAAATTTTATTATTTTGTTGAGTTGTTCTCTTTCTTCCTTTATTTGTGAACATTTCCGGTCGATCTTTCGGCATGGACAGCGTCCGTGCAGTATTTGAAAATAACATAGTAATTGTGGTTTCGCTGTGTTTCACGTGAATTTGAGGTCATCAGATTGCAGAAGATCTCGATCGCCGAGTGGTTTTTTTCTATACGTTCTGATGCAATAACCCAGTCAATAAGAAAGTATATGGTATTCTAGGAATTCATTAAGACTCGCTTCGCTTTGAGTCTTCAAATAGTGATTTCAGATGCAGATTTGGTTATCAGACGCAATTACTGGAAGTCATTTGTTCCGATTTGAGTTTTTCCTTCTGCCGCGGTATTGGAATCACTTTCTCGACTTTTCATCAATATTTTTCATACCGTATCTGTTCTATTAGTTCAAACTACGAATTCTGTTTTTTGATCTACCGTACTTCTCAAAGAAAAAAGTTCATCAAAACAGCTGGCGGCAAGAAGGAGAGTGGTTCATTGGTCACCACTGCCTATAAAAGCACATTCGTTCATTCTCTCCTTTATTTGCTCGTAATCATTTGTTATTCAACACCGTTCCTCTATTGTTTTATGATCCTTCGTAGCTATCACCCTTGATTCATTGATACACGTGTATCAAACGTTAACTTCGACGTCGGCTTTTGCGGTATGGGAACGATACATATGCAAATGTACTGTTCCCATGATACGCGGACGGTTTGTGTTCTTTGTCCGATACTTTCCTATAAAAGGGGTCGCATCTCCCTCAATTTTCAATATTTCTTTCTTTTGCAGCGGTGGCAAAAATGAGAAATCAAAAAGAAGACTTCCTTTGCCGACTAACTGTTATCAGTTATCAGTTGGTCGGAGATCTTTTTGATTTCACTTTTTCTTCTCAGAAATTTTTGTTAAATTGAGGTAGCGTGACGATTTGGACATTTGATTTAAAATGTTCTGTCGGTGTCGTACTGTGTTGCTGGTCATTGTTATGCTGGAACTTCCGTTTCTCTTGTCCTTTTTTACTATGGAATGGTCATGCACTTCTGATTCTTCTAACAGCTGACTTTTCAAGGGCGTTTTCTATTAATTTGTGATCTTAAACATCATCGAATGAATCAGCTCCACGTGTCGTCTCGCCGCTTTCTCTGCGATTCTAACTCTCAACTCATCTCTCGGCTCCCTTGTTTCTCGCTGTTTTCTATTTGCCACGCCACTCACTGCTGTTTATGGGGTGGTCCACTGCTGCAAAAAGTGCCTGTCGTCTGTTGTCTCGTTTTTAATGAAAAGGACACACGAAAAGTATCAAGAGGCTGCTCGTTCGGGCCGTTGAAGATGGTATCTGGTGCTACCTCAGCGGAGATTGAGGAGCGGCTATTTCTCAGGTCATTCTTCTCTTATGTTTACACTGGACTTGTCGCACTCCTCTTTCTCGATCTCATCCATAGCCTCATTATCGTTCTAGGCGTTCAATTCCTACTCATTTATTCTTGTTTCTGTTATGCGAGCTCTAATCATTCAATTATTGCAGGTAATCACCACTACTAACTAGCCAACGAATTCAAAATGTGCGGAATCTTCGCTTACCTCAACTTCCTCACACCGAAGAAGCGTTCGGAAATTGTGGACATTTTGGTTCAAGGACTGCAAAGAATGGAATACAGAGGATACGACTCCGCTGGTATCGCCATCGATGGATCCAATGACATCGAGTCGCCTCATTCGAAGGTTGCATTGCTTCGGAAAGCTGGAAAGGTGTCAGTCTTGAGCGATTTCATCAAGGAGAGTGCTGATGACCTTGACATGGATATGGAGTACAACATCCATTGTGGTATTGCACACACCCGTTGGGCCACCCACGGATCACCACGTGATGTCAACTCTCACCCACATCGTAGCAACGACAAGAATGAGTTCCTCGTCGTTCACAACGGAATCATCACAAACTACCGCGAGATCAAGGAGTACCTCGAGAAGAAGGGACACAAGTTTGAATCCGAGACCGATACTGAAGTCATCGCCAAACTCACACAGCACATCCATGATCGCTACCCCGACTTCTCGTTCCGTCAGTTGGTCGAGACTGTTATCCAGCAGTTGGAAGGAGCATTCGCATTGGCCTTCAAGTCGTCTCGCTTCCCAGGACAACTTGTTGCTTCTAGACGTGGTTCTCCACTTCTCGTCGGAATTAAGAGCAACTCGAGACTCCAGACCAACCACTTCCCAGTCTCTTTCTCCAAAGGTTAGAACTATAGTTTTTACATGGGTTTCTAGAGTAAGAAACTTTCCAAAAATGTCTGAAATTTTCTTTAGATGCTGGGTGGAAATGGGGAGACGAAAAGCAAACTGATGGTAAATTTTCAAACTTGGGTCTCATCTCTCTTGGTTGCTTGAAATCACTGCTGGACTAACCCCTGCATGCTTATCATTTTCCTCCTTTCAAAACGTTATCAATTATTTTTCAGGTCGCCGGTTCATGTCAAACCATGCTACCCACTGTAAGTTTCAGAGCACCAGGGATTATTCAGTTCTTTACACATTGTTTTTCAGTGCGAGATGAGTCATCATTCGTCGAGACGCCAAACAACATCCTGGACCTTTCGATTGGTAAGAAGTCCCTCCCACTTTCCAAACTAAAATTTAGAAGCTGTTAGATTCCCGAGATGTTTGCAATTTACCAGTACCTGTAGACGAGTCCCAGAGAAGATTGTCAGCGTTTATGAATTCTCTGAAGAATGGTAGATCTTATTTGCACGAAATTCATTTTCTCTATACCTCCATACCCAGGGGAAACTTCTACTAACTATCTCAAGTTCCTCTAAACCAAAATGATCGCTCGCTGGGTAATAATAGTCTCTATTCAGCTGTCAGATCGTCGAATGGATCCGCCAAGCTAGAGATATCCGACAGCACCACAGCCGTCCGCCCATTCGATTCTGCTGATTGGGAAGTCGAATACTTCGTTGCTTCTGATGCCGCCGCCATCATCGAGCACACCAAACAAGTTCTCTTCCTTGAGGATGACGACGTTGCATTCGTTGAGGATGGAGCACTCACTATCCACCGTATCTCCCGTCACGCCGACAATGGAGAGCAAAAGAGAGAAGTTCAACTCCTCGAGATGGAGCTCCAAGAGATCATGAAGGTAGGTTGGCTTGAAAAACACTGACGTGAACTCGGTCAGAGAGATAGGTGGAACCAGGGATCACCTGACAGTCAACACTCGTTTAAATAATATCATATTTCCAGGGATCCTACAAGACCTACATGCAAAAGGAAATCTTCGAGCAGCCAGATTCGGTCGTCAACACGATGCGTGGGCGTCTCCTTCCATCAAGACAAGTCGTTCTCGGTGGAATCAAGGAGTACCTTCCGGACATCAAGCGTTGTCGTCGTCTCATCATGGTTGCATGTGGAACATCTTTCCACTCCGCCATTGCTTGCCGTCAAATCCTTGAGGAACTTTCGGAGTTGCCAGTTGTTGTTGAGCTCGCCTCCGACTTCCTGGACCGTGAAACACCAATCTTCCGTGACGATGTCTGCCTCTTCATATCCCAGAGTGGAGAGACTGCCGATACTCTCATGGCTTTGAGATACTGTAAGCCACGTGGAGCTCTCACTATTGGAGTAACTAACACGGTCGGATCATCCATCTGTCGTGAGTCTCACTGCGGAATCCACATCAACGCTGGACCAGAAATCGGAGTCGCTTCTACTAAAGCTTACACCTCCCAGATTCTCTCGCTTCTAATGTTCGCTCTCACTTTGTCCGATGATCGCATTTCAATGGCCACTAGACGTGAAGAGATTATCGATGCACTCAACGATCTTCCAAACTTGATCCGCGAAGTTCTCAAGCTCGACGACAAGGTCCATGAGATCGCTCAACAGATCTACAAGGAGAAGTCGCTTCTCATCATGGGACGTGGATTCAACTTTGCCACATGCCTCGAAGGAGCACTCAAAATCAAGGAACTTTCGTACATGCATTGCGAAGGAATCATGTCTGGTGAACTCAAACACGGACCACTTGCCATGGTTGATGAGTTCCTTAGCATCTGTATGGTTGTATGCAATGATCATGTCTACAAGGTAATAAGAATATAAACGAGACAATTCTGATACTTTTTCTGTTTCAGAAATCGTTGAACGCTCTCCAACAAGTCGTTGCCCGCAAAGGAGCTCCAATCATCATCGCGGACAACTCTGTTCCAGAGGGAGATCTTGCAGGAATGAAGCATATTCTTCGCGTTCCAAAGACCGTCGATTGTGTGCAGAACATCCTTACCGTCATCCCACTCCAACTTTTGTCCTACCACATCGCCGAGCTCAATGGTGCTAATGTAAGTTTAAATATTTGTTCTCTTGACACAGTGAGAATTATCTGATTTTTAGGTTGACCGACCCCGCAATTTGGCCAAATCCGTGACAGTCGAATAACGACGTTTCCCAGCTACGAGTCCATTTATTCAGTGCCTTCTATATTCAACATTGCTTTTTGGTCATTTTCTGTGATATCCCTGTCCCCCATTTTTTGCTTCATTTTCCCCTAATCACCTAAATTATTATGCACGATGTATCTATAAAAATGATAAACGCATGTCAGAATAACGTTTTTTTTCTCAATGTTTCACTTCCAGCTCCGCTTTGCCACTTGTCCTTTCGTCTCATAGATCTTTGGATTTATGTGGTAACTGAAACGGATATAGAAGTTTATATAGAACATCACATAACATTGATATCAGAAAGAAACGAACAAAATTATAGAGATTATGGCCCAATGTAGAGAAAATAGTCAGATTACTGGGGCCTGAAAGATTAGAAATTCAAGATTTTCACTGAAATCACTGTTTTTGGCAGTGTTAAATTGTGTTCCAGGCTCTTGAAGTCATGGTATTTGTTTTTATTCTTGAACAAGCAAGCTGGTGCGCCTTCGGCGCGAATCAATCTTGTTTTTTACTGATTCGTGGTTCAGCTCCTCAATTATTCTTATAGGGTCACGTAAATTTATATTAATTTTTCAATCTTTTCAAAAAAAAGTTTACAGACTGACACCGGGACGGAAAACTGTCGAAAACTGGTGAAATTCCCTTAATAATGGTGTCAACATAAGCCCCGCCCACATTGCACGCAAAGTATTTATAGTGGACGGCGGAACCCGGGAGATGTCGGCCGCAACGGAAACCCTACATATTGTCGGATTAAAGAAACTGGGATTTGAAAATTTTCTCGGGCAGCCTTCGTGTCGTTTTATGAGGCATTGCCCCTAAAACGGATACTGTAAAGATCAAATTAGCTTATGCGAATTTGGTGGGATTTTCTGAACAAAATTTTGATTTTTTAGTATAAAAATGATCGCTAGCATCTCTAGAATCCATTTTTTTTCAGCAAAAACTGAACTTAAATGGGGAACTTCGTAGATAAAAAAAGCGACGTATTTAAAATTCTCATGTCCTAGTTTTTTTTAATTCGGCAATATATAATCGTCCTCGTTTGGGTGGTCTCTCGGTGAAAATCACACAATCTCTTCTGAGTCGGCTGCTATCCTAAGGATGGTTGGCAGGTAGGGGAGCTCCTAGGTTAGTATGCATATTCCCTAGGGGCTCAGAAGAGATTGTTTGATGGAAACCCCCGAGGTAACCTAGGGTATTATACCGGGAATTCTCTGATCTCTGAACGGCATGTGTTGCAATAAAAAGTTAGATCAGAAGTATAGTTTTGGTAAAATTTTTAATTTTCGTCAGCTTCTCGTCCTTTTTTCGTCCGTTACTCGTCCGTTTTTGTCCGTTTTTCGTCCGTTTTTTTTCAGTTTTTTGTTTTTCCGTTTGCTTCAGGTTCGTTCATTAGTTTCGTTCGTCAAGTTCGTCCGTCAGGTTCGACCGTCAGGTTTTTTTGTCAGGTTCGACCGTTTGGCGGCGCCACGCGTTTTCATATTTCGTATTCTCTTGTTTTAGCGTTACTGTAATCTGTCATAACATATGTATAGTTTTTTTAAATATATAGCTTGCATTCATATCTCATACATTTTCGTGCAGTATTCTGTCTTTTTCATATTTTCGATTGGCCAGACCATACTTCTTCACCTGAACAAAACATAAGAAATTTCCAGTTTTGTTGTTTTTCTTTTTTGTTGAGAGACATTCAGCTCCGCCTCCTCATTTGCACTTTTCGCCTCCGTGCTCTTTGAATTCGTGGGATATTCTTTTTCTCCTACAATGCAATTCTCGGAAAAGTAAATATATTTTTCCGGTTGAAATCTGCTCCTTCGTAAATAACTACGGAAGTTTAGTAAGGTTCATTGAACCGTTTCCTAATCCAGAAACTCGGCTCGACACCCTCAAAAAGTCATTATTAGTTTAGCGTTTTGCAATTTTCTAGGAGACCTTCTTCTTCTTCTTCTTCTTCTTTTTACTACTTATTCACTTCTATTTTTGGTGCGACGAATGCGTTATGGAAAAGTGTATTTTTATGATCGAATGGGAAATCGAGAACCGAGTGAAGCTGATAAGATAAGAGGTGATTAGAGTTATTCAATAAAACCGTAAGGCAAGAAGTTCAGAAGCTTTGGAAAACTTCGAAGCACCCAGATTCAGACCACCAGATGAGCCGAGAATGATGAAGAATTATAGAACACAATGTAAGAATATTCAAGAAAACTTGAAAGTCCAAAAATAAGAATTTCAGTTTCTCCTCTCGATACACCACCACCAATAAGTGGAAACGGGACACCACCAGGCTCCGGAATGCATCAGTATCTATCAGAATCAAATCGAGAAATGATTATAGATTTACCAGCGAATATATCTAATTTCGGAAGAGACGATGGAAGTTTAGTGCTTCCTGGAAATCTGATGGGTGGAGACGAGACCAGTATTCCGAACATTGATCGTTACCGTATGGATCTTCCACCTGAAATCTATCCGAATGATCCCATGCCACGTGGAATATCGACACCTCCCATGAATCTAAAGTTCAATTTAGGAGAAGAAATGGATAGAGATGTGGATAAAGGAGTGATGAGAGGGTTTGGAGGCGAAAGACATTATGAGGATCCAATGGTTGAAATGGAGCAGAAATTGGGGAATATCAGATTTGAGAGTGATAATGAGGTAACACCGAGACGTTTCTCGAGTCTAATCTGGGTATTCAGAAACATGGAAACCTCATAACAAAATACGAAGAAGACTATTACAGTCATGAGATTTGTGCACAATGTCAGGCCGAAGATGCATATATGGAGAGGATGAGAAGACAAGCAGAAGAAGAAAGAAGAAAATATGATGAGACAATGAAAAGAGCAAAGATGTATGAGGATTTGACAAGAGAGAAGGAGGAAGCGTTTAGAAAGGTGAGAAGGAAAGGGAAAAGTAAAGAGTGGCCCATAATTTACTAAAGTTTGTACTAGCATAAATATTAAGTAAAGCGTTGTGATAGGCTCAAATTTGTAGTGCAAAAATTCAAATAATTCATTTGTAAACTGGTCAAGTTTCAAAGTATTTGATCAACTTTGAGCTGAGTTATCGCTTGTCAAAGTTGCTTCGTATCAGGAAAAGCATAACGGCGTGCAAGAAACACATGACGTTCTTTTTCGAACAATAATAACAATACCTAACCTTGAGGAATCGCTTGGAAAATTTCAGAAGCTTTGAGTCAAACGTAAAATCATCTTTCTACCAATTTGCGTGTTTCCAAGATATTCATGTCTGAAAATCATACTTGCGGACGGGCCCAAAGCGGGCCGTGGCGGGTCCTGTCATAGTTTCTTTTAGGATTGATATTTTTGACCAACTAAAGTAGATATGGTAGAACTCGACGAGCACTACGAAATGATAGTATTTGAGATACTGTATCATATTTTTGAACAAAGTTACAAGCCAAAAAGCTGCAAATGCGGGCTGGGCCGGGCCGGTTTTTTCGGCCCGTTTGGTCTGTAAATTTGTTCACAAACATGATACAGTGTTCCAAATAGTATATTTTGTAGTGCTCGTCGAGTTCTATCATATCTAATTTAGTTAGTCAAAAAATATTGATCCTAAAAGAAACTATGACAGGGCCCGCCACGGCCCGCTTTGGGCCCGTTCGCAAGTATGCTGAAAATATACCCGTTTTTATCCCCCTGCACAGTCAACAGAAGCAACACACATATTTATTCATAAGTTATAATCATAGGTTTAAATTTGCTTCTTTGATTCCACAGAAATCACATCTGGCTCTTTCCTTGACGATTTCTGTGCCGGAGTAGGTGCTTTTGCCAACACATCCTCGCCATCTGCCGAGTCTTCCTTACTCATCGGACCTCTTCCACGTGCTTTGTAGTCCGCTTTCTTGTATCCACTCACAGATCTTGCTTTTGACGCTGACGAGTTTTTAGATGAGACCGGTGGCGAAAGAGATGGCATTTTCAGTTCAACCCAGCGACTATTCTAAAATTTTCATTTTTTAAAGTCAAACTGAAAAGTTTCAAATAACCTTGAAAAACGATTTTGGATTCTCCCAATAGAAATTTTTCTTCTTGGGTTGTTTAATCGTTTTCTCCAGTTCAGATTGCCCCGATAGTTCCCAGTCAAAAGGCGAATCCCAAGAGACTTTGGATTTATCCATTGAATCCTTCAAGAACTGATAGACCAGTTCGTAATTCGGATGAGTATAATAGTTCATCGATTTGAGCATTTTGTCAATTTCGTTCAGTTGGCGACGCATTTCTTGTGTGAGACGATTGGGATTCTTTTCTAAAATTATTATAACAATTGAAGAAATTCAAAACAAAAAGAGGCCTAACCGTCAATGAATAAACGAAGAAGTGATGACTGATCTTTGAGTTCATCCACCGGAAGATCCTCATTGTTAGTCCATGGAAGTTCGACAAAAAACTCGGCAACCATATACATCAACGACCAGATATCATCGTGGCGACCCTAAAAACATCTTCTAGACATGTGAATCTGGCTAAAAGAAGCTTACTAGTTCTTTCTGTAAGTGAGCATTTGGTGAAGCGTACTGATGGGTTCCACGGAAATCCGTATGTGGACGAGGGATCCGAAAAGCATACTCATCTTCGTCCGGCTTCTCTTCTGCAGTCCGTTGACTGTTATCAGCTGCCTTCGGTCCTCTTAGCTTTTTCATCTTCATCTGAAAATAATATTATCGACCTTTCTTTTCTTGCAAAAACCAGAGATGTCCGGAATGACTTTTTTGAGAAGCGGAATAGGGCATCCGAAATAAAACAATTTTCTCAGAATCCGGAATCCGGAAAACGGAATCCTGAACGAAAAAAAAGCTCGGAATTCGGAAAATCCGTTACGGAATACGGAATCCGGAATTTTGAGGCCTTCCACGGGCAGAAAAATTTAACAAAAACACATATCGTTCTTAAAAACATATTAGGTCGTCTCAAAAGTAATCTGTATTTTTTGAAATTTTTTCAACGAAACTTTATTCAACTCTAGCAATATTTCAGTAAGTAATCTAATGTTCATTATGGTCCATCATACCCAGCCAACGTTTTGGTAGATGTTCAATGTCTCTCGTCTAGAACGTGGGAGGCTATTGCGTAAAGAAGGCACCTAGGTACAACTTGAGGTCAGATCTTCCATCGAAGCGCTTACCCTGTTAACCATTCTTAAGCGAGCATAATAAATTTCGTTGGCGAGGCTATGAACTGAGATTTTTTGAAACAAACTGGCATGTTTTAATGAACAAAAGATGAACATCATTAAAACAAAAAAGAAAACGAAAATCGACCCGCGAACATGGGCGAAATGCATTCCTAAAAAATACAGATTACTTTTGAGACGACCTAATATTTTAGCATTGTTAGTCGCGGAAGTTCAAAAATAAGGCAAAGAAATCTTACAGTTAAGTATGCTGAAAATCCGGAATAAAAGTTTTTCAACAAACTCTGAAAAGTTCAAATCGACAGTTATTTTGGACTATTTTTGTAATTACTCAAACGTGGTTGGTACTCACGGTGAGTTTTTCACTACCGAATGCGAAACAGTCTGCGACGTTTTAAAGTACAACGGACAAAAAAATCTGATTCATTTTTTTGCTATATATTCTTCATAAAATTTACTAAAGATTTATGGAACAGAAAAAAAGTTATGGACTAGAATTCGAGAAAAAAATTCCAAAGTTGAAGCAGCGGTAGTGAAAAACTCACCGTGGGTACTTATTCACTAAACGGTTTGTCGAGCTTCCTTTTTCTAAAGAAAAACTACTGACCTGAACTTTCATCTGATTTTTTCGAAGAACGTCCTCAGTGTTCACATGTTTGCTCCTGGTTTTTTTTACTTTCGACCCTTTTTCTCCAGACGGTTTCACTTGCTTTGTCTTGAGTTTCGATGCTCCATTCTTGGAGACAGCGGCGTCTGTTTTCTTCGAGATACCCAAGTCGGCTGGCGGGAGTTTTCGAACAAATCTAGGTTTTGATTTTCATAGAGGGATACAGTAATCCTAAACTCACTTTCTGGCCAAACCAAAATCGAAAAGAAGAACTCGTCTGCTTCTTAACTCTGAAATTGTGTTCAAACCGATTGCGAAATTGTTCGGCTTGATATCTCTGTGCACGAATCCAGAGTCATGCATCACTTTGATTCTGAACATATCTCTTTTTGCTTTTTTAAATCCGAAAATCAAACTCACGCATACAAACACTGAATTCCAATTCTCGACCATGTTCCATCGGTCCAAACATCTGGATTTGGACTTCTGGATTTCAGCATTTTGAGATTATCACCAAGTAATTCAAGAACGAGATAATGGAAACGCGGCTTTCTTCCTCCAGAAATCAATTCAGGGAACACTGTATCTTTTGGTAGTTGTTGCAAAACATTGATTTCTAGTTTGATCGCAGATCCACCTCCTTGAAAACTCGATTCCAATTTCATCGCATAGAACGTTTTATCATCTCTTGTCACTTTGAAAACTTGCCCGAATCCTCCTTCGTCTATCTTCTTCACCAGTTTGAATCCGCTTACTCTGAAATTGAATTTTTAAAACTTTTGATCTTCAGAATTCACAAACGTTTCTCCAATACTAAAGTTGAGCTCATCGCAGTTCCCTCCGTTTGCATTTTCTTTAGAACCTGACATTTTCTGAAGACTTGCACGCTTACAAAATTGAGAATATTGTTGATTTTTGTGTTCCGTTGGAGTTGCCAGTGGTAGTTGGAACCGAAAAATTAAATATATAAACGTACACGTTGCCAAAATAGAACACTTCAGGATGTTGACCTATATTCTTAAAGCTTCTGAAATCTATTCAAGATATCTACAGTAATCCAAAAGCATTCAGGAAGAAGCAGAAAGAAATAAGGCACTTCGAGAGCACGTGGATCGTGTGAATGCTGAAATGATAGAACTGAAGAAAAGAAGACCCAAATCGCCGGTGGTGAGTTCAGACAGTTTTGACTAGAACTCCCCAAACAATTATTTTCAGCAAGAAAATTACATCTTCCGTCACGAATCACCCAGAATTCGAGAGGCAGAACAAAGAACAAGAAAAGACGCATATAGAGCTGAACTTGATAGACAAGTCGAAGAAAAACGATTGAGAAGAATCGCAGAATTTGAGAAAAACGAAGCAATTGATGCGACAAGCAATGCAAGAGCTGCACTCGAGTAAGAGTTTTTTGATAACTTGGAAATTTTTGAAGATCTCTTTTTTCAGATTTGCGAATGCTCGAGAAGCCGAGAGAAAGTCGAATGAACACGCGAAAGAGATGGCTCGAAAGCAATTAGAGTTTCAGATGGAAATGAGTCGATTCGGCGCTCCATCAGATAGAAATTGGTTGTGGTGGGCGGAGAGACCGGATGAACACGGATGGAGAGATGCCAGATTGAAGGGATTGAAACATACAAATCAAGTTGAAAGAAATCAAACTATCAAGTGAGTTAAGAACCTTTGATCTCTTAAGTTTCCGGGGTTTCTAGGCAATCTATTGGAATGTTGGAAGAGTTTAAAGCTCGTCAAGCTCATGATGATATGGTGATGCGTGATAATCGAAGATCCAAATACGGAAAACTCCGAGACCAACTACACGAGAATTCTAAAATGTTGTATCCTCTTACTAAAACGGAAAGCCGTCCGAACATCGTTCAACCGGATCCACGTGTCGAAGCGGCTTGGAGAGAGGCTCATGAAAAATACGATAAAAAGTTTACAGTTTTGCAAGATAACGCAATGAAGAGTATTTCTGGAGCTGCATTGGATGGCGGTAGGCTTTTGGAATTGTACTCTGAATCAATTTTCGAAATTTCCAGTTGCCCATGCCACAACATCCTGTCGTCGCTGCGCTCGTTGTGCTCGTCCATTGGAACGGAAGACTACCTTAATCGTGAATCGAGGAGAAAACATTCTACCTCATCAGACCAATTGGCACAGAGCTTGATCATTTACCACATTCTAGATATTTTTCTATTTTCTTTTCAATTTTTCCGCAAGATAAACGTTAAATCATATATTCCAAAACTGTTTAAATAAAGCATAACTAAACATTAATATAGTCTTCTAAGCTTCCGGATTGAACATTGTACTGCGAACCATGTAACGCGGATCAGCTGGTATCGGTACGGCGCCAGCTCGTTTGAATTCTGTCTGATGATACTTTTCTCGAACTGCAACTGGAATCGTTGTTCCTCCATCTGCTTTCCACTGCTTTCTCGTTGTTTGATCAATGAATTCTATTCGGAACCTTACATCACAATTCTGAAAATATTATTGCTTCAATTTATAAACATTGGTAACTACTACCGCTTTGAAACTCAGTAGAAACTGAGCAGTGAAGTATTTGCTATCAATCTGATCGACGACTTCTTTCAGTACTTGATTGTGCTGTAAAACTTAAAATAAACATTGAAATAAATATGACACTTACTGAATGATTAGTGTGGTAAGTCACTTCAGCAAACACAATTACTGTTCGAATCTGTGATGGATGTGTCGATGAAATAGCACCATCTACACGAATCGGAATCGTCTCTCCAACCATCACATTGATCGGCTTTTCTTTTTCAATTTGTGGAGTTGTTGATATTTTGAAGTCGACGTGGTAGAATTGATGGAAGAAGAACCTGGGGAGCATGTATGGAATAGTGGATAGCTGCTCTGTGATGGTGTAGAGAAGTTTGATTGTCTAAAATTTAGAGAGAAACTATTTTCAGAATATCTTACTAACTCACATTGATATTAGGATGAAACTCATAACGGAGGTATTTGATTTTATCTATGACCCATTCCAATCGTTCCTTCTGCAATAACGAACATGTTCTCGCACTGTTCATTGGTGGAATTTGGACAATACTGAAAGTTTGAAGTTATTGACCGGCAGAAAACTTGACACTCACTTATCCGGTGATTGCTTTTTGAGAATCACTCTAACAGAGACCAATAGTACAGATACTCGTAGATAATATAGAGTTATGAGATCGAAAGACGTTGAATCAGCGCAAAAACTGGCTCGACACAGAGCGGACCAGTCGTTTAGTGCTTCATTTATTGATGCTTCACAGGGAGAGAGCTGTAGAATTTTGTAGAAGATCTTTGAAAAACGAGGCAAATTTGACTTACAGCTACCAAAAACCGTTTCGCCATCACTGGATTGAAGAAGGAATCATTTTGGAGAGCACCGGATAAAACTGTAAGAAACGGGCGGAGCACCGAAAGAAGATGAAAATGTGCATAGGAACTTGATAACATTGCAGAAGTCATTCCAATCGGAAAACGAAGATCTGCTCCAAAGCGAGAACCAGATTTCGCTGATTTCAGAGCAGATAATGCACTGATAAGATGATTCTGCTGCTTTTCTAGGTTGTCCAATCCAAGACATGTCACTTCTGAATCAGCGATTTCTCGGAGAGCAATGATCCATTTCTTCTCAAACTGTGGCATATGGTACAGGTTGAGAGCATCCAGATTTGGAGATGCCACACTTTTCCAATGTCCATTTCGGAATGCACTTCTTGCTGTTTCATACTTTGACACGTCACATTCATCGTAAAACACTTGTGGACAGTTTTCAGGGAGAGATGTTCCGACAGCAAGAATAAGATATGAGAACTGACTGGGATATGTATCGAATAACTTTTTCTTCTCGTTCTTCACTTGACACGCCCATTTGTGTATCTCTGGAATGTACATTTTCTCAGAATCAACCAGTCGACACAACAGCTCCAATCGTTCCTTCTGATTAGAATCATCGGTTACAGGAGAGTCGAATGCAGAAAACAATGCGGATATGATCATAGGACAGAAAACGTTATGAGTGTACGGGAAGGCCAGTAGAAGATCTCCGATAGCTCGAAACAACTGAAAGACGTAATTGTATTTGTTTGTTGAAAAGAATCATGACTTACTTTCGAAGCTAATCGTGTCTTCAGTTTTCCACAAGTACATGTGCTCACTATGACTACAGAGAAAGCCATCATTGTGCATTCGATGGTTTCTGGGGAATCCTTCTCAAATGCTCTGGGCGTACAGACAACTTGAGAGGCGAAATACACGAATCGAACGCTGACTTCTGGGTTAGCATGAGATCCATATCCTGTATTCGACATAGCAAGATTTTTTAAAGCATATAGAATTTCAATAGGGCAATTTTTCGAAAGAGAAGTTGTCGCGTCGAAAAAATCCATTAGAGATCGAGAAGTCATTCCGGGTTTTAGTGATGCCAAAAAGATCTGAAAGCATTTAAGTATACATCATAATTCAATGAATCATTGACTTGCTTTTACTTGTTCCTCTGACCATATAGTTGGGAATTCAGCCAACCTCTTCAGTTCCTTCAAAATTATGGTCCGTCGAGTTTCTGACGGAGGTTGATCTTTTCCTGAAGGAGTTAGGAGTTTCAGTAGCAATCCAATCTTAAAGAAGAGTGTTGTTTGAGAAACTTCAGTGGATTAGGCTTACCTGTTTAGAAATAGCATATCTGATTTCGATGCATAAACTCGTCGTAGAGTCGATGAACGCATGGAAATACTCATCACTTATTGTTCTTGGAAGAATTGTATCAGCGATTCCGAACACCTGCTCCACAACTTGTGCAGTAGCACTCATCGTAGAAAACGCGGAGCATAATTGAACTTTCCTTGATTCAGATGCTTCATCTTCTTCAAGAATCTTGCCGATTTGCAGAACAATCGACTCGGAAAACGTTCGTGACAGCGATGCGAATGATTTGAGTGCATGACATGTCGCTCGAAATTCACCTTCATGATTAGTTGAAAGTGACTCTCGAATCAAATGATGACATTGATTGGATTCTGGTAGAAGTGCTGACAGTTCGGCTAGAACATCAAGTACAGTTTCTCGAGCGTTCGGATCGTTTGAATGGCTGACTGTGAGAATTCGTCGGAAGATTTCGGGTGTGGAGAATGCGAGTGTCAGATGTGTTCCACATTGACTGAGGGCTCGAGCGATGGCAACACGAAGATCAAGATTTCTGTTAGAATCAGTAAAATTGATTTATCGTTATCTCTAAACTCTTACCCATCCTTGAATGCATCAGCCACTCTTAATAACATAGAGTTGACAAAAGTTGGTGCTGGGTTCTCTTCGAATAGTCTGCTGAGGTTTGAGATCGTTCCCAGTTGTTCAGATACCGGCCCTCGGAGACCCTTGTCAAAAATTGTTTGGGCCTGTGCGGTCCCAGACATTCTGGAATTATTTCTAGCTCATAGTTCCAATGAATCACCCCATATATATCCAAAACAATCAGTTCCAGATGAAACATAATAACTAGAATGAGAAAAGTCAACTCATCGTCTTCCGAACAGCTAAATAGAAGTATTCTACAAACATTTTAAAATTTTCGTGCATTCTAAACAAATCAAAATGAAAGAACAGAAAATAGAATATTAACGATAAAGCTAAAAGGGAAGGAATTTTTGAAACAGCGGTTTTGATTTTTCAGTAATTACAACAGGTAGAATGTCAGAAATGAGATAAAATGAATGTGAGGAGGTCGGGCTAAGAATCTTGTGGCATAAAAAGTGAAACTGAAACCAGAAGGGGGAGCTTTAAAAATAGAGAAATTCCAGGGGTGATGGGATCCATAAGGATTCGTTCATTATACAATTTATCAAAGAGAAATTCCAAATTGGCTAGTCGCGCACTTTGTTCATCTCGAAAACTTGAAGACCATCAACAATCTTCAACTCTTTGATTCCTTGCGGAGTGAAGAAAATGAATTGATTGTGCGGGAACTTCTTTGTTGCCAGTTCGACGAGAAGATCCATCACAAGCTGAAAATTAGAATAATCTTCTGAAAAATATTAAAATTCAAACCTTTCTGTTCATCATATCCATGAAGACATCAAACTCATCGAGCATACGGAATGGTTGTTCCATAACCTCCCAAAGGGACATGACCAGTGCAGCTGTTACAAATGATCTCTCTCCGCCGGATAAACCTTTTAGGTCACGGTTCTTCTTCTTTTTCGGTTGCTTTTTGGCCTTCTTTCTTCGTGGTGCATGACCGTCATCGCTATCATCATCTTCCAACTCTTCCTCCTCTTCATCTTCTTCATCTTCATCATCCGCTGGCGGGCGGTCAGCCATGGAATCTTTTTCTTTGCACGACTGCACATTAACATTGAGTGTTTCCTTGTCATGGTCGAATTCAAGGCCTCCGATGAAATGTCCTCGTACTTCAAGAAGCTCTTGGAATTTGTCGCAGACCTTCATTTCGGTATACGTTTTCAAACTAACATAACCTCGACAACGGGCAGCATGCACTTCGCGGAGACTTTCTACGGCTTCTTCTAGCTGACGACAAAAGAAACGATGCATCTTGAGTGTCTCCTTGAAATCCTTGACAGTTTCGTGGGTGATGGACATGTCACATCCTTTTGAAGCTCGTTCCACACTTTTATGCAGTTCAGCCAATTTCAGTTTTGCCTTGTCAGAGATTGGGAAATCAGTCAGATCGGGTGGATCTTGCTCTGTTGGTGGCATGGGTGTGGTCAACTTTTCTGTTTCAAGACTTTCCACAGCGAAGTCTCTTTCTGTGAGCAGTCTGGCTTCTCTGTGGTACAAAACTTGTTCATCAGCGGCCAGTTTTTCTAGACGAAGTTGAAGAACGTCTCCCTTTTTATCCAGAACAGCCATGTCTTCATGGAATTTGAGAATCGTTCGGTTCAATTCCTCAAGTTCCTTTTTCAATTCAGCATACGTCTTTGCAGATTCTTCTCTTTCTTTTACGTATGGTTGCATGTCTTTTTCAATTTCCTTCATTTTCTCTTCGATTTCAAGAATTTCTTGTTCGCTTTGTGAAAGTTTACTTTTGAGTTCCGCAATCGAATCGGACAGACTTGTGACTTGCTCTTCTTTAGAGGAATTCGCAATCGAGTTTTGTAATTCCTCAACGCTTCGGCGAGTTCGTATTTCGTGACCTCGGAGATTTGAGAGTTTCCTTTCAAATTCTTCCACTTCCTTGTCAGCAGACTGTTGTTCTCTTCTCAGGGCTTGAATTTCTTTTTCTATCTGCTTCACATCGGTGTCTATCTGCATCTTTGCCTGCTCAATGTTTTTCACTTCCTTTGTCAGCGCAGCTTCATCGAGATTTACTTGTTGGAATAATCCGGACGGTCTTGTGTCTCGCGAATTATTAGCATAGAAACGATATTGACTGTTCGGTCCATTGGCATATGCCTGAGAACCGTCAGATGTGAACGCTCTTGAGGCATTCTTCGGCGGATGTTTACTTCCCATCAAATTCATAGCCTCAGTTTTATCCTTCAAAAGAATAAACTGTTCGCAACTGGTCTTGTCGATTATCAGATTACTGGAAAAAGCATTGCATAAAACAACTGTACATCCGGATCTTAACTTACTCTACATCCGGATCTGAAATTTGCAGCACTCGGTACATCGATGGGTATTCGTCACTTGGCTCAACAAGATTCGAATAACGTTTTCCAGAAAATTCCGACACAATAATAGTAGGTCGTTCGTTTTTAGGAAGTCTCAAATGAGTGAAAATCTCTCGGAGGACGGCGGAATCCGACTGTGAGTGACATAAAAAGTTGTTCGCGACGTTTTTGAGACACTGCTCCACAGGATACGCCCACTGTGGATCTTTAAGAGTCACGAACTTTCCGATTGGACCTTTCGGTAGCGCTTTGAACTCTCCTCTTCTCTTTCCAATTTCAGACAAGATTTGGGACATTGAGCTTCCGAATCTGAAGAAATATAATCAGTTATGTACAGTTTTAAATGCAACTTACTTATTGACAGAGTTTTGCTTAGCGGCTTTGGCACGACGCAACATATCTTGTCGGTTAGTGAATTCCGTTTGAAGTTTGTGATATTCCTTTAGAGTTTCATGTTTCTCCTTGCTTTTCTTATTGAGATCGCTCGCAATAAAATTTGCTCTTTCTTCCAGCTGCACTTTTTCTCCACCAATCTCCATTTTTTCCACCTCCTTACTGATTCTTTGATACTCCTCATTTTTCCTTTCCAACTGTTTTTTAACCTCGTCGTTTCCTTGTTTAGCCACCATTGATTTCAATTTGTTTTCAGCTTCCCTAATTGCATCTTTGCATCCGTTAATATCAACTTTCTTTCTCCTATTCTGCTGCTCCAGTGATTTGATCTCGTCTTTAAACTTCATCACTTCGTCGGTCTTCGCTTTTTGTAGTTTTTGCGCTTCACCCATCTCTTCGGTCTGAAGCTCGGCATCTTCACAAACGTCTTGAACAGCTTTTTCGAGTTGATTTCTTTCTGCACGGTTGGTTGCATATTGGGTTTTCCACTCTTCGTGCAACTTATTGTGAACTTCTTGCTTCTTTTTATTCAGTTTGATTTCATCCTCCAAATCACGAACTTTGCAGAAAATAAGCTTCCAGACGTATACTCCGATGAGTGCACGATCACTTTCCACTCTCATTTGCAACTCCCGCTGCTCTTGCATTCGTTTCAATTTCCTTTGCTGAATAGAAACTTCTGCTGATTTTCGCTCCACAATTTGAGAACACTCATCAATGATGGCTGCGAAACGAACGTACGATTGACGGATATTTTCAAGATTGGTGGACTGAAGATAAAGTTTATAAACGTTGGAAGGCTTGAAGTTGGCTAAAAAACTCCTGGATCTGTCCTGACTCATCCAAAATGCCGGATTTGACAGATGGATGTTGAATCGGTTCACAATACGATCAATATCACTTTTCTTCTTGCTAATGACATGTTCGGTTTGATGACCGTTTGCCGACACTTTGATACTCTTCATTACATAGGTTGATGATGATTGATTGATGGTTCGCTCCACAGAAATTAAATCGTCCCAATCTGGATGTGAATTTAATCCTTTATTGGTTAAAGTGATTGTGATCTTTGATTGTCTGTAAGAATAAAATGGAAAAATCGACTTTTGATTATCGTTACTTACGGTGTTCCATCCTTGATATACGACTTAACCGTACTTCCTCTGTCATTGTCCGAACCTCTTCCTCCGAGACCTAAGTTGATGGCAGCAAACAAGGCACTTTTACCGCCTTAACAAAACAGGTAACATCAACAAATTAGTAAATTTCAACCTACTTCCATTCGGACCGCCGATGTAGAAACAATTGTTTTGTTTTGTGTTAAAGTCGATTTGAAGATTTGCATGGCACATAAAATTTTGAAGTTTGACAGAGGCAACGCGACCCGCTACTGCTATTCTTTCTTCTGAAAAATAATTTGTTTAGCCTCCAATTGTGAATGAAAAATCTCCTATCCTCCGTAGTCTATTTTTCTGGAGAAAAGCTTACCTTCTTCAAGCCTCGGCTTCTTTGCTGGAACTGAGGCACTGGCATCGTCGTCGTTCATAGTGGATCGAATAGGTGCGAGATTCTCATTCGGACTAGAACAGTCCCTTTTGTTCTTGCTCATACCCTGAATCGACTTTATTTTAAATAAGAAAGAGCAATTATTAAGAACTGGAGGTTGCTAGCCGCAACTACTCCAAAAATCGAAAGATTTAGCAGGAAAGAGAAAGAGTTTTTTAGGCCACAATAGATGACACACGGCCATAGTCATGTATGCGTCGCGACGCGTCGTTACGAGGTTTCGCAATACGAGGCCGTGCGGAAACAAAAGAGTGGTAGGAAAAATGGGCGGAGTCGGGGGCATATTCCAGAATTGCGAGCTGCGCACGGTTTTTTTTTACGTTAAAAAACATGAACTTGCAATTTAGGCTCAGAACCCCGACGCCGCCTATTTTTCTACCAGATTGTTCCTAACTTTTTCGTTCCTTCCGTTGGTGTGCTCTCCGCCGTTACTTCCCGAACGGAGTGAAGAATTTAGGGCAATTACTCTTTGACTACACCACTCTTTGACTACACCTACTCTTTGACTCCACATTCTCTTTGACTACAAAGTCTCTTTGACTACATTTATCTCTTTGACTACACTTGTCTCTTTGACTACACTTTTTAAAATTTTTAAATTTTCTGCAGTTTTTGTGGGCGTTCTCACAGAATATAAGAAGAATTTGAGCCTAAGCCTATAATTTTAAACAAAAAACTGACAATTCCAAAAATACATCACAGTGAAAAAAAGTACCGAAATTCGCGAAAATCAGCAAAATTCTCACTATTTTTCGCTGAGATTTCCAAATTTTTATTATTTTCTGTACAAATCAAAGGCTTAGGCTGAAACGTTTACCGGAAAACTGGTGTTTTAGCCTAAGCCTACAATTTGAGACAAAAATCGGAAACTCCAATAAATTCAGTCAAAAAGTACTATAAAACAAAAAAGTGTAGTCAAAGAGACTTTGTAGTCAAAGAGACTTTGTAGTCAAAGAGACAAGTGTAGTCAAAGAGATAAATGCAGTCAAAGAGATTTTGTAGTCAAAGAGAATGTGGAGTCAAAGAGTAGGTGTAGTCAAAGAGTGGTGTAGTCAAAGAGTAATTGCCAGAATTTAGCCCTAATTCAGTGAATTTGTGTTTTTTGAAAGCTGTTTAGAGCTTTCTATGATCCTGAACATAATGAAATCGAAACAGGCGAGGAAATGGGACAGAGATCCGGATTCCGGACATACATTTTTGGATATTTTCTACAAAAAAAGCAGAAAAAAACTCAAAAAACAGAAAAAAATGTCGATTTGCTCTGGATGGTGAAGTACGTATTAACGATACGGGAAAAAAAACGAAAAGGTGTTGAATGAAATCGAATATTGGGGTTATTCAGGGAAATATCGACTTTGAAAATTTGGCTGGAATTTCAGACAAATTTACAAAGTTGATATTTTGACCCCAAGCTTTGGCAAAATGTTTCCTATAGTTTTCTCCAGTTTTCCCCAAAGTTTCAGCCAGATTGGAACACTCTCCGAGTTTTCGCGGAGTTTTTTTCCTTTTTTGCCGACTCCCTGAATAACCCCATAAAACAAGTTTCGTAGTCCGGTGAAAACACTACGGTCGCCTGCTCACTTCCGTGCGAGACCCTATTCACTATTTTTGAGTGTGCGCCTTGTACTGTCTATTCAATAAAACCTGCGGCGCGCCCACGTTTTATTGAATAGACAGTATGTTATACGGCACCGATCGGCAAAAGTTCGATAAATTTATCGGTAAAATTCATAGAAAATTATAAATAGTAAACTGCAGCAGCTAGCTGTAATATTCGGTTATCTTTGTTTTTCTCCATGCTGAAGCAGGCAAAATTTTTGTTTTCGCACTATCCGTTCGCAGAGTGCATCACCTGGCACTTTTCTCAGCACTTTCATTTCTCTTCTGGACTTTTCATCTCGTTCTCACAAGTTTCCAAACAAAACGAGTGACGAAGTGATAACCTATGATGCAAAACAAACTTCAGCGGACGTTTGCTTGCAGTGCCGGACGGACGTAAGTATATAAGCTGGAAAGTTTACCAAGTTGTGACTCATTGCCATCAATTTTTCGTCGTACATGTTTAATCGAAGTCGATTTGAAAGTTGCATGTTTCTTGGTGTTTCTATTACTCTCACTTGTCAGTTTACTATTCAAGTTTCACTTCTCTGTCTCGTTAATCCCCATGATTGTGATTGGAAAAAAGCTAAAGCTCAATCGAATTGTAATAAAATGAATGGGTTTTCTCGTTTTCTTCTTCCGACACCACTAACCCAGTTGTTAGCTCGCAATCTCTTTTCTCACAAATAACACATCATTCTCTCTCTTCTGCCAATTTTTTCATGTCTCAAAAAAGGTTTTTTTTCGAGAAACATATCAAAAGAATTTAGCTCATCGTTTCAGAAATTTCAAAATGTCGGTTACGGCGAAAAACTTCTACCGTCGACCACTTCCGGAAACATGTGTCGAGTTCTCCAGTGAATTAGGAAAAAAGTTATTCACAGAAGCATTGCTTCAGGGATCAGCAAACATTTATTTCAAACTTGCCTCACAGTTCAGAACCCAAGATGAACCAGCATACTGTGGTTTAAGTACACTAGGTTAGTGTGAAAAAATTGGGATTTTTTACATTTAAAGTATTTAGTGATGGTTCTCAATGCGCTGGAAGTTGACCCAGAAAAAGTCTGGAAGGCACCATGGAGATTCTATCACGAATCAATGCTGGACTGTTGTGTACCATTGGAAAATATTAAAAAGTAAATAATTATTAATTTAACTTTAAATCTTTGGTTCAAGATCTGGAATCAACCTTCAGCAGTTCTCGTGCCTCGCAACGTGTAATCGTTTGAGATCCTCTGTTAGTTATGGGGAAACAACTCCAGGTTGGCTGTAGTCGGAAATTCATGAAACCTATTTCTTTTTCCCTTCAGAATTCCTCAAAAAATTCCGAGCATCGCTTGTGAACTCGGTAAAAAGCGATGATCAAGTTTTAGTGGCAAGCTATGATCGAAGCGTATTGGGACAAACTGGAACCGGTCACTTCTCCCCATTGGCAGCTTACCATGCTGATTCGGATCAAGTTCTAATTATGGATGTTGCTAGATTCAAATACCCTCCTCACTGGGTAAAACTAGAAACACTTCAAAAGGCGCTGTGCTCAGTTGACATCTCAACCAAAAAGCCACGTGGATTCGTAGAACTAGAGTTGAGGAAAGGAACGCGCCCACTGATAATGTACGGATTGAAAGCATATGTGAATGTGAACGATTCTGACTTTGCCACATCTGTAATTTCATGGAACGAGTTTTTACTTTGTGATCCATTGGAGAACGAGGAAGAGGAATTTCAATTATGCTGTCGAAAATTCGGGCAATGTTTTGCACCACACGCCCTGTGCTGCACTCAAAAAACATTCGATGCTGACCAGAAGAACTCATGTGTAGAATGTTCAAACGAACACAGCGATGCCTGCAAACTGATTTGCGCCGAAATTCGCAGAACTCGATTCGCTGAAGTGTTTTCAAGTTCAGCAGTAGCTGCATTGTTAGTTGCATGGCCTTTCAAACATGGATATTCCGAAAGAAGTGATAGAATTGGAGATTTAACAGAAAAATACAAAAAAGAATTTTCAGCTGAAACCATAAATGAGATGGGTGAGTTTTGTTTCGTTCCATCCATTAAGTACTGTGTGATTTTGTTACAGACCAACTGACGACACAGATCCGAACACTTATCTGTTGTTCTAAGCCACCTGTCATCATTAATGTCAACAAAACAGAAACTACAAACAACAAGTGCTCGAAAAATAAGATTGGCGAGACTTGCGCTTGTTCTAATGATGTACATCTGTGATTCCAATTTGAAAACGGAAAATTATGCAATTCGCTTTATAAAAAATTCTTATCAGCACGGCGAAAAACATAGAACATGCAATAAATGATACAAATTTGAACAGTTATTTGATCCTTTTGAAAGATTTCTGACATTGTTCGCGAGATTTTTCAATCAGGATCGAAGACTCTGTTTTCCGAATTTTCGGCCCAGATCTTTCTTTTTCAGGTAGCTTCTCACTCCGTTTAGTATACTCTCTCGGATGTTTTCTGTCGAATAATTTATTATTTGGAAGCGCTTCCATCGATTCTATCGAAATATTGCGAGATTTTTTAGATCCTCCAGAAGTAATTTCTCTTCCTGCTTCTTTTCGAGGTTTTGTGGCTTCAGCGGTTTCATCTTTCGAATTAATCTTCGTTTTGGGTTGACTCTTTCTAGCAAGCTTCGAGATTCTAGCTGTTTCTTCCATCATTCTCTTCTCCTTCTCCACCAATCTTTTTGTCTACAAAATCACTAATGAGTTGATGACAAAAATATATAAACTTACCAACTCATCCTTTGTCAAAAGGTAATTCTCATGGAGTAACCAGAAACTGACAGATTGAGCTGCTTCTGTTATTTTGATGTATCCGGGCTCAAACTCTTCGCTACGTCCCTCGTATTCAACAATCCAGTTGACATTTGGTCTCGAATAGACGGCTTCTCGAAGACGATTCATAACTTGTGCTACGCAGGTTGTGGCTGTGTCGTGGTATCCGCCGATTCGGCCTCGGTACTTCTGGGCAAAGTCTTTGATATCGAAGTGGTGAATCTGAAAAGATAACTTGAGAAATATGGCGAACATTTGAGTTACGAACAGCTTTCACAGGTTCAGTTTGGGTAGAACGCATTCCAATGAGACAACTTGTCATTCCCATCCAGAAACAACGCGACCACAAGTATTCGAAAGATTCGGTACTGATCGAAGAAAACATTATTGATTCGATGCAATCAAAAAAGTCTTACATGCTCTCCTCGTCGTCACCGAGTTGCACTCGGTTTGGTCGTCCCGTCAGCACCGCTGCGTTGAAAGCTACAAATTCTTCTCGGGAACATAGTAATTAGATTATCGCTCCCTCACCTTGCTTATCGGTCACCATATCCACTTCTCCCACTACTACCATTTTTACAGAGCAACCTCGATAAGTTAGCGATGATGAAACCATTTTACTTGCGTGTAAAAAGTGATTTGTTTTGCGATTCTCGTAGCGAGAACACATTTGTTGAGCGAAATTAATTGATTCCTTGCGTTGCTTTAGAAATTGAGAATCTCTAGAATTGAATATTGCTTTACACTTTCGTAATATATACTTACTTCAAAGGAGTTATCTCAATCTCTTCAAAGTCATCGTCACACAAAATAATCACTCGGTGTCCATCAACTATTTCCGGATATGCTCTTAGTCTCCACGATCTGGTTTGGTTGAATACGGCACCAGAGATCTTATGCAGTGTCTCGCTTGCCACAAGATAATCTATTTTCTTGAAATCAGCACCCAAATTTTGAATTCCCTCTAAAATCGTTGACATGTGTTGGCTGCTACTTCCCTAAACGTTTCACTATGATGTTACAGATCAATCCTTTAATAAAATACCTTTAAAAACGCAGAGCATATATTCTCTATTTCAATAGGTGGTGTCGGATAAAGTGGTCCGGAGAATTTTTCGTCGAAAACTTTAAAGAATTCTTCGGGAATCATACGTCTCTCCTCGAGATGCTTGTCTCGCGTCTTCGTTAATGTAGTGCCTCGAGAAGTGACGAACGCGAATGAAGGCAAGTACGCATGGATGCTGTAACTCTCCGTTTTATCTAGTTCGAGAACGTTTCTGCTGCATTACCATAGAGTTTCATGAGCCGAGACACCTGTATCAATCCATGGATCAACATCGATTTGCTCCATATTGGTATCAAATTCGGCAAAATAGTAACAAAATAATGATCGGAAATTGAGAAAAATAACGAAGTTGTATATTTTAAAGGAGCGAACTCATAATTTTATTTTTGGCCCTCGCCCCGACTACAGTAAGACCATTTCTTTTTTTGTCACATGAAGTTTCAAGTTGTTTTCCTTTCATGAATCATGAATAATATATTGGAAAACAAATTGGAAGACACACTTATTGGATGTGAATGAAAAATTACATTTATTCGGATAAAAAACAACACTTTCTTTACATTTAGGACATATCGAGCTTGCCGAGACGGATAGTGTAAATCTCGTTGTTCTGAACAGCGTCATAACTGCAGAAGTTCTTGTCCTGTAGAAAATAGTAACTTTAAAATTTTAATGAAAAAAAAAACATACAGAAATAACTCCATCCAAAGCGAACTCGTCGAATTGAATGCAGGTGATAGCCCATCCTGGACGGTTCAAGTTGAGAACAAGAGTGTTCACAATGTTCTATAATTATGAGTTATACTCTTGGAAGTCCCCGAGAAAAATACCTTGCAGCTGTTCTGAGTAGTCTTCTGGAGAGCGTTGGCGATGTCTTGTCTCAAAACTGGATCAACACAGAATTCAGCATTTGGATCGTCATCATCTGGAAACATATTATAGATCAGACTAGTAGTTTGTTCTCTCACCTCTGATTTTTGGTTGAGCATGAAGATACACAATCTCCTTGAGTGGACGAGATCTCTCAAGCATTGTGGCGTTGGTTCCGGCTAAATCAATCTTGTAGTTCTGAAGAGCAGTTCCAGTATTCAAACATCCTTCAAAGCAGTAATACTTGTTGTTGAGTCTTGATCCTCCGTAAGCGTAATCTGTGACACCTTCGGCGAGGGACGCAAACCAATGACCAGTGCTATCAGTGCAAACTATAATAAGAATATTGAATTTATAAGATTTGAGATCATGTGTATCTCACAATTTGCACTGGAATATCCTATGGCAAGGAGAAGAATGACAAACCGGTTCATTCTGAAAATCACAAAAAAAAAAAATTTTAAAAGTATAGAATTTAAAGCAAATGTGACTGAAAAGAAATGGAAAATCAAACAATCGAGTTGGCAAATTTTCCGATTGGTGCTGAAAAATTAGATGATAACCGAAAATGAGAACTAACCGTTGATTTCATTATTTCCCTTATCAGCTGAATGGCATAAGAATGGTCAACTACGTTTGTTGTATGTACATATAAAAAGTGAAGTATGCTAATCTGAAGGCTTGATTTTTTTAAAAATTTTGAACATTTATGAGATTTATTATGAAAATTTATTAGGACATATCAAGTTTGGCAAGACGGACGGTAAATACATCGTGGTATTCTCCACCATCGTAGCTACAGAAGTTCATATCCTGAAAATATTTTTTAAAGGATCTAGGATTTCTAACTAAATAAATACCGAAATATAATCATCGATGGCCTGATCATTGTAACGAATACAAGTTATTGCCCATCCAGGACGATTCAAGTTGAGAACCAAAGTGTTCACAATGTTCTGAAAATGAAGAGAATTCAAAAAGTGAATTGAATTTGGAAACCATTGAAAAAATTCTCAGCAATAAGGATCATTACGTAGTTCTACAGAAGGATTACTGTAACTCCAATACCTTGCAAGTATTCTGTGTTGCCTTCTGGAGCGCAGCCTTTACATCCTGTCTCAAAACTGGGTCAACGCAGGAACGAGCATTTGGATCCTCGTCATCTAAAAACCCATAAATTTTCCAGATGTTTCACATGCCAATTACCATTTGCAACCAGGGAAACAATATCTTTCGCTGCACGAACTCTTTCAATTTTTACAGTTGTTCCGTTGTTTCCAGAGAGATCAACTTTATAGTTTTGAAGAACTGTTCCGGTATTCAAGCATCCTTCGAAACAGTAGTATTTGGTATTGAGTCTAGTTCCTCCGTGGGCATAGTCTGTGACTCCATCAGCAACAGAACTGATCCATTCACCGGTATCATCCGTGCAAACTGAAATTGATAATTTACCGATTGATGTAGTCTTACAATTATGAAAGGATTCTCCGAGGCAGCAAAAAGGGAGTTTTTATTTGCCTTTTTTCTTATTAGACAATAATTTTATCTTTTGTTTGAATGGAAAATATGTAACTTTGCGAAGCCAGAAAAGCAACTACGGTATTTCCTCAAATGGAAGCATACTAAAACCTGTCAACTTTGAGCTCAATTATCTCGATTCCTGTGAGATGTCAAAAGTTTGTCAACTAAAAAATTATTTATCATAATATCGCCAATATTTTATGAGTTGACAAATTTTTAATTTTTTTTGAATCTTTCAAAAGAATCGAGATAATTAAGCTCAACGTTGACGGTTGGATGGGTCTGAAGTTACAGAAATAACTGGAACATTGATCTAAATTTTTGTAATTAGCTTTTTCAAAACGATCAAACAACTGGTATCTACATTTTGATGTCCTAAGTTAACCTGCTTTCTACTTTCAAAAATAAACGATTCCATAATTTTTTTCTCTTCCAGTATCAGGCAAAACTCACAATTAGCAGAGGAGTACCCAATTAACAGAAGAAATAATGTAACTTGAAGCATTTGAAGTTCTCAATAAAGGAGAGATGAAAAATGAGGTGACTGATCTGGACAAAGTTTTAAATACTAATAATCATCAGGAAGGAGAATCAAACCTTTTTGATGATTTCATTTTCTTATCGGGTACATTAAAATTGATTGAAATGACAAAGTTCAGAAGTTTAAATTAATTCAATTCAGGAGCTAGTTTTGTGTGGGAGCGATTATGATTAGTGTAAGTTACAGTACTTGAACCCTGACCTCCAGTGTAGGATTACTGTAGTTTTAGCATCAATAAAACGATCCAGTCGTATCTTCGTTTTGGTACTAACTTTTATTACTGTTTTATTTTGATTGCTGATAAATAACCCCACTTTCCTAGTATAAAACCTCCATGGTTTCATATTGAAAATCAAAATAGTCTATCATTGATACTAATGTTGTTCAATCCACGCCTTATTTTGGTAAGTTGGTCCGAAATTAGATTCCATAACATCCGAATTTTAGGTAGCCATTTTGGGCATCTTAATGCTAACCATCGTCACAGCGGACCCAGCTGAGCAGAAATGTGAAAAGCGTTCGGATTGCGACAAAGACCATTATTGTTCGGATAATGTATGCGTCGAGAAACTAGTCATCAATATCTATCGTGAAGTAACTACACCCAAACCGAAAGCTTATCAACGGAAATGGGCTATTGCTCAATAAATTTGTGAATTGAACCTGAATGAATATTTTGTTTTTCAATCATTACATATTGATTAGATTTACACTGTCTCGACATAATGAGGATGCAGAATTCGAAAGAATACAGTAACCCAAATAAAATATTCTTGAAGGGGTTCAGGTTGGTCCATCCAAACTTCCAACTGGTTCTCCTCTTCTTTTTCGTAGTATCTGGTTTGCCAACGATGTGTGACAGACGATTTTGAACACCAATGGGGTATAGATAATGAGATCCTGAATAGGTTGAATAGGTTCCGTTTTCCGGCTGCAAAAAAACATCTCAAACATATTCTCTTTTGTTCGAAATCATTTCAAACATTCAAATATTTTACCACAATTTTTCATCATTTTGGTCACTTCAGAAGTCATTTGCTTCGAAGCTCTCCAACCTTTCTAAAGCAAACATTATATTCTTCCCCTTTATTATTCGTCCCCTTTGCCACTTCTTCCTCCTACAATTAGTCAAATCAAACCCCCTATTCCTTCACCAATTGTTTGTCCACTGGGAATTTGATGAGAACAAACTATTTGCAAACTCCTTTTTCTGAGTTTATGGTTCAGATATCTCAAGAGCTACTATTCTCGGATTTGTAGATCTAATCTTACCTGTATGACGTAACTCCCTTCACAACGACTACTGCTCTTTTACCACCTATTGTTCTAGATTTTGTTCAAAGGACACACCGATTCGTTTATTTGAATTACCTTCAACGGTGGTTTTTTGTTTGCTCAGACTTTTTTGAAGAGAGGTTGTACTGTTGGAGGAAGAAAAAGACGTCATTTTTGTCTCTTCTTCTTCTTTTTTTTAGCCCCAAAAACTTCTTCTCTTCTCAACGTTCCTATTTATTTTAGGCAGTTTGAATTTTTGAATAACCTATGGATTTCTTAATCAGATCTTCTTGAAATAAGAGGAGCCTGATCTAATTAAAACAGCTACAGTAACATTTTCCTATTCACATGACACTCTTCCATCAATTCATATCCGCATATCCTCCTCCCAACCCAAGAGAGCATTACGTTCCGCATCTCCAAATTGAATAAACTCTTCTCCCCCCGGTCGTCGTCCGCCTGTCGTCTGTGCCATTCAACAACCATCTGCACGCGAAGCGGTCCCGCGTCGCGGTTATATTGGTGGCGGCAATCATCACGATTCAAATCGCTCATCCGACGAAGGCAGTGGGGGAGGAGGGAAAGACGACGCAATTCTCCACTTCAAAGGCGCTGTACCGCCACGATGGTGATCGTCAAATTGCGCAGTGGCGAGAGAGTGTGCGAGACGAAGAGACACAGATAATCTGCAAAGAGACCTCGTCGATTGGCGAAAAAGAGACAGGACCGCTTGGTGACTGCGAAGACTGACACACACCATTTTACCCTCCTTCTCGCTCGCTAACACACTCACCCGATACCTTATGAGGCATACAGTGCAGTAACGACTTTCTCGTGTTTATTACGCAAATCGTATTCTCAGTTTTCGCTTGCTCTGCAGTAATTCGAGAGCGGACTCTTATGATACTTGACCCTTGTCTTAAAATAGATTTGGTCAATTGTATTCCAGATTAGAAATCACTTTTATATTCTTCTTTCTGCTGTCGCTTCAGATTCTCTTGCAATAATTATTTAAACTTTTTCTTTTTGACCTACTTCTCACACAGCGAAAACGATTATTTTCGTCTCCAGCTGTTTCAGAATAGATGTTCGGAAGCTTCCACTCCCCTTTTCAGTCCATATTTCATTGTTCGTCAAGGTCTTTTGCTACTCCTTTCGACCGTGCGTGTCCTCATTGACCACCCTGTTCGGCTCGCTTTGATCTGCCGACCGACACCGTTTCGCCTTTCATTTACTTCATGAACTGTGTTTTTTCTTCTATTTGACTCGTTTCCGTTCTTTCCCTGTCTGTTCGAAGTACATTTTTTATTTTTGTGCGTTTCAGGTCGGAAGTAATGGCCGGAATCATACGAACACTATTCAAAAGCAAAAAATCAAAAAAGGAAGAGCCTGAGAACGTCGAAGACTTGGTATGTGTTTTTTATCGGTGTTTCGATAAGATAATGAGAGATTTTAGAGTTTTCCCTAACTCTTACCCAGTTTTTCTTCTCATTAACAATAGTCTCAGGCTCGCGAGGTCTCCAACCGTCGTTCGTTCCGCGCACCCAGTACATCCTCCTCAAAGTCCCAGAGACGAGCAGTTGCCCGATTCGCCGACGACAATGCACTCTCCGCTACCGCTGCATATCATACAAACGTCGCTCCGAAGCTTCGAAAAGGACCACAAAGCTGCCCTGGAGGATATCGAGACGAGTCGGATGTCTCTTTTGATGAATCGGATAAGTACTCCCAGAAAAGCGGTCACCACAGAAGACGTGATGTTCTACAACAATCAATACGACAAAACTACACTATAGATGAAGGGCGGAAATCCAGCAACAATGGAAGGCGTCATCACAGCGGCAAGAGCGATTTCAGACGGCGTGGAGAATCGTCAGAATATGGAAGTGGCGATCCATCGCCAGTTGGACAGTACAGTAGCCGACACTCGCATTATGAAGATAGAATCGAAGAATCAGAAAACGACGATTTCAACGAGAAGGAACAGTTTGCTGTCATGGAGCGCGCACAGCAGCATTACATGCAAAAGTACAAAGAATCAGAACAAAAAAGAAGAGAGGATAGACGAAAAATGAAAGATTTGCAAAAAGAGGCAAATGATGCCAAGAACTCCATGTTCCAGTACATGAATCAGTTGGAAAAGGTGAAAAAAGAACGGGACTGCTATCGAAAAGAATTGAGCCGAACCAAGAAGCAGCTCGAGATAATGCAGAATAATCAGAATAATGGGTTTGATGTAAGTGATCCGGTAGCAATATTTCTCCAACCATTATGTTCTATTCCAGGCGTACCATCATCATCGTCAGGCTCAAATGACAAATCCACAACAGTTCCCACCAGCCCTTAGCATGTCCTACGGTTATATGAATCAACCAATGAACACGTCTCATCTCATGCAACCTAGCTTCATGAACAGCGCCCCACCGTCTAGCGGCACACCGATGACAATGGGCAGTGGCGGTGCTGGAGAAGCGATGACCAATCCATCCGATTTGAGCTTCCTTCAGAATTCATTCATGCAGCCATCTTCACAAGTTCTCTCCGGAATGAATTCTTCTCCTGAATTTAAAGGTTCGTCTCCTTTATTCTAGATTTGATAATTGCTCTTTTTTATCCAATAAAATAACATGAATAAATTATGCAACGAAATATTTTTTGGTTATTGTTCAGTGCCAATCTTCGGCGGGGAGGATGCCGATGACGTTAAAGATTTCCGTTCCGAATTGCTGATTGAGACTTCTCGTAGCCAGAAGATCAGCGATGATATCAGCCTCTCTCCATCAAGTTCTGCTGACAGCCAAGTGACTCTTCTCGATCAAAGTACCACAATCACCCATGACAAGGAGAATCGAAAACCACCAACTCGCCCGTTCTCAATGATGTCTATTTAAAAATCAGATTGCTTGTATCTTCTTTTTTCTTCTTCTTGCTTTAATTCCAAATGTTGTTATTCATTCTTTGTGTATTCAATTATTCAAAAGTTTTCTATTTCTCCTTCACAAGTATTTCTGTTTCCATGTGTCTCTCTCCCATCTTTTTCCTTCTTCCTCTTTTTCTTATAACCACCATCTTTTTCCTTTAATAAACCCGAAACAGGATTGATGCTCCTCTTGTCTTTTTCCGCAAATCCAAATATCAGTCAGTGGACGAGTCATCATCATCTCTCTTTAGCCAGTCGGTTGAAACATTTGGAGATGCGCACACAGAAAAGAGCCCACCGAGTTCCATCTTTCTGCGACTCCTGATTGGCCCGAACACTATCGGCGCCATCACTAGCACTTCACGCATCTCTCTCGTATGGGAAAAAGTGGGCAACAGAGAAAGTCCAGCAGAAAAGAGGTAGACCATCTCTTCTTCCATAGTTCTTCTCTACTGATTCTGGTTCACTAGATGGCACATCGATCAGCGCCGTTCATCAGCAACAGTAACAGTTCAATTTTTCTTTTGAGTCAAAAAACTTGATCGTTTTGGTTATCATTTTTCAAAATTTTTTGATCAATAGAACAATGGTTTTGAAAGATCCAGTTAAGACTATTATAGAAAAATGATATTTGAGTTTTGTAGTTTTGAAAAGACGGATTTCTCAATCAAAGTCTAATTACAGACGCAACGATTTTCAGTTTTTCATGCAAACGTGATTCCGCAAAGATTCCAGAAAAGTGAAAAAGAAAATGTCCGTCTGAATTAGATATACTGAAACGTCTCACAAATTCCAGCTCAATTATTTGGAATCCTGTGAAAGATATCAAAAATTTGTCAACAAAGAAAATAATAGGGATGTTATGATAAATAATTTATCTGTTGACAATACTTTGATATCTTTCGCAGGAATCGAGATAATTGAGCTCCAAGTTAACGGTTTGGATGGGCTTTGATTACAGGAAATACGGTAATGATTGCTTCATAAGCGAAAAAGACTTCGAAAATAGCTTTTGAATCGCTGCAATAAAACGTTCACGACAATACAAATATTCAGAATATCCTCCGATACCACCTTCACCATCGTCAACGAACAATCCTTCATCTCGAATGTTCTGCGTCTCGTATGCATCATCTCAGCACCAACAACGGTCGGTAAATACGCCGACAATCCACGAGCAACAGGTTGGTGGAGAAAACATCGGATCATTCATCCCCACTTGATCCTCAATTTTTCCATTCATTTTTGATTCATTTTTGATTCACAGGAGGAAATCTATTCGTCTCTCAAAAAAGTGCGAACTTCTGATGATCTAACTTCAATTCAATTGCCTATTGAGAAACATGTTACTATGATTCCGCTGGGGTGATTACTTATGATATTTTTCGAAAATTATTTTGCTTTTTTCAGAAGCCCACATACTTTGAATCGAGAGACCCCAGCAAACGGAACCGTAATCAGAGTTATTTCCGGAGTTCCAAACGAAGTGGAACTTGAAAGGATGAAGGAGTTGGTGCCAAAAGTAGGGATTACTAAAACACACAATACATTTTTTGTATATTTAAGATAATGATAATCAAGGAAATCAGTTCAAATTCTAAAAAGGAAATCAGTTCAAATTCTAAAAAGGAAATCAGTTCAAATTCTAAATTCTTCGACGTCGAACCAATTGTGTCACTGTCTCTGGCAGTGGACCACAAAATCTGATGACAAAATAGAAAACCGACAATAATGGGGTCTTCTGAATGTTGGTCGATTCAGCCTCAAGACTTCGAATTCTAGTTCTACATATACTTCCAATTTTGAGATTGCTTTTCGAAAAGTCAAAACCTGAAATTGGAAATTTCTTACAGTTATGAACTATTGTTTTGTAGGTAAACCAAATTTTTCGAATCTGTTGTAGTTTTCCGAGATCCCCACCGTAAACACTAATAGAACGTCCCCAACCCGTCAACTTTTATATCATTTCCTGTAAAAAAATATCAAAAGCATCCGTTGTTCCAGAATCCGTAACTTTTAAATAATATTTTTTTTCTGATTATGAAAAAAAGTTCTTTCCGGATTCCGTATTTGAAGTTCCTTTTTTCGTTAGCACATTCCGTACATCTCTAGTAGTTGTCTTGAACACCTTGAAGCATGTGTTAGAAGGGCTCCTATGATATTAAAACTTTGCAAACTGATACATTTTTGTATTTCTATGTGTACCTCAATTTTCCATTGAAGTTTGTAGAAAAACAACTGAAAACAATAGAATCCTGTGTTCTGATATAGGTTTTGTATCTACATTGCGTTTGCAAGAGAAAAAAGAAACGAAAAAACTTAGTTCCACTATTTTTCTGGAAATCTTTCCTAGGCAAATCAGCTCTACAAACGAATTTAAAGCTTACCATAATAATAAAAAATCCCCATTCGTTTGCAGATGCGTCCAGACCACGTCTTCCATCAAACGATTCCCCACCAACCAATTCCTCAGCAAGGACAGTCACAGAGAAAAGTAGAAATTCAAGAGCCGAAGAAAGGTTTGAAAGTCTTATTTATTTGAACTTGTTCAAAGAGATTAAACGTTTCCAACTAACCACCCACATCTTCTTCTTTTTTCACTAATTTTCCTTCTTTGATCTCATTTCTTCCCGACCGGTAATCAGGTTCGCGCGGAAAAAAAGGAAGCATCATGTTGACTCAGGAGACACAAAATACAAACAAGCTCACAAGAAGAAACTTGCCATCATTTTCTTCTTCTTTTTTGTTTCTTTCGCTTTTCCAGTGTTCACACATTTCGGTGAACATTTAGTCATTTGGGGAAGAGGGCAGATAAGGATTTTAGGGAATCGAATAGACAAACAAAGTCTCAGTTTTTGACATATTTGGGTTCTTCACTCCCCATTCTTAGTGGCGAGATTTCATATCTTTCTTTTCTTGAAGCCTCGTTGACCTAGTTTTTAAGTACAAAATATTTGGTCCAGAAAACTTTAAAAACTAGATACCATACTTGCAACTTCAAAAAAAATTTTAGGGTCAATTAAAAAATGGACGATTTTTCTGTCAAGTAAAAAACTTTGAAAGATAAGAGTGTCTAAAGAAAAAATTTTCACAAAAAAATGTGAAAATTTTTCTGAAATTTCAATAAAAAAATTAAAATTTGAATAACCCGGGCCGGGCTCTGATTTTGCAAGTATGCTACTTAGATACTGTGGTTCGAACACGAGTCTCTGAAGTAATTTTTGTCCGAAATAGTTTACTTTGGATTTGCCAAATCTTTTTTTGGTACCTGAACCTATAGCAACCGTTAGTATTCCAGACTTTGAAAGTTGGTCGGGTCGAGCAATGGAAGGTCGAGTATCAGGTGGCCAAGTACGCGGAACTAACAATATTCGTGGATACTGGGAACGAAACATACAAATTGAACTGAGACAAAGAGCAGAAGAAGAAAGAAGACAAAGACCTAAAAGTTATGGATTTCCAAATGGAGATCAACAGATGCATTGTCCGCTTCGTTGGTTGCTTCTAATAGTATTCAAGTAAACAGATTTTTCAAATAAAAAATGGGGGGGGGGGGGGGATTCAAATATAGTACCCCACCCTTAAGTGGGGGGACAGGAGATTTTTCGTAGTTTTTTTGTAGCTGGAGTATGCATTCTACCGTGACGGTGTACAACGCTTAATGTCACTCTGCGTACAGATGTTGTCCTCGCCTTTATGTATGCAATCGGGCGTGCGCTTTCTCTATGCACAGGTCCTCGGCGATGATGCGCATAAAGGACCCGATCTTTGTCAATTTTTCGTCAATTCGAGCCTACATTTCTGGTTTTTCGATTATTCCTTCGATGTTTTTTGTGAAAAAGGCTAAAAAATCGCTGAATTCTTGCAGAAACATGTCTTTCACTCGTTAATTGCTATGTTTTTCGCCAAAATAGATGATATTGAGATTTTTTGATTTCACTTTGTAATTATTGTAAAAATCGTATTTTCAGGTGGAGTAAAAGGTAAGTTGGTAAGTATACAATAATTACAAAGTTTAAGTTATAAAAATTTTCAATTTTTCATGCAATTTCAAAAAAAGTGAAAGTGAGACATATTTTTTGAACAAATGAAAAAAAAACAATTTTTAGCGAATTTTTTCCCATTTTCTTCTGTTTTTGATTTCATATCAAATTTAAATAAAAACTGCCATAAGTCTTTTTCAACACCAAAACATTGAGTTTCGAAAAATCAGTAATATGTCGTTCAAAATATAAAAAAATATGGAATAATAAAGGAAAAGTACGAAATCGGAAGACCTGAACAAAATCACATCACAATAGAACTTAACTGATACTTCTAGGAACCCCCAACCAACGTTTTAGTTCATTTCATCGAGTGCCAGCAAGCCGAGGAGATGCTTTGCGGCGGCGGTGTGCCCCATATGCCCCGTATATGCGCCATACCGGCGTCCTTTCCCTGTACCCAATTCATCGGCGCGTCCTCCGTCGTCCATCCATTATGCGTACGCGCGCCCAGGACCTGTGTGCCCGCGTGGCTCAGTCGGTAGCGGCGCCGCACCCTCAATCATCGCCCTCACAAGTTCAACTCCTCGAGGGGCATCTTTGAACGGAATTTCGAGAACATTATTTTTTCATGTCCCCCCACCTTTAACCAGGTTCAAAATCAAGAAGAGATAAGTTTGGTATTAAAATATTAACATCATCTCCAGTAATACATATTTAGTATTAATCTCCCAAAAGACCAAAAATTTTTAGCAATCTAGAACTTTTTTCATATTCTTTATCCAGACAACTGGTTGATTCCCATAAGTTTTAATTTTCCGACTTATTTTTGAGTCCTTTTCACCTATAAAAACCTTCAGAGATTAAATCAAGCAATTAACATAATTTCAGTTTTTTGAAGTAAGGCTAGCACCATAAATCAGGAGATATTTAGGAATGGTCGCGAGACTACTTTTGGGCTCAACCAAATATACCCTATCCATATTGAACAGGGTGGAAGGCTCCACTTATAATTAAGTCATAGATTAACTTCAATGTGTCTCGAAAATTCAAAATTACAGATCCCAGTCGACAGTAGAATCCCAGAAGAACGCCTTCGTAAAATGGAAGAAACTGAAAGAGAGGCTATTGAAGTTAAAAAAGAAATTCATGAAGAAGCGGAAATGGCATCTGGAAGTAACACTCGGAAACTATCAAAAGGAAAAAGTCTGGATTCATTGAGCATGCAAGTGGACTATCAGCCATGGTACGACACTGAAAAGATCAAGTCAGCAGTGTCGAGAGAATCAATCGCCAACATTGCTACGTCACGTGAATTCTTCGAAACCGCTTCAACTAGAGATTGGAGATCAGCTGCGAATAGTCGTCGTGATTCGATGTGCTCTCTAAGCATGGCACCACCACTTCCACCAAAGTCAGATGCCGTTCAATTGCGACAGGCAGCTGTGAATTATAATAATTCAAGAGCCTATCATCAGAATGGAGGTTCTCAGCCATACGGGCAACAGTATCCACCGAATCTTTCTTCAGTTCCAGTTAACCCACAGAATGTTAACGTGTTAACTATTTCCAGTGGATATGACGGAAATCAAGCGATTCAGAAGCAACAACCAGTTCAACAGCCACTTCAAACATCTATAAATAGACTTCTTCAGCAGGGTGAGATTCTTTGAAGATTTGTCAGTTGAAAACCGAAGTCCTTTTCAGATTCTCCTCAAACTGCTGATCCTATTGAGCAGCAAGAAGTGTTACTGATGCTTTACCTTAAACAAAACCTGGATATTGTTCATGGTCTTGGAATCCATATTCCATCTGAACTTCTAGCTGAAATGGAAGATCTTCAAGCGTTGCCAGTTGAATTGAGAATTAGTGATGAGGAACCACACAGAGTGAGTTTTTTTTAGAAGATTCAACTTTTGATTCCTATCATTTTCAGATGTTCAGTCCGGTCAACAAAAATGGGCGATATCAACGAAAACCTCAAATGGCTCCTAAGGTTGTCAGCGGTCCAAAGTATCCAGGTGGTAGGCCTATTCCAGTCAATAGTCAGAGGAGCCGTCAAAATAGTGAAATGAGTGGATCGAACATGGATCTTTCGTATAATCAGCATCAACACGCTCACTACGGATATCACTGATTTGTTAATATTCTTTTTTTGTCTCTTATTTATAGATTGTCAAATGATATTTATAATAAAATAAAAATTTAAATGTTATACTATGGAACAAGACTAGACATAGTTTTTAAAAAATTTAAAAGAATCCATTGAGTCCTGTGATAGCTCTTCCGAGAATCAGTGCATGTACATCATGGGTTCCCTCATAAGTGTTGACGGTTTCCAAGTTGACCATATGCCGCATAATGTGATACTCGTCGACGATTCCGTTTCCACCAAGCATGTCTCTAGCCTTTCTGGCGATTTCCAAAGACTTTCCACACGAGTTTCTCTTGATAATCGAGATTTGCTCGGGCTCAACTTTTCCTTCGTCTTTCAGTCGTGACACACGAAGACATCCTTGGAGACCCAGAGAAATTTCAGTGAGCATATCGGCCATTTTCAACTGCATCAATTGATTTTGAGCAAGAGGGCGTCCGAATTGTTGACGATCCAGTGTGTATTGACGTGCAAGATGGAAGCATTCTTCAGCTGCTCCAAGAGAACCCCATGCAATACCGAGGCGTGCATTGTTAAGGCATCCGAATGGTCCTTGAAGTCCTTCGACATTCGGAAGAAGATTCTCTTCTGGAACTGGCACATCATCCATTGCAATTTGCCCAGTGATAGATGCTCTCAATGAAAGTTTTCCCTCAATTTTTGGAGTTGTCAATCCCTTCATTCCTCTTTCCAGAATAAATCCCTTGATCTTGTTTCCATGTCGAGAACTTCTGGCCCAAACGACCATCACATCGGCGACAGGACTGTTCGAAATCCACGTCTTTGACCCACTCAATTTGTAGGTTTTTGAAGTCTCATCCCAACTGTAAAAATAACTCTTATTTAGAAAATTGATCCATTTAATCACATGGCTTTGGTTTCCATTCCACCTGGATTCGATCCATGATTTGGCTCAGTCAAACCAAAGCATCCAATCTTTTTGCCACTGGCCAAATCCGGAATATATTTTTGCTTCTGCTCTTCAGTACCATAATTGTAGATTGGTCCAATAACAAGACTCGTTTGAACACTCATTGTCGATCTGTATCCGGAATCAACACGTTCCACTTCGCGGGCAATCAATCCATAGCCAACGGTAGAAGTTCCAGCACATCCGTATCCTTGATAAGGTGCACCCAGAAGTCCCATACTTCCCATTTCAGGAATCAGCGATGGATCGAATTCTATGGAAGATTGTGTTGTTCTTTTTTCTATTATTGGTTATAACTCACTTTCATTTCTGTAAGCTTCAGTGACACGTGGCAAAAGTCTTTCTTGACAGTATTCACGAGCGGAGAGCATCAGGGATCGTTCATCTTCGGTTAGCTGATCGGAAAGTTGGAAAGCATCTTGGTAGAAAGTTGACGAAACACCGGAAAGTTATGTGATCTATGGACTGTGATCTTTTGATTATAGTGAACTACACTGTTTCAGTAATTGCTTTTCATTTAAATTTAAATTAATTTATTGTGAATATCTACCATATTTTAGATATAAAATTAGAAACTTTCGTAATTCGAATACCTCTTGTTGCAACTTTCCCAATCGTTGTGACGTTTCTGAATCCTCTGGTCAACATTTTTCGACTGCAAAACTGTCAAGAATGAAGGTCTGGTCTCTTAAAGAGAAATTTCTCTCCTCTTCTGTCCCCGCCCGATATCATCTTCCTCGCTTTGCCCGCACGTGGGCAAGGACAAGACAATCGATACGATTAGAGACAGATCAACTGAAGAACTTCCGAGAGGAAAAACTTGAACAAGACTTGATACATGGAACTAATTTTATTTGTCAGGCGAGCAGGAAACATGAAAGAAAAAATATATTGAAAGATAGGGGACACAACTGCACCGAGTATCTTGTCATCAAACATTTTCGTATTATAGGAGGAAAGTAAAAAAAAGAAAGAAAATAAATGCATTCAATTCTGGAGAATAAGTGTGAGATGAATAATGAAAAAAGGGATAAAAATCCTAATAAAAATCTCTTCGAATACCCGCTAACGACCGAACGAATCGATTGAATACTGATAAATCGAATCAAAGAGCAATCAACAATTTGATGCAATTAATAAAGTATTTGTGACTGTGTGAACCCGTTTCGATTCGACTGTTGGATGATAAGCAATTAACAGAGGAAAATTAGAAGTTTCTCAGAATTGCTTCTTTCTGAGCTGTATTCAGATGAGTAGGGAATTCCACATCGAACTCAATGATTAGGTCACCTCGATGAGTCGGCGATTTTGGGTTCGGGAGACCTTTGCCTGTCAACCTGAAACAATATTCATTACTATTAAAACCATTTGAGTAAAAAAACATACCTTCTAGTAGTTCCTGGCTTGATGACCTCGTTCAACACGAGACGATAGTCGGCTCCATCCAAAGTTGGGATATTCATCTCAACACCTGTCAGAGCACTCTTCAAAGAAATCTTTTCGACGCGCTTTATGTCAGATCCTTCTCTCTTGAACTTTGGATGCGGTTTGTCCTTGATGACAAAAACGATGTCAGCAGGAGTTCTATTCGGGTGTTGATCACCTTCTTTCGGGAAAGTAATTTTGGTCCCCGACTTCCATCCTGGCTTGATCGTAACCGTCAGAACTTTGTCTTCGAGACGTTGAGCATTATCAGCCATCACTTTTCTCGTGATCTTCATTTTCTTCGTGGTTCCTTTCAGAACATCCTCCAAACTGACATGTAGATCGTGCAAAACGGCCGGATCTTGACGAGCATGACCCCGTCTTCCGCCACCTCCATGCATTCCGAATATGTTCTCGTCCATACCTCCTTGATTCATGAAGAACATATTTGGTCCTCCAGCACCACCACCGCCGCCGAGGTCGAACATTCCGGCTCCACCTGGTCCGAATGGATCAGAACCTCCGAAGAAAGAAGAGAAAATGTTCATTGGATCTCCACGGAATTCGTAGTGCATTCCGCCGCCACCAGCACCGCCTGGTCCTCCGGGACCACCATCCTTCAGTCCTTCTTCACCATATTGATCGTAAATCTTTTTCTTTTTCTCATCGGAGAGAACATCGTAAGCCTCGGCAATTTCCTGAAAGTAACACATTTGATGAATTCTGATCTCAGTTATAATTCAAATTTACCTTGAACTTGTTCTCGGCTCCAGGATCCTTGTTCTTGTCTGGATGGTATTTCAACGCCATTTTACGGTAGGCTTTCTTGATTTCATCGTCCGTGGCACCTTTGCTGATGCCCAGCGCTTTGTAGTAGTCTTTTCCCATAATGGAAAGCTTTTCTGAAAATAATTTTAGGTCAGCGTGAAGGTGAACATTTTCGCTACATGAATAACCCCATTACAAGTCCAGGATAAGTGAAAAACAGAGAAAAACGAATGAAGCAACAGAAAGATAAAAAGAATACAACCGTCAGATTAAATATGGGTCAACATCAGAAGGAAACACGGAAAACTGAAGAGGCAGCGCACTAAACCGAGAGACAGAAGAGTGCAGAACTTTCCAGGGCGTTCTATTTACTCGCGAAGCGCAGCCCATGTTCGATCTTCCGTCGCTTGAATGGAGCGCGTTTTCGTCTCACTTTTGGAATTTCGACATAATGGACAACTGGCATTATGAGCAATTTTTATGGCGAAAATTAAACTGAGGAATGTACAAAAACATGTAGAGCATAAAATATAAGCATATTTATAAGGCAACAGCATCAGCGCAAGTTGTAGCAGTTTTTCGAAATTTCTACTGAAAACTTATTGGGTTACTGTAGAAATTAAAGGCGCATTGTTTCTGATGAAATGGTCCTGCGAAGGAAAACCTGTTCCGTTTTGCTTTCCTAAATTGTTTTTGGTTATGAGTTTCCACTTCTGCTAACTGAACATTCGGTTGAAGAAATGTTCCGGCAAACCGAGCCACCAGTAAGATTAATGACTCGAAAACGAAAGACCATCGAGTCTACACCACTCATCACTGATTTCTTTTCAACGGTCAAGCGTGAAAGATCTCAAATCCAGACTAAACAGACTGTAAGCCAAAAGTTAGATGGTATTTTGCAAACGATGTTTGAAACCAGTAGATGTACTTTTATTTCAGAGAGTCTCGAGGATACTCCGATCCCACCACAACCGGATTATGATTGTGGTCCAGCATTTTCTTTGGAAGCACTCAGGACCCTACTTCAAGTTCCGTTAAAACCTTCGTTGAACGCAATTCCTGACAAAAATGCACCAGTCGGGCTTGAGAATATGCCGAAGAACGTCTATTCATATATTTTCACAGTTCTGGACAGTCAGTGTTCCCATTAATTTTATAAAAGAGAGTTTGATATTCCAGTGCGATCTGTTTCTACTCTTTCGCTAGTATCAACAAAGATGTCTTCTCGTGTCAGAGGCTATGTTTCAACGTATGAATTTTATCGTCGTATGCAATTGGATCATCTCGATTTCCTCAACGAGTCTTTCCGTCCCGACGACGACGAATTTCTTGAGAATGATCCATTCATCGCATGTGGTAAGTGAAATGATATTTAATTCCATAGCTGACATGGATTTATGAGAACAGGTGCTCTCATCAAATCTATCACCATCACGCTTTCCACAGAAACTCGAGCGAAGGTTTTCCTTAACATCTGCCGTAATTTGCGCAACCAGCTCGGAGGATCTCTACAAGGATTTGGGAGAATGTTGGAGACTGTCACTGAGAACTGGAAATTTGAAGAGAGACGTATCATGATCAAAGCAGCCATTTTGATTGATCTCGATCTTCGCCGTGCCCTCATCAAAGTTTTAACTGCTGGTGCAGGACATTTTGTCGGATTGGAAATGAAGGTTCGATCTGGATTGACTCAACTCTTCCTGACCAATGATCAAGATGTAAACGAGATGACGCCTAAGGAAGTTATCGACTTCGGGGCATGGCTGTCTATTCTATTGCGAAACGTGGTCGAAAAGCATCAAGGAAGGCTCTACTACATCTTGTTCGGACCGGCTAGATCTTCGAAAAAAGGAGAGTTCGTTGATTGGAGCTATTTCTGTGAAGAAGATCGCACCAATATTTCTCAGTTCAAAAACGAACCGAATTACAAAAAGTTCCTCACGGCATTGCTCAATGGAGTCCGAGCACTTCGTGTGATGAACAATTCAAAAAGTACTGACAATTATTGGACTGGGAGGAAGGTTTATCACATGTTTCTTCGAGTTATCGGTAATTTTAAGTTGATTTTTTTAGTAAAATAAAAACCCATTTTTAGAAGCATGTGAAGAGAGAGGCAACTGGTCCGAGTTAGCCTCATCTATGGCACTTTCTATTGATCCATCCGGCCTGTTTAGCGAATATCTTGTCACTTGCCTGGATGCTCGGCGTTCTGATTATACACGCTACATGGTAGAGGCTGCTGAAATGGTTTGTCTCGTGCGAATCCACCTTTATCGCTGGTCGTCTACACCAGCCACATTCCTCGCAGAACCATTACACCATGCATTCGGTCATCTTGCGCAACAGGACGGACATTATGGTGAGCGGTATTTTCTTTGGCGGTAGAAGAAACATAGAGCATATTACAGATGGATCATATAAACAATTTCTCGAGTTGATTTGGCGAGCTCAAAAATTGCGTTTGAAAGGATTGCTGAAGTCAGCTAAAAACACGATCCAATCAAGTGATCTGATTCGCGAAGAGCTCGATGGCCAACTTTCAATGACCCGGCTAATGTGTGAATTCGGGAACACAATGGCTCTTAATCAACAAGGTTTACAACTACCACAAGTCTTGGATGCTAATCGTGACAACTTTCCGATTATTGATGCAGATCCTCATCCACTAGAAGAAGACGAACAATTAGACGAGATTCATTAGCTTAATAACGCTTTGTCGGTGTTTTCAACCTCCCACCTGTAATATTAAACTGATCCTTATTGCTCGAATTCGTTTTAGTTTTTTTTGTTTCTATTAAGTTATTTGTTGAACTGCTACATTCAGTATAAATCTGTTAAAGTTTCAATTGTGGAGAATCCGTGTTTGAAAGGGTTGAAACTCCCTTCTCTTTTCCTATATGGCCTAGGGAGAACTCGTCCTCGGCCATTTATTGATTCAACACACGTGCCACACTCGCGGAAACCCATCCTCATATATTTGTTATCAGAAGAGACATCCAGGAATATAACATGGATCCAGAATTGTTGAGGCAGCAAAAAGCGTTCCAGAAACATGCTGCAACTACAGTTGCCGTACAAAATAAGCCGGTTCGCCACCAAGAGCTTAAAAAACAATAGAAATATAAATCATTTTTTAGTCAGCAGCAGCGAGCTCCCATACAACATATTCATCAGAAGCAGCGAAAGCAAAAAAGAAGAAGGCATCGGGACCTTCACAAAATCTCTCAAAACGTAAAGCCATTTAGGATGATTTGTGAATTGTAAATAACTATTTCAGTTCCTGATTTCGATAATTTCGCAAGCAATTCGAATGCAATTTCAAATGCAACAAATTTCTCAACAATGGCAAAAATTGTTGATTACATGAAGGTAAATATTGAACCCTAATTCATAAAAGAAAATACTGTCCATTCAGAAACGGCATTTGAGTCAGCAACAGTGGCCTCTGACACTTAAAGAAGTGCTTGACGAACTTCAACTTTATGATCTTGGAAAAAGAAACATCGCGTTCCTTCAAGAAGCTCTACCCAATAATCCACGTTTGATGATGGAACCAAATCCAGATGGGGACCCGACTATGAACAAATTTGCATTTCGACCACCTTATAAAATCAAAGGGAAGACGTCATTGGTAGCTGTTGCCAGAAAACATTATCAAGACGGAAAGGGGGGTATTTTGGTGTCGGATCTAGCGGAATGCGTAGCCAATTATGATGCATTGTTGCAGGTAAAATTTTCGAAAGTACTTTATGTTTTCCTGAAACTGAATTCATTTTTTGAAAAGGATTCCAAAAATAAGTATTTCAGCAAGTGGCTGCCGACATTATCGTAGTTCCAACTCAAGTCAACAAAAAGAAGGATCGCGTTGTGTTTTATAACGATAAAGACTTCACGTTCCCAGAGTTAGAAGACGACTTCAAGGCATTATGGAGAAATGTGTCTGTGGATCATTTAGACGAGAAGAAGATCGAGGAGTATCTTCAGAAGAAGGGACTCGACGCCATGAAGGACTTGACACCGAAGGTCCGAATGCAAGCACCGCTGAAAAGAAAAGCTGCAAAAAGAAGACACAACCAGAAGGTCCAGAACGATCACATGGAAGGAGTCTTGGAAGATTACGAATAAAAAAATATAAAAGATGTTTCACTTTCATCCAGTGTTGTACATTTTTAATATGATTCCTTTGTTAACAGTACATAAAATGAACTATGATCCCTTCTATCTCTGTTCTTCTCTTTTCTTATCATATTGTTTCGTTTGCCATTTATTTTTTTACGGGCGAAAGAGATCGGTCAACTAGCCGAGCCTTGTTTTCCACTATTTTTCTTTTATCGTTCGTTAGTGAACCAAGACCTGTAAAGGAATACAGATGCTGAAAATTCTTCCCAAAATCAGAAGACCTGTGAGATGCTTGTCTGCAGCGGTCGCAGCTAGGAATGAGGGTTTCGCGAAAGTTATGCAATCAGATTTGCTGGCTTTCGAGAACTTTCTAGGGAAAGACGGAGTTCAAAAAGACGATATTTCAAATCACATCACCGATTGGACCGGCCAATTCAAAGGTATGTTTCGAATAGAGACATTCAAACATTCGACAAATAGCTTCCAGGTCATGGTAGTGTAGTTCTATACCCCAAGAGTACTGAAGAAGTGTCAGCAATATTAGCATACTGTTCAAGAAACAAGATAGCAGTTGTACCACAAGGTGGCAACACAGGATTAGTCGGTGGATCGATTCCAGTTCATGATGAAGTGGTTCTCTCAATGAATAAAATCAACAGACAATTCTCTTTTGATGATACCATGGGAATCCTAAATTGTGATGCTGGATTCATTCTGGAAGAGTTGGATAACAAGTTAGCTAAACTTGGATACATGATGCCGTTCGATTTGGGTGCAAAAGGATCGTGTCAAATCGGAGGGAACGTTGCCACGTGTGCAGGAGGAATTCGTCTAATTCGATACGGAAGCCTTCATGCACATCTTCTGGGACTTACAGTGGTATTACCAGATGAGCAGGGGAGCGTTCTTCATTTGGGTTCTAGTATCAGAAAAGACAATACTTCATTACACACACCACATTTATTTTTGGGAAGTGAAGGACAGCTGGGAGTTATCGCTAGTGTTACAATGACAGCAGTGCCAAAGCCAAGAAGTGTACAAAGTGCCATGCTTGGTGAGTTTTTTTTTCTGATGGTTCTTTCAAGAATTAAGTTTTTTCCAGGAGTTGAATCATTCAAAAAGTGTTGTGAAGTGTTGAAACTAGCGAAGTCGAGTCTTTCTGAAGTTTTATCTTCCTTTGAATTCCTCGATGCAGATATCATGGAATGTCTCAAATCCAACTTGGACCTCCACCCAGTTCTCAGTAAATCTACTCCCTTTTCGATCCTAGTTGAAACATCTGGATCCAATGAGGATCATGATATGGAGAAAATGAGTGCGTTTTTGGATGAATGTCTTTCGAAGAATTTAATTTTGGATGGAGTTCTGGCTGGATCCTCGGCAGACGCTGCAAACATGTGGAAATTGAGAGAAAGTGCTCCGTTGGCTGTAACTAGAGATGGATATGTATATAAACATGATGTTTCTCTTCCTTTGGAGAATTATTATGAATTGACGAATGTTATGAAGGCGAGATGTGGAGATCTGGCGAAACGAGTCGTCACTTATGGTCATCTTGGTGATGGCAACACTCATCTGAATATCACGGCTGGAAAACGTTGCGAAGAGTTAGAAGAGCTGTAAGTCCACTTTTCGGATGAATTGTTATATTATGATCCTATCTTCAGAATGTATCCCTTCCTCTATGAATGGGTTGTGGCACATGGTGGCTCGATTTCTGCAGAACACGGAATCGGGCAACTCAAGCTACCGTATTCCAATCTCGGCAAAGGATCTGAGGAACGTCTACTCACAAAGAAGCTCAAGAACATTTTCGACCCAAACGGCATTCTCAATCCGTACAAAATGATATAATAATATCGAGTGTAACAATACGTAGCACAACTGTATAAACAATTTGACCTATCCTTCTTTATCTTCTATTCATATTATATGTTTGAGCACCTGCTGAATGGGAGCCAACCCACTATCCAAGAGTCAGGTCATTTCAGTCTTCTATCAAAATGACTCTCCGAATCGCGGCTATTCTTGCTTCTATCGCTGTTTTCTGCCATGCGGAAGCTTCAGAAAAAGTAGAAATCAGTCATCCAGCTTCTGATAAAATCTACGGAAAGTATATCGAACTTTCTATGAATCTAACTATTATATTGAAAGATACCAAAATTGAAGAGGCAGCTATTCATCAGGTTTGATATTAAAAATGAATTGTAGGTAATTCCGAGTGTTTAGTTAGCCAAGGATATGGTTTCCAACGATGGAAATGAAGAGAAAGTGCAGAAGGTACTCGATAAGTTCATGACAAAGTTGCCAGAGGATCAGCAGAAGGATTTCGGTAGATTGTATTTCGATAAAATGTGAGTCAAGACAATACAAGCAAAATGACCAGTCGAAGCAAGACACTTGCAAGTTTTCACCCGGTGATAGCGATTCTTCGAATATCACCGAAGGAAAAAACCCGCGAATGTCCAGAACTGGACTAAGGGACAACGACAAGAACAAATAAAAATGTCCCGACCTTGGGAGTTTTTCACCCGGTGATATCGTATGGCTTCGATGTTGTATCACTACGGCGAAAAACCACCAAGGCATTTGGGACCTGCTTTCATGCAACAACAGACAAATGTCCAGTTACCGGACACTTGCAAATTTTCACCCGGTGATAACGGCTCTTCGAATATCACCGAAGCAAAAACCTGCGAGTGTCCGGAACTGGGCCGAAGGGGACAACGACAATATGCAGGATCCTCCTACCTTGGAAGATTCTCACCCGGTGATATCGTATGGTTTTGGTTTTGTATCACTACGATGAGAAACCTCCAAGGCCAGAGAGATCCGCGATAAACTTACCTCTGTGGATACCCGCGCCCACACCCTAGCTGATTGACACCCGGTGATAAGAAATGGTTTGAATGCGTCATATCACTGCGATGAAAACCCGCTGGGGTGAGGGCAGGGGATACAGAGATGCTTAAAGAGCCTAACCGTTTTTCACCCGGTGATAGACTGTAACATAGCTTATCACTGCAGTGAGAACCAGTTGGGCTCCCTGCATCTCTGGAATATAGTAGTAGATAGTAATAGGAATAGATGGGGTAGGATGAGGGGGGGGGGGGTGGGCAACGGGACCATCCAGCAGAGTCGCTGGACCTATACCAGGTTGTCTCCCGGTGATAAGGAATGGTTATGAGTTGTCATATCACCACAAAGAGAACCCGGTACAGGTCCAGGCTCCACATGAATACCCATCGGACCATTGCGAATTTTCACCCGGTGATACAGATGTTAGTTGTAACACCGCAGCAAAAATTCACAATGGTCCGAAGGTTTCAATTGGAATGGTTTTTTGGAGAGGGGAAAGTGAGGATAAGGATTGAACAGGAATGGAACATCAACCGGAAATGGCTGACAACGAAACCGTATTCAATGAACAATAGAAAAAATAGGGAAAGGAAAATGAGGGGAAAGGTCAATAGTAGTAATATTAATAATATAAGAATAAGAAAACAACTGATGATCTAATAGTCTGCTTCTTGGCCCTTTTATACCCTCGCCCGGTGCACCAAAACTGACTCCGCCCCTTTTGGGGGGCGCGCAGGGTGGAGATCCCACCCAACGAGAGCACACTGTCTGGTACTCTCTCCACGCCATACGCTATTTCGTTTCGCGCTCAACCGAATGGTGTGTATGGTGTGCGCGCGCAAACCGCCGAACGCTCGATAAATGGTGGACCATGGTCAGTGGGGCAGGCCTAGGAGGGGAAGGGTTGAAGAGGAAAGGAGATGACGGGAGGGAAACGTCTGGGAAACAGATTAGCTGAGGGAGAAGAAGGAAAATTGGATGCGACGTCTCGTACGGATGACCGCTAGGCGCCGGACGACGAATTCGTTTTTTCGAATTCTCTCGTTTGTTCTCGATGTCTAGGATACGCGCATGCGGAAAGTTGAAAGCGGACAATCTGTTCCATTTTTTGTCGGATAAGAAACGGGGAAGTTCTCGCGGAAACATGCGGGGAAGGGACGACGTAGATGGACAGATGACCTCTGCTTTCAGAAAAAACAAAAACGAAATAGAGATGCAGAGAAATCATTGGCTGTGCCTCGGTGTTTTTCGGCTGGTTAGAAAATTCTAATCTTTTTTACGGGATTAGATTGCACTTCAGGAGAAGGAGATTCTTATGGATTGGTGCATCTCAAGAAGCGAGTGGAAGAGTCTGATTAGTGCATTGTTGCAAATTTAACATGGGCGTACTGTATTTTATTTTGTTTCACACATATTTAACTTTGAATATGTATGAGAGTGTGCTCGGTGAAAGAGCCGTGGAATGCTTTATTGGGTAAATAGAAAAAAGAGGTCTCTAGGTTCATGAGAAGAGCTACAGTACTACGAAATACTGCAGTTCCGGTTGGTGTAGCTTTATTCTATTTGATGCCGAAAGCAGTGAACCAAAGTATTATAATGACGATGCTCCTTCAAACAGATCCTATTCATTTTTCTTCTTATCCACTGATTGCGTCATTCTTTAAGCAACTTTATTAAATGATTGAGTGCCTGAATCAAACGTTGGACCAGACTCCATTAAATTCAACCTATTTCAGAAAACTCGACTATATCACTCGTAAAGTTCATCGTGTGCTTGGATTCTACCTGACCCGTCATCAAATCCAACGGGTAAGTCTACTTGGCAAAGTCTAATCTTTCCATCTGCCATCCATCTGACACTGTCACATGCGTTGACATACCATTGTTCTCCATAACTTTCCCAAGTGCTCACTCATAAAAGAACAAAGACCTCTGGTGTTTTACGATAAAGATAGGGATCCCCGCCGTTCGTTTCTGTCAACGAATGACGTCATCCATCTGTCACGTCACCTGACTCTCAGTAAACCAACAGACGGCGTCGTTTGGGAGAACCCCCGTGGATTTCCCGTGGGGGCACTCACTGCACAATGGGGTGCTAGAATGGTCTTTTTGTACACTAATTACGCAATGTGTGAGGTGAAGAAACGCAGAAACGCAGGGAATGTGGCAGAGGAGGGTCCTAAAAGACCCCCATTATTATGGTGCTAAGATAAAGAATTGTCTAGATATGAGTGACGATTAGGAATGAAAAAGAGGGACTGAAGACAGGATTAGGATCGGAGAATGGGAAAGAATGCTGCAGGTGCATGGATGTGCAATAACCATTAATTTCAGCTTAGATATGTTCTGGAGAAGAAATTCGAAGCAGGAGCAACACGACCTGAATTGGTGGAAGCTATGGTTGAAGAGTTGACAAAGGATGTGAAGAGGGAAAAGGCTGTCAAAGCCATCGCACAGACAATGAAGGATTTGAAGATCTTCAGCCGAAAAAATCCAGGATGGATTGAGCAGGTGGAGATGTTGTTCAGTCACGCAATGGTCCATGACGAAATGTAATGTGCAAAAACGAGCTAACTTATTTCAATTACCCGAATATCTGTTTTATAGCCGTTGATCCAAATTTTTATGTTAATAAACCAATTTTTGTTATAATAAATATCAGTACGAAAACTTGCGAATGAAGTCGCAATTCATTATTTCAGCTATTTTAGACAATATAAATCTCGGTCAAACATTTAGAAACGTGTCGTTGGAGAAATATCAAAAAATATCAAGTCTGCAGACATGCAAATCTCAAGTTTCGCGCGCAAGTGGTTGATGTAAACGCGCCCCGATGAGAAAAATTTATTCCAAAATTTTTGATTCAAAAAAGAAGAAACAAGCGAAAACCTGATTTCATGTCTGATTTGGCCGAGTTTAACCTTATTTTTTGTTTATTTAATAAATCGAGTAAAAAAAATAAATCTGAAATATCGGCCGATTTTCAGGCATGGAGCGAAGCCGAGAGTTTCAGGAGCGGCTTCGGCCAATCCAAATTCGACCTGTTCCCTTAACACACAACTTCTATGAACAATTTTTAAGGAAAAATCCTGGATACAATGAGAATATGGAGACGTCAAGTGCAGCAAGTACCCCAAACACGAGTACGAGCACTTTCCCGAGCGCAAGTATGTCTAAAAACGTAATCTTTTTCAAAAACATCTTCAAAATGCTACAGACAATCTATCGGCATCAAGTAAACGGCTAGGACCGAATTCTGCAACGTCAAAACTAGTCGAAGAGATTATTGAATCGAATAAGCAGCTCATTGAAGAGGCTGCAATGCAGAAAGCCGCATCAGGGGTCAATGTAACAACTAAACAATACAATAATCTGATTCCGTTGTCGTTCGATCAAGAAGAGTTCCTTCGGAATCACGAAGCTTCTATGCCTGCCAATCGATCTCGAAAATTGTAAATACTCCTACCTAAAAGAATAATACTAAATATAAACATTTTGATCTCTACTTCGACCGTTTTCTGAAATTCGAATCATGGTTCGAACCCTGAAATTATCTTTGAAATTTTCGTTCTGAATCATCCTTCTTTTATCAATATTAGTCAGTCTCTTGATCTAGATGGATTTCCCATTCCAAGCTCCCATTCCACCTCTCACAGCCAACTATCAAAGTGAGCCGGAAAAAATTGGACAGGCGACAGATATGATGATCAAAAGAGTGACGGACGCCAAGAAAATGATTGAGGAGCTTCTGCAGATGTTAGATTTACAAGAGAAGTGCCCGTGGCCTGATATGCTCGAGAAGTTCTCATCATTAGCATCGGCAATGGCAAGTCTGCAGACGTCGGTACGGAAAAGCGGCTTGCCACACGGTCACGAAGATCATGGACAATTCCTGCGATCTCATGTTCTAGTGCCGCAAAGATTGCAATACGAACCAGATGAAGCTCTTCTGGTATTTCATTGCAATTGATGTTCCATTTAAGTGTGGGTTTTCAGAGAGTAACCCAAGGTCGGGTCTTTTCATGGAACCATGAGTTGGTGCCAGAATATTTGAGAACGAAGCCAAATCCAGAGATGGAAAATGAAGAACAGATGCTGGACATGGAACGAAGTGCAAAGGCTCCTGATCTCGTTGTGAAACAGATAGCTGCATACAACAAAAATATCGAAGGACTCTTGGGCAGTTTATCAAATATCGACAGGCTGCACAGTGAGGCCATTATCGAAAAGGTATTTTTCTGTTTAGCAGGGAATTAATAATATCGTCATTCTTGTTTTTCTCTCGCCGATTTTTTTTCCAAAATGACGAAGTATACTCCGACGACTTTGCTAGTTTCGGGTCTCTCAAAGTCGATAGATGGCCTACTACACCCTCGATCGATTGACCCGGAATGCGTAGAGCTAGTGAATCATATAACGATAAGATCTGATTGGAATAGAAAAAGATTGCGACGAGAAACATGATTTCGTTTTGGTTGAAATCACATCGGTTTCCCGGTCATGTTCTGGATAAATGATGGACAACAAATGAAGGGAACTGGATTAGTAATAACTTCCATATTTCAGCCAACACACAGCCGTGAGGAAACAATGAAATTAGTCAAATCCATCTTATTAGGAGAAGCAATCCGAACTTTGCGAACTGCTGGCGCTCCTCCAACGTCCACGCCTATGCCAGCTGCACCCGGCTCAGCTGGTCCTTCTCAATCAGGATCACAAGTGATGAACCAGGCTCCAGGAATGCAAGACTATCAGAACCCACAGCTGCGTCAGCAGCTCATGGGACAGCCACCACAAATGGGATATGGAAACGCGTATCCACCACAGTATCCTCAAATGCATCCTCAACAAATGGGTGAGCTTTCTGGTAATTCATTCTAGTTTTCTACCGGGAGCGAAGGCATTTTTTTGAATATCCGCAAAAAATTCCCTGAGAATTTTGACATCTTCTTGCTCTTTTCTGCGTCTTCATTCACTTTTTGAAGAGAGTTTAGCACGTGCGTTTATGCGAAACGAATAACAACGTATTTCAGCAATGATGCAGCAACAAGGACAAATGGGCATGGGACAGCCAATGCAACAGCGACCAATACATCCAATACCGAACATGACCATTCAACGACAATGATGATCTCATTTTCATTTTTCAAACTTTCCACAATGATATCAATAATGTCATAAATTATGTACTTGTACATTATGGTATTTTCTTCATTATGGTATTTTCTTCACGTTTTCATTTAGTTTGTTAGATCACTTCAAGAACAAGTGTAACCTGGATTATCATCTATCTGAAAACTCCAATGTTTTTGCATTAATGTGCTTTGTAGGAAAACTAATTCCCTTCCTTTTCAACAGAAAGAGCGAGAGATTCCGAAATGTTTGAGATACGCAGACATCGTTGTTTACAAGTTTGATGTAGCAAACAGAAGCGCGTCAGCAGCAGCCTGACGCATTATACCTTTAAGGTGTCGTGATGTGCAATTAAATCAGTCTGAAAAACTACCGTATCTGAAATGAAAACTACCGTAACCTGAAAAGTATTTTTACCTTCATGATTTTGTCTCGGTTTTCACTGCTTTTCAACGTTTTCCTGCAATTTAAACCAAGTGAAGCAGGAAAAAAAGTTGTTTCCATGTGAAAAGTTGCCGAAAACGGCAAAAAATCGAGCAACAGAATCCGAACAAACTAAAAAAAATTTCAGGTTACTGTAGTTTTCTTCTGGCAGTAACCGCCACCGGTGACTTTCCTCCCCAGCTCGTTTTTGTAGATCTTAAAATCCTCCTTGTCGCTTTTTTTATCAATTCTTTCTTTTAAGATGTCGATGGGACGTAGTTCTTCGACCACGTTCCGAAATCGAACTGCGAGCCATGGATCCCGCAGTCTGGGTTCTGCAGAAACAGCGAGGATCCCTCGAAAACTTTCTTCGCAGCTGTCACATACACATGCGAACATCCTTCATCCACAGTTGCAGACAATGATGGAGCAGTGGCAAATGCGAGAACGGTCTAACTCTCAGCTATAGAAAAATATTCATTTTCTAGTTTTCAGACCGTCTTTGGAAACTGAAAATGGCAAAGGATCCTTGCTTCTATCGTCCGAAGGAGTGGCTGATATGATTGTATTGTCTTCTTTCGGAGAAGTGATCAGCGTCGTTTTTCCATGGTTCCTTGCAAATGTTCGAACCAGTTTTGACATCAAACTTTCGGAATTCAAACACCAATTGTTCGAACAAATCGGTCCAATGAAATGGGGAAAACACTCTACACAACCTCAGGATTACGCTTTCAGACAGTTGAATAACTTCGGGGAAATCGAAGTTATATTTAATGATGATGTTCGTTTTTAGTCAAACAAAACCTTATCAATGTTCACAAATTTCAGCAGCAACTATCTTGTCTTGAACTACATGGAACATTTCCTATGCTCTTTCTTTTTGAACCTGATGGATTCAACAGAGACAAAGAACTGATGTGCGATATAAGTCATTGTCTTGGGTATTCGCTTGATAAGCTAGAGGAGAGTATCGACGAAGAACTTCGTCAATTTCGTGCTTCATTGTGGACTCAAACCAAGAAGACTTGTTTTGAACGTGGAGTGGATGGTGTTGATCACTACGCGTTTCCCGAAGAGCAGTATTTCTGTGTGGGTGAAAAATGCCCAACGGATTTGGAGTCAAAAGTCAAAGCTGCAAAGTTGGATTATCAATTGTTCTGGACTAAACGAAAATCGGAAGCCAATGAAGTTTGGGAGAAAATGTACAAAATTACAATCGATTTTGATCCTGAATTCAATCCACAATCCCTCATGAGAATGTTTGTTAAAGAACTTCAATGTATGAATTTATTTGATCCTGAAGATCCACCAGATGAAGAATGGATTCTACAATTGGCAGGGCGAACAAGTTTTGTGACTCGTCCAGAAATTTCACTTGTTTCTTACGATGTAAGAAAATATTTTTACTACAAAACCAAATTCTATTTTTCAGGGGATTCGCTCTGAGCTAGAAAGCTACCGATGTCCGGGATTCGTTGTTCGTCGAAAATCATTAGTTCTTAAGGACTACGTACGCCCGAAACCACTCTATGAACCTCATTATGTGCGAGTTCATGAAAGAAAAATGGCCCTGGATGTGTTGAGTGTTTCTATTGGAACCGAAGTAAAACATAGTGGGAACAGTGACAAAGTGTGGACAGACTTTCGACCTACAGCCTCCCTGGAGCAAATAACTCTTTGGGACCTTGATTCTAATCTTATGATTCGACCAGTAAACGTAACTGGACTTCCGTTCACTGCCTCCCATGATATTTATTTGGGAATGGAATTCAAGGTCTACGTCGGAACATTGACCCTGGCCACAATCAAAATTCCTAGAGTCCCTACGACAAAATTGGTCTGGAAAAGAGAATTTTTCACATTCGACTTGTACATGAAGGATATGCCACCATCAGCTATATTAAGTGTTCGAGTCTATTCAATGAAGACTACAAAAATGAAAGAAGAAATTGAACTCGGATGGGTGAACATTTCTCTCAGCGACTGGCGAGATGAACTACGGCAAGGACAGATAAAACTGAACCTCTGGGGGCCAGAACCGTCAGCGAACAGAAGTAGAATTGGTCACAATGGTGCGAAAATAGGAACATCGTTGTCAGTAACCGTTGAAATATCCAGTCATGGTCGACGAGTGAAAATGCCAAATGAAGCGCAATACAAGTATCTTGTGGATCATCGAATAAGTTGGTCAGACACTGTAGAAATTGTTGGCGACGATTACGAGGCATGTATTGGAGATCCAGGATATAAGAAGCTGCAGGATTTGGTGAAAAAACATGAATCTGGAGTGATTCTAGACGATTCTGAGCAACGACATGTTTGGTCGTGGAGAAACTATATTCAGAAGCAGGAACCTGACTTGTTGGTTGTTCTTTCTGAACTAAGAATCGTGTGGACAGATCGTGAAAACTTTTCGGAACTCTATGTGATGCTTGAGACATGGAAGGCTCCAAGTGTGGCTGCTGCATTGACTCTACTTGGAAAACGATGTACTGATCGAGTGATTCGAAAGTTCGCTGTTAACAAGTTGAATGATCAACTCAGCCAGTTCAATGTTCATCTCTTCCTTCTCCCACTCATTCAGGCATTGAAATACGAACCACGTGCTTATTCAGAAGTTGGAATGATGTTGTTGACACGAGCACTCAGCAGTTACCGTATCGGACATAGACTATTTTGGCTGCTTCGTTCAGAAATTTGTCGATTGAAGTAAGTATAGATTCAATTGCTCAGAGAAACACGAATCAAAAGTTCCAGAGACTGTGCAACAAATAACGAGGAATACCGGCGTATCTCTCTTCTGATGGAGGCATACCTACGTGGAAATGAGGAGCATATTAAGGGTATCATCCGTCAAGTCGACATGGTTGACGAACTTACTCGTATCAGTTCACTCGTGAAAGGACTATCCAAAGAAGCGGCCCGGGAAAAACTCCGTGATCAGCTGAGAACAATCAGTCACAAAATGGAAAGCATCGATTCTCCATTGGATCCAGTTTACAAATTTGGGGAAATGGTGTATGTCTCTATTTTTATTGAATTCAAAATTTAAAAGTGTGTAAATTTAGAATCGAAAAAGCTATCGTTTTGGGAAGTGCCAAGCAACCACTACGACTTGTTTGGAAAAATAAGAATCCTAAGAGTGACCTTCATCTTCCCTTCTGCGAAGTGATCTTCAAGAATGGAGATGATCTCAGACAGGATATGCTCGTTTTGCAAGTACTAGAAGTAATGGACACAATTTGGAAGGCGGCTAACATAGACTGTTGTTTGAGTCCATACGGTGTTTTGCCAATGGGGGAAATGATTGGAATTATCGAGGTCGTGCCAAACTGCAAAACCATTTTTGAAATCCAACACAAAGCTGGCCTAGTGAATACAGCCGCTCGAAGTGTTGACTCCAATTTTATGAACAAATGGATTCGGAAACAGTGTGGATTTGTGTACGTAATGTATAGGACTTGATTTGATTTCAATTTTTAGAATTTCAGAGATGAAAAGAAGAAATACAAAAAAGGTGGTGGTCCAACTGTTGACTCTGCACAAGCGACCAAGAAATACTTTGAAAGTGTAGATCGATTCCTGTATTCATGTGTTGGATACTCTGTTGCCACTTATATCATGGGTATCAAGGATCGACACAGTGATAATTTGATGTTGACTGAAGACGGAAAATATTTCCATATCGATTTCGGACACATTCTTGGACACGGAAAAACAAAATTAGGAATTCAGAGAGATCGTCAGCCATTCATTCTCACCGAACAATTTTTGACGATTATTCGATCTGGAAAGCCGGTCGACGGGAATTCACACGAAATTCAAAAATTCAAGACACTCTGTCTCGAAGCCTACGAAGTCATGTGGAACAATCGTGATTTATTTGTTTCTCTGTTTACTTTGATGCTTGGAATGGAATTGCCGGAATTGGCAACTAAGGAGGATTTGGATCATTTGAAGGTTTTGAAGGCTAGAACAATCCCTTTCAGTAAAATACAAATTTCAGAAAACGCTATGCTGTAAAGGCGAAACAAAGGAGAAGGCGAGGAAGTTCTTCGCTGGAGTCTACGAAGAAGCATTCAATGGATCATGGTCCACCAAAACTAATTGGCTGTTCCATGCCATGAAACACTACTAAAGTACAAATCTATTTTCTTTCATCATTTCTAACACATTCCCTGTGCATACAACTCTACCTCTTTCTCATCTCTCATTCCCTGTGGCTCCCTCCTCTTGCATATTTGTACTTTTCATTCTTGTAAATTTTTATCACAATGGAAGTCCCGAAGTAGTTTTTGAAGAGTTGATTTACTATTAGTCTGTAAAAAGCTATGGTTTTTGAGCTGATCCAATTTTTCAAAAAAAAAAATCAGAAGAAAACTGTTCCTATTCTGCTCAAGTTGAAAGAAGTGAGCTGAATCTGACACTCCAGGCACTTCTCTCCCCTCGTCAGTTTTACCATTCATTCAATGTAATTTTTCATATAGTGATAAATACTACAACTTTATTTGTTTAGCAGTAAAATGAATAGTTCTTAATTAGTGAGCCATGGTTTCCACTTTGGTTTTCGGATTACAGAGAGCTTTGAACAGCGGAACAACGAAGCAGGCGTCTCTGAAAAATAAAATAAATGAAGAAAGTAAATACTAGAAACTAACTCGTTGTTTTTCTCAATTGGAGCTTTCTCAGGTTTTTGAGTTTTAGATGATTTCAAAGTGTCAGGTTTGGCCACTTTGAGAAGACATTTCAGAACAGACTTTGATTCAAATTGGCAAGCAGAAGTTGTATCTGGAATTTTCAGATGCATTTTTGACTACTTCTGAATTGAACCCACCGTTTTCCAAAAATGCACGGAGCACTTTTTTACTGTTATTCATCTTCAGTGCATATCCAGTTGACTCAACCATGGTCGACTTGCCTGGCAGGTCGACAACAATCTGCAAAGAGAATGTAAAAGAAGAAGAGAGCGCAGAAATAAAAATGTCAAAGAGAAAGTTGTTCTCTCGTGCAGTCATGTCCGAGTGGTTAAGGAGATTGACTAGAAATCAATTGGGCTCTGCCCGCGTAGGTTCGAATCCTGCTGACTGCGTTAACTTTTGGTCCCCCCCCGTTCCCAAATAACCGTTTTTGCCGAGAATTCTGCGTCATCGACGACAAAGTTGAGTGTCTGGACAAGATGTTGAGGCTTATCAGTCACGTGTCCCTCAATCCAATGACGGATGTTCTTGCGATTGAACGGATAGATGGCGCGACAGTAAATTGAAACCGGCTTCTGCTTGTTGCCACATAAGACCGCTTTGGACGGTGTCTCGAGAACAGTGATATCAGTGTACTTGTTAGATAAAACGAGACATTCCAAACGATCCAGTTTTGGACTTTCGTTCGGATTCACTATCTTCACCGCCACGTCGTAGATCGAGGTGTTTCTGAGCACAATTCGGTATTGGGATTTCGAATTTTCACGGACTATCACAGATAGAGTCATTTTTCTGGAATTGTTACTGAGGTTCGGAATTCAAGAATTTTGAATACCGAGTTCTAGTGATGAGATTGGACGGCGCTAGTTCGAAATTGTCGAGAGAGAAAAAGTAAATTCTTTATTCAAATTTTTTTAGAATGCTGCTGAGTTATCGTGGCAGGGGACACGGTCATGACGGAACTTCTTCGAAAGCTTGGGTCATATCTGAAGCAAGTGATGACCGAAATTGTGAATTGACGATAACTGGGATTGAGCCAAATCAATGTGATGGTTGAGCCCATTCCATGGAGAGAGATACATATGATGGCTATGTTGTTTAACACTGAAATGTTTAAATTATGAATTTGTCTCTGAATAAACCACCCACTTTGATTATAATATTGCCAGACTATTGAATAGAAGCAGTAGGTCATTGGAAGAACTATTACAGCAACAGGAATGGATACCTGAAAAAAGGATTACTGTAAAGAGATATCAAAACCAATTCTCACTTGAAAAATCATATCCACAAAAAACTTTATCTGTAATTTTTGTGTCGCTGGTGACATATGAGTTTTCAAACTGAGCAAAAAATAGCTCGAGTGTATGCAAAGAATGAAAACTTCTGCCAAAAAGAAAAGCAAAAAGATTCCAGCAGTTCCAGTAACAGCCGAGATTTCCATGGAGAAAACGAATACGTTGTTTTGAAAGTACGATGGATGAGGACATGGAAGAATCTGAAAAGGATTTCGAAATATTGAAAAAAATCCAGAAAGTTCACAGACTACTTTTAAAAGAATAGGCTTCGCCCATTCTGGATCTGGAATTTGGAAATAGACGGGCAGAAGGAATAAGAGAGCATAGATTCCGTTGATGGCATAAAATGTGTATCGAATCCATTCGGCTTCGATTTTGAATCTGCCACGGACCAAAGTGTTGTGACGATTTTCGAATAGCATCACTATGGCTGTGGCGAGTCCTGAAAGTTTTATTCGGTAATTTACGGAGATGTCCGGTAGCTGGATTCCGTATATTCCTGAATGCTCTTTTTCATCACAGGTAAAACGGGTTGCCGAAAAGCGTACGTACAAACGGCGGCTGCATCTCTAAAAATTGACTATTTAAGCAAATGATGAACAGATATGACAAAAAAGTATGAAAGGCAATCCTTATTAATCAGACCATAATGAAAAAAAAACTATTTTTATGATAAAAGTTTGTCCCAAATTTTTGGCAACTATAGTTTTCTCAGGCTTTCCTCAAAGTTTCAGCCAGATCGGTTCATTCTCCGAATTTTCGCTACTTTTTTTGTTATTTGTTAGGTTTTTGCCTCACCTGAATAACCCATTAGATCTTCAGCTGCCGTTTGTACGCTTTTCGGCAACCCGCCTTACTTGGGAATAGCAAGATTCAAAAATATAGAGCCATATGTGTTTTTGCGAATTTTTCTGCGCACTAGAGGCGTCCGAATTCCGGGTTCCGATAACTTTTTTTTCGGATTTCTTTTTTCGAAAAAGTCATCTCGGACATATCCGATAACTAGCAAACCTTTCTCTTATTTCAGACTTTATTTTATTCCAAAGATTTCCAGTGATATCCAAAATTAAAACAGTTCTAACAATCTAAAATCTACAGTAATCCCAAATAAAGCTTTTTTTCCATAACCAGGATTCTTTCCTACTTCATAAATTTTTAAAAATTTATCAACAGACAAAAGCGTATCATGTTTATGTATAGGCTACTCTCTCCCGGTTAAGCTATCAAAATCACTCGGTCAAGTGCACATTTTTCAGATTTTGCTTTTCAAAAATACATATTCTGCAGATAATGAATAGCATAGAACCCAACATTTCATAAAACAGCATCAAAGTATCATCAAGTTTCAGCAAAATTCGTTCTGATTTTAGTTTCCGAGAACATTTTGATTACGCCTACCTGATTTTCATTTTGTTATTCGGCTAAATTTAGCTGAAACACAGATGACGTTGTTTAACTTATGCGTTTTCGAAAATAAAATTCGAAGACGAATTCAATTCCGGTTAACTAGAGTTTTTCAAAAATTTTGGAATTCTAATTATTATTTTGGTGCAAATAAATCGGATCTGTGAAAGAAAAACGATGATGGCCGTGGCCGAAGATCCCACAAGGACCACTACCACCCAAGTATATTTTCATTTTCCAAATTTATTATCTCGTTTTTCATGCGTTTTCAGTCATTTTTTCACTACAATAATTTTTTACGACTCGAAAACGCACGAAAATAGAGACAATCCGGAAAACAAAAATACTTTTAGGTTACGGTAGTTTGGGTTTTTGGAACTGTGGCCACAGCTACCAGCGTTGCTCTTCCACATCCCTGTTTTTTGTACCAGAAATTAGGAAGATTTCGATTTGTATTTTTGTGAAGTTTGAGTACATATAAAATCTTTCATGCAAATAATTAATGTCGAAAATGGTTGAACGGCGTTCTCAAAGGGCAAAACTTGAATGTGCATTCAGCGGAACGTTTCTAAGATCTTCAATCTGTGTTTATGTTACATAGTTCTGTCATATTAGGTTGGCAGGAAAGTAACTGTCCCTTGTTTTATTTGTGAATAATTCAAAAGCAGGATTAATCCAAGATTAGCAGTATGCACCGTCGTGGTCCACGACATGTTGGCAATGTTCTGATAACTTGTGGATACAATACCTTCAAAAGCCAGCTAGCCGCGAATCAAAGTATTCATTTTTTCCTGTTTTTCACATAAATGGTGCAAATTTTCGTATTCTCTAGATGAGGTTGTATCTCTCCGAATATTCAATAATCTGATAGAGCTCAGTCGGGACTATAAGTAGGTGAGGGAGAACTGTCCCGCTGAAGCTGCTCAGGTCTGACTTGATTGCAGGTAAAAAATGAAAAAAACCTCATGTTCACGGAAAGTCACGCCGTACCTGAGCCGCTTTGGCTGGACGGTTCTCCTTTACCCCCGTTAAAGACCTGATTCAGCTCTATCAGATCATTGGTTATTCAGAAGTATACGACGTCATCTGGAGCTTAAGGACTTTAACACAATTGATGCCTGAAAAAATGGACTGGAGGGATATTTTGACTTGCCACTAGCTGTCTTTTGGAGGGATGGTACCCACGAGTTACCTGAACATTGCCAACATGTTGTGGATCACGACGGTGCATATTGCTAATTCTGGATTATTCTTGTGTTTGTGTTATTTACTAATAAAAAATGGACAGTTACTTTCCTGCCAACCTAATAAATTCAGAATTCAAATTTCCCAAAAATGTTTACATTACGAATTTCCTCAAAAAAGGACTGATTCGTAACACACAACAAGTGTTTTCCACACTATTTGTTTATTGTTCCTCTTCTCAAAACAAAAAAAACTGACCGCCTAATCCAACTTGTGCACAAAACACCTGAATCCACACGGGAACGGAAATCCAACTGAATACTCCGACGGAAATTCCGACGAGCACCGGGAAAAACATATACGGACAGACAAGTCCACCGATGAGAACGTCAGAAATAATTGTCCTGAAAAGTAGAAAATATCTAAGAAAATTTGAGCCAAGAACTAATTTATCACTCAAAAAAGAAAGAAATTTATCACACTCTTACCAAGCATGCAAATGCAATAAATACCATCTCGCACTTTTTCTGTTCCTCGGAGTCTTTTTAATAATACAGTAACCTCCGAATAAATTGATCGGGAGAGTAATCAAAATCAGAAGATGTGAAAACGTTGCTTGGAACTGCCAAGAGTCCCAATAAGTGAAAACAGTTGAGCAAGAAGTATTCATAACTCAAATGAGCAGAAAAGTGAAGATAAGGACGTTGTGATATGTAACATTAGACACGCATCGATGGATCCCCAGGAGACGGAGTGAGCACGAGATTTCAGAAGGCGTTGAGAAGAGGGAGGGCGCATATATATTCTATGATCTAGAACATTTATTAAACGAAAGCGACGCCTATGTAGATCGAGTGACAAAGTGTCACAAGTTTTGAAACGATTTCAAGAAACTGTGATTTTTTTTGGAAGCTGTAGAATTGGTCTTTGCTATGAATTTCTGAAAAAAAAACAACTAGATAGTAATTATGAAAATTCAAAGATAATGAAAGTTGGGACAAAGTGAATATTTGAATACTTTAAAAAAATTTTTAAATTTGAAGAACCTCATTGTCTAGTGAATCTGAAGTTCTATGCTTCCTTACGATCATGGATATTCTTTTTCATCATCCTCCAAGTGAATAATCGAAAATTCCGAAATTTCAGCCTTTGGACCGAAATTGGGCAGGTTCGGGTCAAAGCTTGCCCGAAAACAGCTGTATAGCGGGTCATGGTCAGATTTTGGTCAGAAGTTCAAAGTTGGAATGCTACTAGGTCGGAACCTTATCACATGTTTGTCGGGGTTTGGTCGGCTTCAGTAGCGGTCTTATCCAAAATCTGACTAACCTACGACCCGTATTCGGTCTAATTATCTGAACTTGGTCAATTCCAGACAGCTTGATTTTTAAATTTGATCATCACCATCATTTTCAAATGTGATCATTACTTACAATTAAGCTAATCTTCTGAAACCGAAGACGTCACTTTGGCAGTCAACCAAACACCAAAAAAAGTAATAATATTTCATTTTCTCTGACGATCATAATTTTCTAATTTATACATGCGGAGAGGAAAAGAGACAAATTGGTTCATTTAACCCGTTTTGACATGAACATATAAAGCATGAAAACCTAGAGAGGAAACAAGTACAAAATTACTGACTAGGAATGGAACTGGCAGAAAATAAAACCCGTGATAGTAGGAGAAAATTGGAAATTTAGACATTTTGAATAAGATTTGCTTGTGGATCCTCAAGAGAGGTCACATGAGCCGAACTGCTTTTTGTTTGTTTCAGACTGATTTGGAATGGACGATCCACGCCTGAAAACATAATATTTGTGGAAATAAAATCTTCAAAATAACAAGAATTTACCTTCAAGCGTATGCAGGAACTTCTTCAAAGTCTGCTTCATCAGAGTTCGATACCTCTTGGAAACCACGCAATACAGACAGAAATTGAGTGAAGCATTCAAAAAGACAAGTTGTTGACTCAAGCATACGTAGAGGATAGCTGTTGGATGATATTGTCCATAGATATCAAATAGAAGACGTGCTGGTGCTTGTGGTCCAACACAGAAAAAGAGCATGAAGACTACAGCGAAGAGCATTGCATTGGCTCTCATGGTGCGGTTATTATGGGTCTCGTTTTGAATGAGCCCATCGGAAAGTTTCGTTTCTTCATCTCTTCGAGAATCTTCATCCACGACACGACGGAGAGTGAAAATGATTCTGGAGTTCATGTAGAGGAGGGCAATGATTGGAAGAACGTTAAACGCAAACAAGGAGACGTAGTCCATGGTACGGTAGTAAATCTGCAACAAGGAATTTGTTAGAATTTCGATTTTGAAAGTCAGTTTGGTGGACCCCTAAATTCTTTAAAATTTAAATCTTATCTTTTATTTATAAAGCTCAAAATCTTTCTCATTTTAACCATCAGAAACAAACAATTAGTCATCATCATCACTTCTACTGTCAAAACGATGTTCTGTTTACTTCAAAAACCATTTTATGTGTGTGCTGATCCATTTTCATCATTCCCTAAATCTATTTATAAATACCCCGTTTTCTCATTCCTCCTCCTATTTCCCCCAAACAGTAAGTATACTGTGTCCTTCCCGTCCGATTGCTCTCAATTCATCTTCCTAATTACAACAATGAAAAAGTATCGGGTTTCTTTTTGATGCCATTCAAAAAGACGAAACAGTCAAAATTTGAGAAAAATGAGTCAAAGAAACAAAAAAACGAGTAAATACCTGAAGAGCGCGATTGGTCGACATAAGAATCACGTAGTAATACTCGTTCGAATTGCTCTCGAAACACCGAATTGTGTTGTAAGCCAGCGGCCATTGAATCGAACATAAAAACGAAACGAAGATTCTGAAAATTGGAATATGTTGGGGAGCTGAAACTACACACAGAGCTAGAATCTAGAACTTCTATGCAACATAGTTTCAGACTTTTTAGAAGTTACAGGGTAGCGCAGAATTACGCTGACTGATAAAAACGGTTACATCTTTAGACATAATTATCTTGGAAGCACGAAAATTGGTAGAAATATACTTTTGTACACAATTCAAAGCTACCGAACTTTCAAAGCAGTTTCTCAAGTCTAGGCATTGTTATGACTGTCCAAAGACGAAATGTTTCTTGCATTGTGAATTTCATGAGACGAAAAAACTTTGCCAAGCGATAACTCAGCTCAGAGCTTATCAAACAATTTGAAACTTGATAAGTTTACTGATGAATTATTCAAATTTTTGCACTATAAATTTGAGCCCAGTACAACGCTTTACTCAAATTTTATGCTAGTACAAACTTAAGTCTATTTAGCTATGCGCCACCATGTAGACTGTAAAAGTAATGACAACATGTATTTATTGGAATTCAATACTTCCGTGCTGGACAATAGTGATTTATCTAAGAAATTCTAAAATGAACACACATTTTCTCTGTTGACCCAATTCGTGTTCCTTAACTATAAATAGAATAATATAAACACTTACGCGGTGGCAATCGCATTCTTCGAGTTTCTTGAAGTACACCATCGATGAGAATTCAGAGGACACACGACACACAGGTATCGCTCCACATTGAAGGCCACGACGATTCTGAACATTTGAAAAATTCTATTGATGAAAACTTTGAAAAACTTACAACACTGAACTTTTGTAAAATGTTGATGCCAGTGTTCGGATATAAAGAACAACTCTCGAATAGAAATGATTGAATGATGTGGAGAATGCCAGAGATGGAATAGAAAGTGGAGTAACATCAAGAGTAGCGAATATTAAGAAAAGACTATCACAGATTGCAAGAGCTATTAGAAGATTCCAGGATGGGATCCGACGGGCGGTTTTGTTGGAAGTTAGAACTGCCATGTTCAAGAGATTGCAGGCAAGACCAATCAAAGCGATAATTGGTAAAACTGCAACATTGCTCCACCAGACAATACGAATAGATTGCTCATCATGTTCATGATGGGTGATATTCGAGAAATTACAGAAATCATGGGATCCAATAATTTGTTCAGATTGAGAAGCTCCTTCTAGAGTGATCAGTTCGTCCATCTGCAAGAAATGATAAAAAAGATGTAATGAGGGTCAAAAAGGAGACAACAATGCAACGAGAAAATTTGAAGAGGAAAGGGGAGGAGAAACAAGTGTAATTGAGTGATTACAACCAGCTTCAATCATGCCAGACAATAACGAAAAATGAAAAGAATGAGGAGGAGGAGAGGACGACGAGAAAAGGCAAAGTACTACAGTTTCGATTTGTATGTTACGAGTTCTCAAGGTGAACGTGAGGGGCAACGAGAAAGTTTTGCAGAGAGATTAATAGACAAAAATGGATGGGTGTCTAATTTGGGTATGATAATTAATTAATGGGTTCAAGAAATCTCGTCAAGGTTGAATCAAGATTAGTTCAGAGAAGTGGATTGTTTGTAGTTTAGGTAGTTTTTGGAGAACAAAGATGAGCAATGTAGCCTACGTCGGAGGATCGAAGATATTTCGAAAAATTTTTAAGGTTGACTAAAGTGTCTTTTTTGGAATCTGACTCAAAAATCAAAATTACTTTTTGAGATGAAAGAGTTTTATTATTTCAAGTTGAACAGGTTCGAATTTGTGTAAGAGATATCTACCGTAGTTCCTCTAATAGAATGCCACTCAAACCGTCCATTTTGAGCCCGATTATCTCGATTCCTGTGAAAGTTACCAAAAATGTGTCAACTAATAAATTGTTTATCACATTACTACCAAGGTTTCATCAATTGGCAAATTATTGATATCTTGTGATGATGTGATCTACAGAAATCGAGATAATTGAGTCCAAAGTTGACGGTATAGGCGGGCTTCTAATAGAGGAAATACAGGATTTGGCCAGAAATGAACAATAAGAGCTGGACTGGAAATTTCAGGGAAATTATTTGAAAATTTATCCAAAAAGACAAACTCCGATATATCATAATCTAGACTAGTCCAAGGTTTTGAAAAATCAAAAATCTGAGAATTCAGGTTTACCTGATATCTTCTCGACCACAGTAGTCTTGACACGTCATTCTAACTACAGGTGACGCCAGTTTCTGACTCCAAATATACCCGAAATGTGTTATGAAATGAATTACCGTATTTCCTCTAATTTTGAAGCCCATGGGGTTCTATTTTTCAACCTCCTTTTTAGGAGATTACCAAAAACTGAAATTGTCAGAATTTTTTGAAATTGAGAGAAAATATATACAATAACCGAATAGACGAACTGAAATGTTCAAACTGCACTAACTGAACTGCCCGTACTTTTGTTATAGGATGCGCTTCTATGTTTTTAAGCACGTCAGAGGGTGGTCTTCTATTGGAGGTGGGCTTCAAATAGAGGTGGGCTTCAAATAGAGGTGGGCTTCTATTAGAGGAAATACGGTATACAGGTTACGGTCACTCTCAAAAAATCGTGTGTTCTTTTGCACTTTAAGGACACAAACATTCCCAAAAAAAGGGAAGAACTGGTAGACCCACTGGATGATGACACATTGTAGAATCGTGAATAAAACTTTAGAAGAAGAAGAAGAGAGTGACCGTTTGAAAGTTTTGAGAGAAAAATAGTGTGGAATCAATAGGACCCTCTTTAGAGAAGGAGAGTGAGACTGTGTTGTATGGCCGGTATAGTGTGCTTTTCGCACAAGACTTTGTTTGTTTGTTTGTGTAAGTGAGTCGGATATTCGGACGAGGCGGGCGGACGACGGGCGGAGCGGATCGAGCCGCTGGGAGTGAGAGAGTTGGGAGAAATTGGTGGGGGAAAAGAAGGAGTAGAACTGTAGAAGATTGTACTAATTCAATAAATAATAGTTAAATGAGTCATAGTAAGACTGGATGTATGAAGATAAAGAATCGAAATACCGTAAACACTCTAATACAACGCCACCGTTAACTTTCAACTTTGAGCAAATTTATCTCGATTCCTGTGAGAGATGCTAAAAATTGGTCAACTGATGAAATATTGTTGATATTAGGATAAATGATTTATCAGTTAGCAAACTTTTGAAAAAAAAAAAAATGAGAAGCATGAAATCTGAAACAATAGAAACTTCCAGAATCAGCCTCATTATTGAAATCCGAAACTCCAGTCCCTTATTGTTTTCCTGTAGTTTCCAAATCCGTTCAATTCTAAAATAAAAAACCCATAGGAAAAAAAACTGTTGTGGACTGATCTCACTATACCAGAGAGTCCATGGTGTGCAACTCAATTTGGGTCAACAATACTCGGCTATTTTTAGTGTTGCGAAGTGTGGGATATTTTAGGAAAGACTCCCACTATAGAGAAAAAATACTAATTTTTATCGTAAACCAAAAGTTTCGGATTTTAGGAAAATGAGGAACTTCAAGAAGGTTCAGGTAAGAAGGAAGATATTCAGAAGTGAATTAAAAAAGAACAAGGAGTAACCAGTAATCGAACAAATAGTTACTGTAGAAAGAAAACCATAGGAAAAGCTAGAGCAAACTTGAAACAAAAGTTTCGAAGAATCAAATGACATAATCAGAGTAGTAATGGAAATGGGAGGAGCCACCTCGATTTTCTATTTGTGGCTCCGAGGGGAAAGAGTGTCCTCAATTGGATCTCTTTTGCGCGGTGCGCACGGCTTGGGTGTCTCGCGCCACACAGTTTATATACAAACATACGCACTTTCACATACACGAATCGGAAGAATTAGAATGGAATACCTCCGACGGCTACACAGAGGGAACGGATGGAGGAATTGAGATGAAGTGGACACCCCCGAGAATTGATAAGAAGTGATTATGATGCCGTCGGGATTTCCCGCCTTTTTGTGATCGGATCGGTGAAGAAGAAGAAGTAGAAAAAGTCGTGAAGACGCCGCCCTTTTGGATCAAAAACAACAGTAGTTCATGACCTAGGAAAACAGAAAAAAAACAGACTGTTTTCGTATTTACTCTTTTATATAAAGCGTATATATGGGTCTCTTTTTTTCGGGGCCGCTCCTGTTGTATGTACTACTCACGAAACAAAGAAAACGAAGAAAAAAGTGGGTGTTTGGAAGGTTTCACTCGACCAAAATATCCTGCCGAGAAGGAGATTTTTTGAAAAATGGATGGCCCGCATAGGGGACCGGAAATAACCGGGAAGGTCTTGAGTTAACTGGAAAATTGAGAAATGATAGACAACTGAAAGATATAAGATTGCACTTTGGTCTTTACTACTTGAGACCAGAAACCCAAATTTATGAATCTGATTCTATTTTTGGAATTGTGTAGAAACAATGGGAATGAAATAAAAAATTGACCAAAAACAGGGGTTTGATCAGCTGGTTTACGTTTTTGACTTTTCGAAAATGGGCCTGCCACAGAACAGACAGGAATCAATATATTGAATCCGCAGCATATAGAATCCTGGTAGAAATTCTCTGAAATGAAGAATATGTGGGAAAGAAGTTTCAGAGGAAGGAGTTCATAAGGTTTTAGGGTTCAACTATAATATCATCAGAATAATCAAAATCCGTGGGATCTGAAAGCTATGAGAAATGGTATCGAAAGTCTGAAAATTTTCAGAATTATTGAAAAAGGATCTCAACACATTTCCATCTGAGATTTTGGTTCAGTTTACAGTAAAAGAAAATCTCAAGTATAGCATTGCACAAAACGGTAATCTACATATCGAAAATATTTTGTCAGTTGAAAATTTTATGATATTTCTCCACCGGAAAAAAGGGCTCAAAGTTGATATTTAGAGTTGAACTCAATAACTCTCCGTATTAGACATCTTACGCAATGCTGGGGATAATTAATCTGGAAAACTTTCAATTTTCATAGACGGAATATTCCGGTACACAGTTTACATAATGCATTCAGTTACAGTATATTCATTATGATCGAAAAAAATGAACGTTATATCTGAAAATTTGTGATTTGATACTGAAAAAAAACAGATCTTGGTGATAACTCGGCTGTAACTAATGAACGAATTCTGAAACTTTCAGAGATATCTAAATATATTCAAGATATTTTATCCTGCTAACGTCACATTTATTTAAAATCTATTTAATTCAGAAATTCGACAGTTCGTGATCAGCAGAATCAAAAACTAAGAATCTGAAGCTCAGATATTAATTTTAAATTTTCAGAACTAGTTCTATCCAATATTCAGATACTTAAGGCTCTTGAAACCCATCATTCTGAGATTCTACGGGGTCTATAAGAATTCAATTATTAGATTTATGAAACACTTGATTCATTGAATCCATGGTCTTTCAAATACTGGGATTTAAACAAGAGCTTGGTGGTGAATTGAATGACTAGTTATGAAATCCGTAAAGTTTTCCAGGAACAAAAACTATAAACTGATCCATTGGTATCTGTTTCTAATAGAGCCTTGCGTAATCCATCATTCTTCCTCTATAATCCCATCTTTCTTTTTTTCAACAATCTCGAATCACGTACCGGCTAACATGTTTCCTTATATCTGGTTTCTTGAGGTGTCTCCCTCGTCTCTGACAAGCAATGATACAGACGTTGTCCGCAACTATCACTTTCTTAAATAACGAGAGAGAAAAGAGAAAGAAACCAAGAGATAACGGAGAGAAAGTGCATTCAGAATCAGAATCAGGAGTCAAGACTAGAGTAGAAGAAAAAGTGAAATTTCGGGATATTGGAAAAGTACAAGAATGAACACAGAAAGAGAAAATCAGAGAGAGAAATGAGATAGAAAGGATCTGACGTGAGAACAGGATTACTGTAGACATAATGAGAGAATCAGGGAGAGTGTGAGACCTTGAACGAAATTAAGCCTCGAGATGAATGTCATTATCTAGATCAGGCATACTATACAGATAAGAACAATAAAACTTGACAAGCTTGACAAGGTTCAAATTATCTTAGCGGAAACGGTTTGAAAAGTTGCAAACACTTGAAACCTATATTCGGAATACAAATAAAATAAAAATCAAGGTTTTTACTCAATATTCTCAAAAAGTTTCAGTTCAAGCTACCGTATATCCTCTAATGGAAGCCCACCCAAACCGTAAACTTTGAGCTCAATTATCTCGATTCTCTTGAAAGATGTAAAAAATTTGGCAACTGATAAAACATTAGGGATATCAAGCCAAATAATTCATCACTTGACAAAGATAGTTTTCACAGGAATTGAGATAAATGAACTTAAAGTTGACGGTTTGGTGAACTTCTTTGTGAGGGATTGTTTCTGGATTTTTTCTAAAAGTAGCAAGGGAAAAACTGTTGTCGGTGCCGATATTTGGAATACAAAGAAAAATATTTTTTAACAAAAATCAAAGTTTCAGCTCAATATTTTCAAAAATATTCAGATCAATCTACCGTATTTCCTCTGATAGAAGTCAACCAAAACCGTCAGTTTTAAACTCATCTATCTCGATTTTTTGAAAGATATCAAGAACTTATCAACTGATAAATAATTCATCATAACATTGCCAATATTTTATCAGTTGATAGAGTTTTGATATCTTTTGATGAAATCAAGATAATTGAGCTCAAATAAAGTGGGATACTATCAAAGAAAATACGGTAGTAGTTTCCTGACGTCCTCAAATCTTTTTCCGATCCTAAGTTCTGATGCATTATTGTAGCTACAGTAATCTTCTGAACAAAGTTATTCAGCTTATGAGATCTTAGGCCGGACATCAGATCTTGAACAGCTTTGTTCCGAAAACCATTGAGCTCAGCAAAGGATCAAAAAAGGATCAAATTCCATCAAAACTGCGATTTTCAACAATTTTTGAATTTCAAAATCTAAAATAAACACTCAAAGTTCTCTCGTTCAAAGTTGGTTTATAATAGTTTTTGTGAAAAAAAAACGGCAGAGGGGAGAATTGTGTGGAAGGAGCGGCTCCCGGGTGGTTGAAAACATGCGCGAGACTAGGTGTGTTTGGAAAGGATGCAAAATGGGAGGTGAGGAAGTAGCGTGCGGATTGAAGAGAGTAGATACTGTACAAATACACGACGACGATGATCAAGTAAGCTTCTTGTCCTTCGAAGTTTTCAGAATCGAGGGATGCGGCGTCAGAATCAGAGATGGGTTCTGAAAAAGGGGGCGTGGCTTGAGATAAAACATAAACAAGCTAAAAAGCAAAAGAGTGTGTAAATGCAAAATTTGTAAACTGCTTTCTTCTTCTTCTATTTTTCGTGTTGTTTTGTTTTCTTGCAGCATGCCTGATGGTAAACAACTCAAGTTATCTTTTCTCTACAAATTGGAGTTGACTCGAAGCGGAAGAAGACGTTTTTCAGAGACTTTTTTTCAGAGAAACGAATAGGAAGTATAGAAAATTTGTGAATTGAGAGAGGAAGGATGTGGTGATTTAGGATTCCAGAAAAAAAAAAACTGAAAAAAAATGGCGAAAAATATACAAACTTGAGAACTGAAAATTTTTGGCTAAATTCAATAAAAATTCGAAAACAATATATTTTTTCTGGTACAAAACATGTGGAAGAGAAACGTCGGTGACCGTGGCCGAAGGTCCAACAACGACAACTACCGTAACCCAATTTTTTCCCGTATTTTTAACTGATTTTCGTGGACTATAATATTTAAATATATATAATGATTTTTAAAGCGAAGGTTCTTGAAACGCCGTTTTCAAGACAACTCAATTCTGAAAATAGAAGGAAAAATCTGGAAGTGTCTGATTGTGAAAAATAACCAGTTTTTCAGATTTTTCCATCTATACTAATTTCTGGATTTACGAAAAGGCTTCTTCTTATTATTCTTCTTCTTCAAAACGATGTTGTTATGTGTATCCGTTTTTTGAAGATTTTCACTTGACGAAAATAACAACAACAACCACAATACAGAACTAGACGGGCTTATATCTTTTTGCATATATATTCTTATATTGTGTTCCCAATTTATTGTACATCCTTCTACTTTTCGGTTCCTTTTTACAACCAGCTCTTTGACATACTCTCATTCACTTATCTATTCACGAATGTTACTGACAGATTTTGAATGGTTTTCAAGCTCGAAAATTTTTTATTTCGCCAGAGATAATGTTGAAAAATAATGATAAGACAACCTAGAAAAAGAAGACAACTAGAACTTTGAGCACAGATTCTTTACCAATAGAGACCAGAGAAGAAGTGGATTTTGACGTTGTAGATGAGGAGAATAGATGTCGTACTTGTTTTTTTCGACCGTTTTGATGATGTAGTCAGTTGTGGCACCAGTGGCAGCAAGAGCCGGTCGTACAGCCTTTGGTACCTGATCAATCTGACGTCGAGCATCAGCTAACAATCTTTTCGCCTCGTTTACTAAATCCTTTGTCATTCCCACACTTTCATCCAACTTCTTTTTCTTGTAAAGACTATCCGGAGTGGCACCGTTCAAAGACATGACATCAGCAGGTAGAAGCACGATTCCACGAGCCAGAAGAGGATGAGTTGCACGGATAATATTGGCGATTGCGTATGCGGCACCTAGACCTTTTGCTACGTCATATGTCATTGGAAAAACTTTGGTTTGTGTTGAACTACGAGCAAGAGCATCAATTTGGAGACACAGGAGGGACCCGATTGTTGATTTACCATAGTCGCATAACTGAAAATGTTTTGAAAGCATGAAAATATTTTAAAGTAAACTCACAGCATTAATATCGGAGAATTGACGATCACCGATGGTTGATTGACGAGTTTCAACTAGTTTTAGCAGCAAATCAGGATTGGCACTGGACGCGAAAGAGCAGAGAGCGATAGCGACAGGTTGACGAGGAACTGGAAGAGGCGAGATTCCATAGATTGAAGAAATTGCATCTTTCCAAAACTGTAGTCGATACATTGCTGATGTATCGCCTTTCCGTGTATCTACTTTATCTCGAATCGATGCCAACTCCACGTTCAATGCATTCAGCTAAACCATGCATAACGATAAATCTCGTGAGATTTCAGTCTAACAAACCGCAACTATCTCTGGTTGAGCTTTCTTGTTCATTGTCAGGATTGCTTGATAACTATCGACATCTTGCTTTTTAATCATGTCGAGACAAGTTCTGAACGCGTCGTTGGCTTGAGTTTGACTGATTTCGAGTACTCGACTGCTCTTCGGCATAGATTTAGGAACACTATAAAAACAAATTTATGAAACAAATGAAAGACACATAAAGCTATTACCGTGCACCCGGAATATTATTAAAGTCTGGCGAACGACTAGATGTTTTCTTCTTTTCATAGGATTTGTCATTGGCATTATTATCACGATTATCGGTAGCGAATGGAGATGATTTGATAGAAAAGTGGCGAGTAGTTACTATTCTTGGGAATCCGAGTCTTCCGAGGAGTGATTCACTTCGGAGACACGTCCGCTGTGCGTTCCTTGTGATGAGCATTGTCTCTGACGCTGTTGCTGCTTCAACGAGCGGATCACTGCGAATTCTGGTGACATCGCTTTGGCACGATTGTCGAAGGTGATGAATGATGGACAGTTGAGAGCTTCGTCGCATGTTCGGTCGTGATGCTGAACTTTTTCAGTTTGCAAACGTCAATTATCTTTAGTACAATTAAAAAAATGAACCAACTAACCTGATCTTTCTTTATGTACTGGAAGGGGTTCGCGATGAAAGACGTTCCGTAGATCAAAGCAACTAGAGAGATGCTCGTTTGGAAAACAACGTCGAATGGAAGGTTCACGAACGGTTGCTCAGTAAGACGCAGGTAGAAACGATGTTGAGCGGCCGAGTAGGCACAGTGGAGCAATGAGAGAACTGAGACGATTGTGATCAGACTGCAAGTACTTTTCTTTGGCACTCGGAGTCTTCATGATAAATGTTTTTTGCAGGAACGAACAGCTGTTGCGTTCCATAAACGTTTCATTGGCCACTTACCGATTAATAGTATTCGCCATAGCGAGAATCAGTGACCAATCGAGCTTTTGGAAACAAGATGATTGTTGTCTCCGGGCTCTGAATACGTTAAGCTTCAAAATGATGCAATTCAGTGAACATCAATAAGTATAAGGACTGGCTATTAACCAGAGACACCGTAAACAAAAATAATAAAAAGAAGAATATGTACATTTATCAGAAGATCCAGGTAACAAGCAAGAGTGGTATTTGAAGAACTAGAACTAAAAAGAACGATTAGTAAACAATAAAAGATGAAATGCCGGTGCGAAGAATGTGCAGAAGATTCAGGAACTCTAAATTTTGAGATTTTTCAAGAACAGTCGAAAAAAAGTGAATGTTGAGATAGTAAAATATGTCACGAAGTGATAAATTGCAAGTTTCAATGTTTATCGTTTTCCTCTTCACACTTGACATGCGTAACGAGATTTGAGGAGGACTTTATGATTTTTTCCTTTATCAATTTCATCTTCTCATTCGCGAGATGCTTCACACCAAACTTCTCCTCCAACTTTTCAAACATTCCTTTTGTTGTGTTATTGATAGATTTTTTGAATCCCATAAGAAGAACTTGTTCGTAGACAGAGCTCATCCGTCCACAGTCGATGGAGACTGTGACGCTGCGAAGTACGTCAGTCAGAAGTGCAGGATGGTGCTGATCCTATAAGATTAATGAAATCTTGATGTTTATATTCAAAGTTAACTGACCTCTGATGGCTTATAAACGCATCTCTCATGAAGTTCGAAGAGGGAAAGATGTGAAACGTTTCTCGTGTATGTGACAAGCTTCTTCGATACTCTATCATATACGCTTTCCTCAATAACTGGAACAACTCGAATGTCGGTCATCCGTGAAATCCATCTTGGCACTCGTTTGAGAATTGAACTACCTGAACTAATGAGATCATTATTTTCTAGAAGGAATTCCAGAGATAACTTACCCTGTTTGATAATCAATTTTTTTGTAACGATGGTGTTGTCAGTGATTTGACGCTCAAGAACATCTTCCGACAGAATATGCTTCGCATGGGAGTTTGGATATCTACATGTCTACAGAGTACACAAACTGTTCATGAGATTGGCCTACTAACCTGTCCCAAAAAGCACTGACCACCTCGTCGAATGAATATGGGAAGGAAGTACATGGAGAGTCCCAAAGTTTCATCTTGATTTTCGCTGAAAGTGTTCGAAATTCGATAAAAATCGAGTGGAAAACGAGGAGAAGTGGAGAGAAAAATGCAAATTGCTTGGGTCTGCAGGCAACATGAACTACGACAATAGTTCAAACACCGCATGTCTACCGTAGTCTTCAATTAAATTCGGCTTCCGAAATTTGTTGCGAAATTGAGCGGAAAATGGCAAATTTCGAAAAGAACCAAGCTTGGTTTGGCCAAGAAAAAAAAACTGATAAAAATGCAACATTAAAAGTACCGAACTGATTGTGACTGTTTTTATCGCAAAATCGAATTGTCAGTTGCCTTGTAAACATCTGATTTTCTATTTCATTTTTCCGATCGTTCCCTTTCACACAACAAGCACAAAACTTGTTTTTTTCCAGATGAAAATATTATGGATCACAATAATATTTCTGCACCAGCATGTATATTCGCAAGGTACCCATATTGTACTATAATAAAAATTTAAGAAAAAAGTTTTTCAGAAGATATAGAAGTTCCGACAGAAATATGGAGAGATCCCAACGATCCAACTTCTGATCACCGGCAATCATCCGGCAAAGGATTGGTTTCAGTTCCAGCCCCTGTACAAAAAGTAAAATGCTCGCTCAATACACTGCTAACCCCTTACATAGTTACAGCCTGACCAGAGTCTTCGTTTGATTCTTCGTCAACTCCTACAAGATATTCATGTCGATTACCAATTAGAAGGTCCCATTCAAAGAGAAGTCCAGTGAGTTTACAGAAAAACGAAATTTCCTTTCATATATTAGGATTACAGAATCAAAATATCCGGACACAGCATGTCAGTTCTCTCTAAATATCTGAATGACAATGAAGCCGACTTTCCTGAAGACAGAGAAGCTGTACGATCAGCTCTTTCAAATATTTTCACAGTTCAGCAAGCCGAGTCTGATCCCACTTGGCAAGATACACTCATGTTCTTGCAGCCATTCATATTTACCTTGAACCTTTTCATTCTTCCTGCAGCTGCAATCGTGGTACTTCGATCAATAGTCAGGCCTCGAAACTTTTGGATTCTAGTTTTTTCAACAATTCTTATGGTTTCTATGTACTCTGGCTACAGCAAAAAGTATCAAGAAGCTGAAGCAGCAAAGTTTGCACAGTTCCAAAAATCGTCACAGGATCCATGCGCACCAGAAGGAGTTTTGTCCAGAATGTTAGAAATTTTCACTTCGCCGTTTCAATACAGACAGAAATCGAATTGTCTGAAATACATTGAAGTGAGTATATCTTTATTTTCTTTTCAAAGTAGAGATTATTGCAGAGTCAAACAATATCGATCTTTCACGAGATATCCATCATCGAAGTGTTTTCCGAGACCGTCTCCAGTGGATTCTTTGCCTTCATCTCAGGTTCAGCAAAACATTTCAATCGGTTTTTCCGAGATCTCTATGATGGTGCTCCATTAATTGCTCAAATTGTGATGACAGCATTCCTCCTTATGATGGTCGGCACAATTCGAACACCATTTTTTAGTTATGAACCGGTTTGTAAGTATTCGTATGTCGAATTTTAAGTCATTTATTTTTATTTCAGTATTCACATTCTGCAGTTCCAGTATTGGGAAGATTGTTGGTTGGCTAGAAGGAGGAGAAACCGAACATAGACCTTCTATCCAGTTTCACGTGCCGGCAAAAGAGGTGAAAAGATTAGAGCAGGGAAAAAAGAAAACGTACGGCGTCAGTGTATCTCCTTCTGATTGAACATTCTGTAAATATTTCAGATCCGCAATGATAGAATTTCCAAAATCGGAGAAAGAAGACGCCTTGAGTGGAAAAGAATGTGGGAAAAAGAAAAAGAGAGAGAAAGAAGAGCGGACGAAGAAGGAAGACGATTCAGTGGCTGCGGATTCACCGGTCGACGACGATCTGATTTTAATAGAGGACTCGAGTGAAGACGAAGAAGAATCCAAGTCACATGATAAGCTGACCAATGCCTCTTCTCTATCAGAATTTAGCTTTTGATGACTCGCACCGTTCAGATAGGTCAACCCGATCAACATGTTATCAGTTGTTTGTACAATCAATATTTTCATTCATGATTTACTTTTTTCATTTTTAGACTAAGCTATAGCTGTCTACTTAAGACTAACATTTTCTTGCATTTCTTGTATATCTTGCCTACCATCTACCTCTTCGAATTTCTTTACTGGTTTTACTGTACTGTCAAAGCTTTCAATAAATCATCTCGGTTTCTGACTCGAGTTCAATAAACAATTGGAGATGTTTACCCATCTAGATATTGGACGCTTCTTCAGGTTCCAAATCATTCTGATGACGTTTTTTGAAGACGTTTTTCACTAAAAATTTAGTCATCGTTGTAATCTTTGCTGTTGAATTGTATTGAATTCGTTGAATACATAGACGCAGAGAGTGTAACACAGGAGGCAGAAAGATCATTCAAATCAGAAATTCTCTGTTTATATTTTCTCAGATCTATTTGTTTCTTCATTCATACAGAAAGTTACAGATGTCTACTACACGGTTTCTTGCCACTTCACTTGTGAATATTAATGCATCCTCACGTAAGTGAAGCTCCTTGAAGCTTTGAGCTTTTTTTCTTTAAAATAAAAAATTTAAAAAAAAAACTTTTTTTTCTCCTCTAAAAATGTTTTCTTTAAAAGTTTGAAAACAGCTTGAAGCTGTTACCTGGGAAAAATAATTATAGGTCAGAAGCAATTTTAGAAGATGCCTTTTAATAAGTTTATCTGAATGAAAGTTCACTTCCCTCCAATTACTGTTCTCTTCTCAAAAATCACTAACTTCTTTTCAGGTAGATCACTGTCTCTTATGGTGCGAAGGTCGCGAATCTCTCTCGCACCACAACGTGGTCTTATCACTATGATCGATAAGCAACAGTGCCGACAGATCACTGACTACTCGGCCAAAGACAGTCGCATAAATTCAAGGAAACTTCGAAAGCACGACGGATCAAACATGGATGGAGCCGCGATCACTGCTGCTGCCCTTAAATCACAGGTATGATTCAAAACCAATTTCTGGAATCGTTCTAGAAACATCATCGTATTGTTTTCAATTAACGAAATAGAATTTTTACACTAAAATTCAAAGGAAACATAATTTTTCTTATTCCACTCGTTCAGAACCTGAAATATGATAGTTCGCACACTCGTCATAAATCTGAATTTTCTGAATCGGAGCTGATTTTCTAGAAGTTATTTCAATTTTATCCCTTTGCCCTATGTTTTATGACCACGAGGCGTAAGGCAATAATTCTTCGTTATCAGTGATGAGTGGTGACATGAAACATTCAAGAGAATAAGAAGACAATATTGATTTGAAGAATTTTTTCAGGGCGTCGAATACATGTTTGGAGTTGTCGGATTCCCGGTAATCGAAGTTGGAATGGCTGCTCAGGCTCACGGAATCAAATACATCGGGTGTAGAAATGAGCAAGCGGTGGGAATCCAGAGTTGAATTACAGGGGAAGATAAATAGAATTGTTCCAGGCCGCATATGCTGCTCAAGCCATGGGATACCTTACTGGTAAACCTGTTGCTCTCCTTGTGGTCTCTGGTCCTGGAATCCTTCACGCTATCGGAGGTCTTGCCAACGCAACCGTTAACTGCTGGCCAGTCATCTGCATTGGAGGAACTGCTGACGTGGATCTCGAAAACCGTGGAGCATTCCAAGAATGGAGCCAACAAGAGTCTGTCAGAAACTCTTGCAAACATGTTAGTAGACCAACCAGTCTTCATACCATTCCTGCCCATATCGAGAAGGCTGTTCGCTGTGCAATGTATGGAAGACCAGGAGCAGTTTACGTAGATCTTCCTGGAAATCTTGTGTTGACAAGCACAGAAGAAGATATCAATTTCCCAGAAGCCGTCCCACTTCCACCACCAGTATCCATTCCTCCAATTGCTGAAATCGAAAAGGCCATCAATACATTGAAGAGTGCTAAGAAGCCATTGGTGATTGTCGGAAAAGGAGCTGCCTGGTCAGAGCGTGGAGCCACCCAAGTTCAACAATTTTTGACAAAATCCAAACTTCCATGGCTTGCAACTCCAGGAGGAAAAGGAGTTGCTTCTGATCTTCATCCAAGATTCATTGGACAAGCCAGATCATTGGCTCTCAGAGAAGCAGATACCGTCTTCCTTATCGGAGCTCGCCTGAATTGGATTCTTCACTTCGGACTTCCTCCAAGATTCCAGAAGGATGTCAAAGTTGTTCAAATTGATCTTTGCCCAGAAGAGTTCCACCAGAATGTGAAGACTGAGGTTCCACTTTTGGGAGATATTGGAGAAACATTAGCCGAATTGACACCAAGACTTGGAGAGTGGACATATGATGAGTCAACTGAATGGTTCAAGAAGCTCAGAGAGAATGCTGAGAAGAATAGAAATGCTGTTGAAAAATTGGTTGATGATCATTCAACTCCATTGAACTACTATGCTGCATACCAACCAGTAAGCGTTTATTAGAGACAAACAGGTCTCTAGAGATTCTTAATTGCAGATTCGTGAATTCCTTGCCAACAACGACGTAATCGTAGTCAACGAGGGAGCTAACACTATGGATATTGGCCGTACCATGATGCCATCTCGTCTTCCTAAACGTCGTCTCGATGCTGGAACCTTCGGAACAATGGGAGTTGGACAAGGATTCGCACTGGCCGCCGCTCTCTGGGCAAGAGACCATTCACCAAAAACCAAAGTTCTAGTAGTTCAAGGAGACAGTGCTTTTGGATTCTCAGCTATGGAACTCGAAACCATTGCCCGATACAATCTTCCAGTGGTCACTGTCATCATCAACAACTCTGGAATCTACCGTGGACTCCTTCCAGAAGACGACAAAGCCATCGAAGGAGATCGTACCCTTGCTCTTCCAGTACTTTCACTGACTGCAGAATGCCGTTATGAAGAGATGTGCAAGGCTTTCGGTGGTGCTGGAGCCGTTGTCAGAACAGTTCCAGAAATTAAGGCTGCCCTTGAGAAGGCTTTCCAAAAGACCGACGGACCAACTGTTATCAACGCCCTCATATCGACAGACTCAGAGAGGAAACCACAAGCCGATCATTGGTTGACCCGGTCCAAAATGTAAATAATTAACTGTAAAATATTTTTCTTTGCATTTTCGCAAATTGCCTGGCTGTCTACTATAATTATTTTATTAAAACCTGTAGTTTGATATTTATGTGATAAAAATATAATTTTTGTCCCTGAGTTTATTTATTTGTACAGACATAAAAATATTTAGAAAGAAAGAAGATGAATTACAATCTGAGGAATCGTCTTGATGGGAAAAATTCTCCGATGTTCTCCTCCTTTTCCGCACTTCCACTGCTGGATCCAAATGGTGAACGAGCGGAACTTTTGACTTCTTTGCTGGATCTCATATCTCTCTCAGACAATTCGTCAAGTTTCCATCTTCTGAAATCTTCCTGGCGAGAGTTGTCCTGAAAAAAAGAACGGATGAACACGTTGAGAAAATAATCGGAATCACCTTGAAAACCTTCATTTTTCTGCTGCTTCTACTCAAAAAATCAGTTGAAATGATTCTAGCTCTCGGTGCTTCTTCTGGTAGATCGAAGCTTCTGATAGGATCAATTTTCGTTCTCAGTTCTTGCATTCTGGCGATTCCTCCATTTTGAGCAGTAGAATATCCAATAAGAAGAAGAAACAGGAAAGTAGCGGGTAAAATGAAAAAGTTCATGATGAGAAAAAAAAACTTTTCAAATAAGAAGAAGACGTCGCTAAATCGTGTTGGTTATGTACTGACGGATGAAACGAGGCACAGTGTAAACCTCGAATACCGGGTTTTTTTATATTTCTCGCTGTAACAACAGAAGCAGCAGCTTGTTCAACCAAGATTAGAATCTTGAAGCTTTGCGAAGATAGACTTTACAGCATAACAAATGAACACATCAAAAAGGAAAAAAGAAGAACAATAGAATGAAAATATATAGATAATGTGTTCATAAAGTACACTGATGTGTTATTACTTTCAGGAAAAAAACTTCTAAAATATAATTAATTCGAACTTGAAGCTTGATGGGGTATATTCAAAATAAAGTGGAATTTCACTTTTTCAACTTTTCTTTCTCGAAAAAAATGTCCGGAAAAGTTTTAGAAAGATAAACAATTTTCCCACAATCATTAATTTAAAAGCCATTCATCACAAAGTACTGGTCTCTAATTTTGAGTCATAAGTTTATTCAAAAGTTTTTTTTCAGATTTTCTAATGTTCACAGTGTGTCAAACAATAAGACTTTTTTAAAACATTGAAACCGTTTACTAGCAAGACCATTTTCAAAGAGAGTTCAATGATGTTTATGGGTTGTACTCAATTGGCAAGTTCTTGCGGCGGACCATTCCGTCTCCTTGGAACCACTCACGACGGAATTGCTTGGCGGCACCGTCTGGGGTGTTGGTCCATTCAACGGTGATACGGTCATTGTTTGTGTCCTGAAAATAAGAAGGTTGACATTCATCTATGAAAGCAAGTGTACTTCCTGTCCGAAGGCGAAAGCATCGCAAGAGACGGCGAGGAGAACAGCCTTCTTTGGGTCGAGAACTCCACATGGTGGATCGACTCCAAGACGTTTCATGTTGGTGGTCTTGATACCGTATCCAATACGACGGGAGGACGAGTTGATCACCTTGATGTGGTAGGTGTGCTTGTCGTCGTATGGAGCATTGAAGACGATCTTGGCGTTTGGTTGGGTTTGGATGTCTCCTGGCGGGACGGATTGAGCCATATTTTTTGATTAGCTGTATCTTTTTTGATGTGGACCTGTATTGTTTACTTTCACCTTATCATGTTTCACATATTCCTGATTGAAATTGTTAATGAATGTAACCTCCTTTATAACCTCCTCTAACATCCTCTAACCTGTAACCTCCTTTATGGTCCTCCTCTCTGGAACACAGGCTACAAACAATTGATAAAAAACTGATATCTAAAATAATGTTAGGAAAAGTGGGTCTAAACCAGACTGACTTTTTCCAAGTGTCCACAAATAACCGAACAAGATCAAAAACAAGGTACAAATGGAAAATAGCTAAAACAAAAATTAGGCAACACTTTTTCGTCAATAGGGCGCTTAGTAAAATGATTTAGCTACTGCTGAGCAATTGCTCAATTTTCTGGCCCTACTCTCTGTCCTCTATTCTATGTATTATTCTATGTTCATTTATGCTTGACATGTATTATTCTCCTCTCCCTATTTCTTTTTAATGGTCACTCTAGTTCTAGTTCATTTTAGTATTTTACATTTCCTCTCACTAGAATTCATTATTTGTTCATTTGGAATCTGCTTATCATGTATTTTAATGTTTTTTTCCTTTTTTTCCACGATTCTTGCAATCGTAAATAAATAAATAAATAAATAAATGATAAAAAGTTCCGAAATTCTGAAACTCTGAATTTTCGAATACTGAACTTCTCGGAACCTCTGGGACTCCACCGCACTTCTAAACTTCGAGGTGTTCTTAAATTTAAAGCTTTTGAAATTTTGAAGTTTCCGAACCCAGAATTTTGGAATTTCCAAACTTCTAAATTAAAGAATTTCTCAATTTCCCAATATCTGTATTATTTTTCAAAATTCCAGAATTATTGAATTCATAAAAAGTTTATAAGTTCTCTGAACTTCTATGTTTTTTTTTAACTCTGAAACGTCGAATTTCCGATATTCCAGCTATTTTTTTATTTACTGAAACTTCCAATGTGAAGTTTGTCCGGAAAAGAAATACTACAGTTCGACTCCAAAACCAACTACATAGATGCAATACCTTGTATTCTAAAAAAAATTATAAAATTTCATATTCTAGAGTCTGAAATTCAAAAACTCATAAACTCAAAAACTCAGAGTTCTCAAATTTTCAACTTCTAAAATTCGGAAGTGGGAATTTTCAGAAATTTAAAGAGGTGCGATTTATAGCTCTCAAATTCAAAAAGCTGGAAATTCAACCGTCAAAAATTAGAATTTCAAAATTTTTAAAATTCAAAGTTTCCGAATTCCGGAGTTCCAGAAATTTAGAAATTCCAAAATTCGGATATCCGAAAACTCGAAAAATTGGAAATTCAATTACTTGAAAGTTGCATAATTGGAAAACTCGGATTATCAGAAATTAATAGATTCAGCGAATAAATCAGAATCTCAAAAATCTAGATATTGAGATATTCAAAATATGGAAATCCAAAAACTCAAAAATTCTCAAATTCTCAAATTTAGAAATTTGGAAATTGAGAAATTCCCAGTTCATAATTGGAAAAACCAAAAATTTAAAAAGGAAATTGGAAAAACCGAAATTTGAGAAATTATTGAAGTTCAGAAGTTCAGAAGAATCGCAGAGGTTCTCAGAAGTTTAATATTCAAAAACCGCTAAGATCAGATACATAGATACAGCTAATCAAAAATATGTTTCACCATAAAAAAATCAATTTTCAAATTTTTTTTTCTCGTAACATAATTTATACTCTTTCCGTGAGCCCTCAAACTTTTTTCTCTTATCAGCTGAGAGATCTAGAACAAAGATCGAAAGATCTGATAAGATATGAGAGTATATAAGCAGATCGTTTTGTACAGTATCCTCATCGAGTTCAACTCAATCCAAATCGCCATGGCCCAATCCGTCCCACCAGGAGATATCCAAACCCAACCCAACGCCAAGATCGTCTTCAATGCCCCTTACGACGACAAACACACCTACCACATCAAGGTGATCAACTCGTCCGCCCGTCGCATTGGATACGGTATCAAGACCACCAACATGAAACGTCTTGGAGTCGATCCACCATGTGGAGTTCTCGACCCAAAGGAGGCTGTTCTCCTCGCCGTCTCTTGCGATGCTTTCGCCTTCGGACAAGAGGTACACTTGCTGGATAGATGAATGTCATCCTTCTTATTTTCAGGACACCAACAATGACCGTATCACCGTTGAATGGACCAACACCCCAGACGGTGCCGCCAAGCAATTCCGTCGTGAGTGGTTCCAAGGAGACGGAATGGTTCGCCGCAAGAACTTGCCAATTGAGTACAACCCATAAACATCATTGAACTCTCTTTGAAAATGGTTTTGAAAAGTGAATGGTTCTTCTTGTACTTCCTTGTTATCTACACTCAAAAACTAAAAACTGTACTTCTGTAAAATGGTGGCCTTCGTATAAAATTTGGCCGCAGGCACGCAACTGTTACAATATAACTCTAGTTCCAATATTTGGAAAGTTTATTCCAATGCCTAAATTTTTGTTTACAAAATCGTATTCTGATTTCTCAAACTCTCGATCCCAACCCGCATATCCAGATAATTGCCCATCCAACAATTACAACCAACCGGATAATTGTTTTCAATCAGTTTTTTTCGCTTTCCATATGTCACTATTTCCAAAACCTTTTTTCTCACTTCTTTGACTTTTTAGTCTATCAATGAAACGACTTCCCGCTCAATCTGACCATGAAACACAACAAAAAAAACCTTGGCTTCTTTTTGTCCACTTATCATTTTGTTGACCTTGCCCAAAACAAGAAGGTGTAACTGAATCGAATTCTAGGTCTCTTTGGATTCCGTAGTCTTTTTGGTAGTTTTGATATCAAAACTATTTGAAAAGATGGAGAAAAAAAAGTTGTGGCAGTGGGAGGTGGTTAGACTGACGTCTTCTTTTTTCATTCATTCATTTCCACTTCCCATACCATACAGTGGTCAATAACCCTTTTGATAAAAGTATAATACGTTGGAACTGTGACTCATAAAGATATGAAATATAGTGTCATGAAACATCACTTCCGTTGGTTTTTCTTCCGTATATATACATAGTTAAAATTCGAATTTCACATCTTCTTCAGAATGCATCAACTAATTCTTGTTGCTCTTTTCGTTTCCACCGCTTCCTCTCTTCCATTCATCGGATCCGTTCAATCGGTTCGAGTCACTGGAAAAGTCACCTGCAATGGATCTCCAGCTGAGAACATCAAAGTGAAGTTGTATGAGAAAGAGATCCGTGAGTTGGAATTCTTTGACTCATTCAAAAAAGAATGAGTTTCAGTTCTCGACAAACTTCTCGATGAGCGATCCACTGATGTTAAGGGATCTTTCAGTCTTGCCGGAAACAAGAAGGAATTGACTGCTATTGACCCACATGTTAACATCTACCACAAGTGCAACTACAAGGGGGTGAGTTACAAGTTTTTGGGTTTGCAAGCTTCAATAATACAGGAACACTTTCGGGGACCTCCTTCTCAAAAAGGTCTCGTGCAGAATATTTTTTGATTATAAGAAAAGTAGGAAACTGACTGGATTACTGTAACCCCAGAGATGTTATTTTATGTTCTCTCGAAAATAGGCCACTTGTGACATCATTCGAAGCCACAATTAGATAAGATATAGATTTACCGGAAGCGGTTTGATATAAAATAGATATAAAAATCAACAGAAATGTTATTCTTCAATCTGCTACAGTACTTCAACAGAGGCATTAACAGGTCTGCTACAAGAAGCTGAAAATCAAGATTCCAAAGAGCTTCATCAGCGAAGGAGAAACCGCCGAGAGAACATTCGACATTGGAGAGCTCAACTTGGCTGGATCCTTCTCCGGAGAGTCCACCGATTGCCTCAACTAATTTTTTAAATCGATTTCTCGTTCTCATGTTCTTTTTTTTCCATTTCATCTCAAACTAAAAATCATTGAATCAATTTGTCCCTCTTTCCCAATAAACACAGTTCTCTCACCCATTCTTTTCTTCTTTTTTTTTCTATCACAGATTTTCTCGCTTTCGCTCATCATAACGAATTGGACAAGAGAGCGGACAGGACACGCGCACACATATGCGTTTGCTGTAAAATAGGGTCGTAAATTGGAAAGGTACTTTCAAATACTTTGTGTCCCTTTTCCATCCTCTACTTCTGTGTCTATTTTCGTATTCAGACAGACAGCCGGCCCACGGTTTGTTTTTCCTTTTTCCTCTTTCCAGTTTCTGCGTCTCTTTCCCATTTCCAATCACTCATTGATTTTCAACATTTTCCTTCAGTCCATCCTGACACCATCAACATCTGGCACCGGCTGTTCTCAATTTTCCTCGATTCACAATCCATTCTAGGAATTTCAATACTTCTAGAATGCAGAAGAAAAGCAGTATGCAGGTTAGTCCTAGTCCTCTTTCCCCCAACGAGACACTCACTCGCAGACTCCCTTTATAATCGCAGTCTCCTTCGGTTTACCGACTGCCTGCGTGGTCGAGTGGCGCGCATGTTTGCGTGTCGCTCAAAGCTGTGCGAGTTCAATTCTCGCGCGAGAAGGAATCGGTGATGTGATATCCAGTTCTGCTACTGAAGCGTTGTGAAGATTAACTTTCCCCGTCTGAGATCCCTTTTACATTTTTTTACAGAAACTCCTCGCACGGATTGCTCCGCAAGCAATTATCGTGTTCACTCTTACCGCCTTCATGATTATTGGAGCAGTAGTGTTTCGAAAGATTGACCCAGTTCTTGCTGAACAATCATTCTACGAAGTTATCTTCTTCGAGTTCATCACCATTTCCACGATTGGATACGGTAACCAGTATCCACAAACCACAAAATCGAGAATTTTCTCCATTTTCTTCTCTATTATCGGAATCCCACTTCTTGTTGTAACTCTTGGAAATTTCGGAAAATACTTAACCAAATTCTATTGGAAAGCAAAAGGATGTTTAAGCTCGGTAGCATCATTTTCATTGGTTTTGAAAATTATAGACTTCTAATTTCAGCAAAAGACAGACAGTGAGCTGGTCAACGATAAAGATATGCCTGGTTTCGTTATTGCATTACTGTACTTCTTGACATTTGCAATCGGATTTCTCTTTATCCCACATTCAGGAGAAGCCTATTCCATTGATGATTGTTATTTTAGGTGAGAATATTCTGATAATCTAGAAATCAATTTCATCATATTACAGCTTCATCAGTTTCGCTGCCGTCGGTTTTGGAGACAAAGTTCCAGAAATTGACACATTTGAGAGATTCAGTAAAGTTACAACGTATCTTTTGTGGGGAACAATTCTGAATATCATTCTGATCAGCTACATGAACAGTTGGTTCAATACGGTACTTATTCAGGCTACATCTCAAATGAATTCCAGAAAAAATTTCAGATCTTCGCTCGCCAGCCATATCGTGGACGTGATGTGGAAGTGTTGATTGGTGGTCAGTGTATTACTGTATCTGAAATCACTTCACTGGTTGCTCAACAATTTCATGCTTCCCCTCATCAAGTTCGTTCAATTCTTCACGATATTGACTACATTATGGATGAGATGCAAACTCATGATTCAGATGAGAACTTGGAGGGTCTTGTTCAGTGATTCTAGTTTTATAATTGTGCCTTTTTCACCCCACCCTGTGCATTTGTTCACTTGCAACCTTTTTTCGTTTTTCAAAAATTGTATTTCTGATTCACCAAAATTTCACTGGTTCCCCATTTTCTTTTTTTTCCCGAAATTGCAAATCCACGCCGACCCAAAGCACGTGCCAAAATGGGATTGCTCGGTGGAAATTTCCTGTTCTGGCATACACGTAAATCCCGGTCAAATACAAACGATTTATCATCATCTCACTTCTTCGTCGTTCGCATCAGAATTCAATTCCATATCCAGAGTTCAACTGATCATTTCTCATCCAACGATGACGAGTCAAGAAACACGAGGAACATGGTCTTCTCGAGAGCCATCTTCTCAACCAATGCGTAGGATTGAGATTCTGAAGTCTCTAGAAATTTTAGGTAAATTCAGAATCCGTTGGCTCAATGTACACTCGTCACTCGGCAATGTCCACTTCTAGACATCCTGGCACCCAACCGAAAACTTCGTATATGCCACCCAGAAGCACTCCACATCCATCGTCTTCTCTTCGCAAAAGACCTGATGGGGTAGTTGAAGACTTAGAATGGTCAGAATTTTTATTTTTCCAATTCAGGCTAAACGTTACGTCATCGAAGACTTCCGTCAAGCATTCGAACGAAAAGGTATGGAATTGGACACCACGATAAAATTGGGACGTGGCAAGTACAGTAAAGTGTACAAAGCAGTGGACAGGAACAATAACCGACTCGTCAGTGCAATGTTAAAAAAACATTTTCCAAAAAGTAATATGAATTCAGTTCGCCGTCAAGGCAATCGATGTTCTGGAGTTGACTTCTGATGTGAAGAATAAGTTTTTGCCTCGTGAGATCAGTTGCTGGCGTAAGCTCAAAAATCCGTATTTGGTCAGTCTTCATGCTCAATACGAGGCTCAGAATATGATTTTCTTGACTATGGAATACGGTAGTCAGGGAGACTTGGTACAGTAATCCGGAAATATTTTATTAGAAAATTCGAAAAAGTTTTCAGCTTCGCTATGTCCAGGATAATGGAGGGATTGATGAACGCAGGGCTGGTCAATTCATGTCTCAACTAATGCGTGGATTACAGTACATGCATTCTGTACGTCTTCTGAAATTTTGAACATTTAGAACTTCAACAATTTTAGAAACAAATTGCTCACCGTGATATTAAACTCGAGAACATCATTCTCTTCGACAACTGCGTCAAACTCTCCGATTTCGGATTCGTTCGTCAGGTCGACAATCAGACGTTGTCACTGACATTCTGTGGATCCAAATCCTACTCGGCACCTGAATTGCTTCGTGGCATTGGCTACAATCCATTCTTGTCGGATGTCTGGTCCCTTGGTGTTGTTGGATTCGTGATGGTCACCAACCGTATGCCGTTTGATGAGAAGAAACCGAACAACGTTATTGTCGAACTACAAAGAAATCGTCAATACGTGATACCAGACTCTGTTTATCTCTCTTCTTCGTGCATCTCTTCCTTTGAGGCTATGATGACGTTCGATGCGAAGCAACGTCCATCTTCGAATGATTGCCTCGGACTACCATGGATCACTCCACACATCGAGATGGCTAGTCGCCGGTCTGGGTGAGAACATCTTTTAGCCTCGGAGAATAACCTACAATTCATATTTTCAGATAACTCGAAAACAAAAAATTGGAGTGGAATACGGGAAGATGAAATTTAGCTGATTACGTATTATTCTCTGCTACACAACCATAAATGTTCCAATTCAGAATATGGCTTTTTTCTTTTCTTTTCTATTTTTCTATTCACCAGAGATGTCCGAAATGATTCTATTAAGGAACAGAATACGGAATAAATAATTTTCCGGAATACGGAATCCGAAAAAAAAATGCGGAATGCGAATTTTTCATGTCTCCGATGGACAGAAAAATTCCAAAAACAAAACCCGGAATCCGGAATGTAAATCTCGCAGAATCCGGAATAGGGAATCCAGACAAAAATATATTTCACTGATTCCGAAATAAAAAAAAGCACGGAATCCGGAATACGGACATCTCTGTTATTCACATTCTTGCTACAGTATCCCTGGAATAGCTTTTTTCAGATTTCCATGAGTCATCCTTTGTAGAGGAGAGGGTGGCTCTCCCATGATCATAAAAAGTTAGCCTAATCGAATTATCAGAAAAGCCATTTCTTATTTTTTTTCCTATCACAACCCCCATTTTTCTCTTCTCTTTCTCTTCGAAAATCATTCTTCTCGATGTTCCTATTTCTTTTGATTTTCGTTTCTGCTGTCTGCTCAGCAGACAATTCCATGGTAATTTTTGAATCTAACTTGCACCGGACTATTATTTCGATACAAAAATCGGGGCTGTGGAGAAACCTGTGGAGAAACGCCGTTGCCCGTCGCCGAAGGTCTTCAGCCACGGCAACCGGCGTTTCTCTTCCATAGTTCTGATTTTTTTTTGAAATCACGGTAATACTGTGTCCTATTTCAGTATGATTTAACATCATGTACCTATACGAACTGTCACTCGATGCTGACAACTGGCCAATGCCCTGACGAATTCTACTTGGTCAAATGGGAGAAATGTGGATTCCTGAAGAAGCATGAACTCTGTTGTCGCATGTCGAATAGTACTGTAGGTAATTAATGAACCTAAAAATTAGCATGCGAAATTTTTCAGACAGTCGACAAGTGTCGCTGGGGTCCGTGCCATGCATCCCTCGAAAGCAATTTCTGTTCGAAAACCGAATTTGTGAGCGAGGAAAAGAAGTGTTCGTTGCTCCAAAAGCAGGAGAGATGCTGCAAACAAGAAACAATTCATTGATAACTTGATTAAGAAATAGTGTTGCACTTTTAAAGATATTTATTTTTCATATACACAAATGCAGGTTCACCCACAAGAGGAGCACAGTTACCGAATTGAGACTCGTTGACTAGCCGGCTGAATATAAAGAATTTGAAAATTGACAGGAGATTCGTTTTTTTTACGTTGGAAGTAGGAAGAACGATTATGCTATCGGAAATGAAACAAAGAATAGGAACCCATGTTGAGAGAAAGGAAAGGGAAGACATAGAGGAAAGCGGCAAGGAAAAATGTGTGTGGTTGTCGCGGATGTAAAGTTTGAAGATTAGTTATGTGCATTATGCTTTGGCTCGCCATTCTTCGGGCACTGGACCAACATCCACATAAAGATGATAGTATAGAGGCCGTGTTGTGACCTGAAAATATAGTTATGGAGATGAAATTACTGGAAATTTATGGTGTACCTTTCTAATGGTCCATTTGTCGGTCTCGTTCAAACCGTCATATGCTACTCGATTTGCACTATTACCGAGGAGTTTATAACTGAAAAATAAGTTTTTTTTTCAAACTAATAAAGATCTGGAAACCATGGGAACAAAAACTCACATTAATTTGGGAGCTGTTCTTTTTCTTTTCACATGCTTCAGCATAGAATATCTGCCAGTTTCAGGATTGGGCCTTTCTATCGTATAATTCAGTGATAATATCCGTTGTCCCATGTCATCGTCTTCACCACCCCACGCCCAGAATTGATTTGAGTAGCCGTTGACTGCTCGATAATCAGCCATCGATACAGCTAGCACTCCTCCAACAATCTCCTTGTACCATAGCTGGTAACCAAGATTGCTGACAAAAGCACCAAGATGTCGTGGTCCTGGTGGGCACGAGTATGGATTCCGATCGTCTTGTGGAAACATGTCGACATCGTGAAACACGACACAATCCACTCCAAGGCTTTCAGCGAAAATAAATGCAGCATTCATGATGCGACCTTTGTTGAACAAGTCGTTACCGTACTGGAAACAGTTTATTGAGAGGGCGAAAAAAAACTGTACGCTTACTTGTTCCGTAACAATGAACCGAAAGTCCAACCGTTGCCTTTGTAGAATCGGAATCAAGAAGTCGATTAACCGAGTCAAATGGGTTTGACGATCTCGATATGGGATAATCACTGCTATTTTATCCCTTGCTTGGCAATCATTGGGTTTCCAAGAACCTCCAGGACCTAGTTCTGGATGAACTGCGTGGACTTCCCCTTCTTGTAGATTTTGAATCAAAAGTGTTGCTTGTGGAAGAGCTCCTTGAAGATCTGGTATTCTTTCAACTGCTGGGCAGGAACCATCTTCTTGTGCACTTCAGAAATTAAAAATTAGACATATTCGTGCTGGAAAACTTACATCTTCACATGTGGTTTCGGTTTTGTAACAGCATCTTCCATATTTAAAAATGTTAGAGTTTGGCGGGCGATTTCAAGTTCAACGGGATCTTTTATATCATGTTCCCTTTCTGCTACTCCGATATTTTTCGATTGTTGTACCACGTCCACAGAACGGACTTGTTCTTCAGTTGCTGCTATCCTGGACACTATTAAATGTTCAGTAACTTTGATAGAAATCAAAATTGAACCAACCTCCTTTCGTCGTTCAGGGTGGAATTCCTGAGCAGCATCACATAAATAAGTGTAGAGGCGACAACGAATAGGATAAGTCTTTTTGGAGAAAAACTCCGTATTATGCAGTGTGAGGTTCTCATTTTAAGTAGGTTTTGCCAGTAGATCAACGCATTTGCACTCTGAAATGTAAAAAAAATTAAAAAAAGAAAAATAGGTGTTCAGTCCAGAGGGACGGTGAAAGTTATAAGTGACAGAATAAAGGAAAAGAGGAAGAGTGCGTGGCTGAGAAACATATATATTCACAACAACAGCTGTGGTTTGTCCTGTTTCTTCTGGTATTTTTTGTTGTAAAAGAAGCACTGAGAATTGTTTGGAGATGAGAGACACTGTGTGAATCCTAGGAGATGCAGACATTTCACTTCGGCGCGGTGGCGCAAAACTTGTGCCCGTTGACACAGTTCGAGTCGGGCTTGACACATTTCGAGTTTTTTTTCGTTTTTTATTTTAATTTCCTCGAAGTCCATTTTGAAGCTCTTGAGCTCTTTTGTTTCCTGGTTTCAGAAAAATCTCCGTTCGTTTTCGCATATTTTAACTATACATGATCGTAATTTATAAATTTACAGTGTTAAACATGGATGTAGACCCGGTGAATTCTGAAATGGAGTTAGACAACAAGCCAACCTGTGAAACGGTCCCTGGTTTGCCACAAAAGAAACATTACAGGTGATATTTCGTTTCTTTCACGTAATGAATGCTGAACTACAAACGTTTTAGGCAGCGTGCTCACTCTAACCCACACTCGGATCATGACATCGAATATCCATTAACTCCAGATCAGTAAGTTGATTGTACATTCCGATTTAATCTGAATCGTAAAATTTCAGCATGGATTGGTCGAAGCAGTACGGTGATTACGCTGCCGGGCGTCAAGTCGAGTTCGCAGACATTGGTTGCGGATACGGTGGACTTCTGATGAGATTGTCTCCAATGTTTCCAGAAACTCTAATGATCGGAATGGAGATCCGAGTGAAAGTATCCGATTATGTCAACGAAAAAATTCAAGCACTTCGGAAACATCACGAAGGTGCCGGCCACTACAGAAACATCGCCGTTCTCCGGTCGAACGCCATGAAGTACATGCCAAATTACTTCCGCAAAGGACAGCTATCCAAAATGTTCTTCCTTTTCCCAGATCCTCATTTCAAAAATAAGAAACATAAATGGAGAATCATCACTCCAACGTTGGTGTCTGAATACGCTTATGTACTTCGAGAACAAGGTAAGATTAGTTTCGAAGAACACTCTCCTAAGATGACCTTGATTGTACCACTGATCATAAGTCACTAGTGCAGGTAGGGACAATTTTCGCTGATAAGAAACGTATCTCTACCTACCTAATTCTCCCTGTCACTGTCTTTATCATCCTCACCGCGTGGTTGCAGTGTGCGCCATTTCATTGGCGAATCATTTTCGCTAACTTTCGATGAATCATGATCTCTTTTTGATGCGTGAAAACCCACTACGTCTCCGAAAATATTCTGATTCTCACGTAGGCTCCTATCTTCATTTCTCCTAGACGATGGTCTCAAAAAGTAGTTGGCAATCCGTTCCATGTGGGTCAAAAAATAAAGAGCACGAGTGATCTATGCCAGGAAAATTGAAAAAAAAAAACCTGTTCTCTCCTTTCTACTTCTCCTGCTACATACTCTGAGTTCTCGCACAAACGTCCAGGCGGCGAAATTGCTGATATTTGTTTGGCCAAAGATCTCTTACTTCGGTTCCACAAGTTCTATTGCAATGGTTTTCAGGGCTCATTTATACAATTACCGATGTCAAAGATTTGCATGATTGGATGGTCAAACATCTCAATGAGCACCCGCTGTTCGAGCGTCTGAGTGATGATGAAATGAAAGCAGATCCAGTTGTAGCGATGCTGTATGAGAGCACTGAAGAAGGACAAAAAGTGACTCGAAATGATGGAGAAAAGTGGCCAGCCGTCTTTAGGCGACTTCCTAACCCTCCTTTGTAATCCTTTACTGCTAAGCGTATACTTTTTCTACTTCCAACATTCATCAATTTTTCATGAAGATTCTCCCCTCTCCCGAGTTTGTTATTTAAACATTTTTGTTGATTTTTCCCTTGTTCTGTTCAATGAATTCAATTTCAAGTTTCGTAATTTTTCTTTGTTGAATTCGAGTTGATGAACTCATATCTTATTGAAGTTACTTTCCTAAATACTTTAAATAGTTTTAAAACTGAGTTTTAGATTGATTTCAGCTCTGGGCAAAAATGGGTGGTGGTGGAGAAGATGAATACGAATCACTTCCAACGCACAGTATTCCGGTAAGTAGCGAACCGATTCGTTTAATTTGAAAATTTGGTTAATCACAAAGTCAGCTTCAGGTTCATCTGGCTGCTGGAGCACTTGCTGGTGCTGTCGAACATTGTGTGATGTTTCCTTTCGATTCAGTTAAAACTAGAATGCAGTCGCTATGTCCGTGTCTGAAACGAAATGCCCAACTCCAGTTCACTCTCTGATGAGTATCGTAAAACGAGAAGGATGGCTCCGGCCTCTTCGTGGAGTTAACGCAGTCGCGGCTGGATCCATGCCAGCACATGCTCTCTATTTCACAGTTTACGAAAAGATGAAATCATTTTTAACTGGAAACACAGCTGGACACGAACACACATTGGCGTATGGAGCTTCTGGAGTTGTTGCAACACTTATCCACGACGCAGTCATGAATCCAGCTGAAGTGGTGAAACAGAGAATGCAGATGGCTTACTCGCCGTATGGATCTTCCCTAGAATGCGCACGATGTGTTTACAACCGTGAAGGATTCGCTGCTTTCTACAGAAGCTACACAACACAGCTGGCAATGAACGTCCCCTTCCAAGCAATTCACTTCATGGGATACGAATTTTGGCAGCAGGTGCTCAACCCTGAGCATAAATATGATCCGAAGTCACATTTAATCGCTGGAGGGCTTGCTGGAGGTTTAGCAGCTGCGGTGACGACGCCGATGGATTGTGTGAAAACTGTTCTGAATACACAACAAGCAGCAGAGGCAGATCCGTCGAATAGGCGGATTTTCTTAAAAGTGAGTTTTTAGCTACAGTCTTATTACTATAATCAGAAAGGATGAGTTGCAGGCAAGGTACCGCTATCGTGGAATCTCGGATGCAGTACGGACAATTTATTCACAGAGGGGAATGGCTGGATTCTCATGTGGATTGCAAGCTAGGGTTATATTCCAGGTAATTGTTCACAGCGGAAACAAGTAATCATATTTGTTGTTATTCAGGTTCCGGCTACTGCTCTCTCCTGGTCCGTTTACGAGCTTTTCAAATTTATGCTATCTTTCGAAGGAGGTCATTCGAGCTGATTGTCATCACTTCAAAAATGAACTTTCATATCCTCAACTTTCTTTTTCTTTTCCAAAGTTTCTCTCACATATAGGTTAGGTCTCGTAAATTGTAGTGATTAGTTTTTTGATTGTTTTTTTCTGGTTCTTGTCTTTTCGATGTTTTCTCTGTTCTCTGTTAAACAACGCGTGTGAACCCAGTGCAGATGCCTTTTTCATATTACTGCTCCGTTCGTTGTCAAAATCGGATAGTTTTATCGTATCCTTTCTTTTTTTTTGTTTTCCAACCTTAACCTATGCGAGAATTTCTAGGTGGAAAGAGTGTTCATAATAAAAGTTTGAAAAATTTGACTTGTATTTTCTGTGCTCCGTTTCTCACGGGCTTTGTATTTTGTGTCAATTTTTTTCTTATCTCCCTCTATTCTCTTCGTCTCCAACTCATCTATTGACACTGATTTCCATGCGGCCATGTCCCTTTTTGTATATTTATTCTCTTTTTCATTCTTTTTTCTTTTTATTCTTCCACGTATTATTCACGTAATAGATACAAATACAAAATACAAATGCGGTCGCCCTGACTTAGGCGTCACTTTTCACTTCCAACGGTCAGCAATCACAACATTTTAGTTGCCCTGGTTTTCACGGTTATCGAGTGGCTGCCCATTGTAATCGATAGTATTAAATGTTCATTTTCTACTCGCAACAACGCCTTAATTTACAAAATGACCATCTCTGGTTTCTGTATTCTTTCGCTCATTCAAGATCATTGTTGCTTGTCCACACCAGAACACTGTTCTGTTGGAGATCTGGGTACTTAATTTGACAATTTTACCAACGAAACTTAAATTAATTTTCTTCACTTGCCTTTTTCCCTATTCTCTACACTCCAACCAAAACATTTTCCAGGGAAAATGTCGTGCCCAACCCAAATCTCTGGACGTTGCGTCGCGTCAACTGTCGCTGTTCTTGCTGGAGGAGCTCTTATCGGATACATTGTAAATTTTCCTCTACACGGTCTCCCCAGCTCCCAAAACGAACTGCAAGCCTTTTTCTCAGCGGAGTGCGGCTGCGCGCGGCGAAAATTTTTTTTTGAAAAATTTTGCGCTGAAAAGCCGGTTTTCAGCAAAATTTTCTCATTTTTCGACAATTTTTCGTCCATAGAAATTGTGAAACAGGCTAAAACACACATTTTGAGAACAAAAGCAGCTAGTTCCGACAAAAAATGAAAGAGATCGAGGCGCTATATGAGTTGAGGGGTGCCACTCAATTTTTCAATTTTTACGCGATTTTTTCACTTTTTGCGTGACATTTTTTATTTTTTAAAAGTGTTGAGTGGCCGGATTTCTTTTTTACAAATTTCCAGAAAAATAATATTTTCGTGAAAATTTTATATTTTACGTGAATTATATTTTACGTGAACAATTTCTATGGACAAAAAATTGTCAAAAAATGAGGAAATTTCGCTAAAAACCGGCTTTTCAGTGCAAAATTTTTCAAAAAAAAATTTTCGCCGCGCTCCGCTGAGAAAAAGGCTTGCAGTTCATTTTGGGAGCTGGGGAGACCGTGCTCTATGGTTTCCATTTGGGCGGGTGGAAAAAAGAGCCACCCGCCACTCGCCGGGGGGCTACCACCCACGGCCCCCCGCGACCCCCCGCGATTATTTACGTGTGAATTTTTATCTAATTTTTAATGGCCCCCCGGGCGGGTGCGGTCGGGTGAATTGCCCCTCGAATGGAAACCCTATTTTCTTCTTGGATTTGAACCTTTAAAAACACGTTTTCTAGGTTGGATACAAGTTGGGACAACGTAGTGCTCGTTGCAACTACAAAATTCAACTCGATTCGAACAAGGTCGCTGACACTGTTGATATTGAGGACATCGGAGAGAAGAAGGCGTTCTGCAGATGCTGGAAGAGCGAGAAGTGGCCATACTGCGATGGATCTCATGGAAAGCACAACAAAGAGACTGGAGACAACGTCGGACCACTCATCGTCAAGTCCGAGAAGAAGTAAATTTCTGAAGAACATCTTCAGTTATCTATATTGAACTATCTTGTTGTGATCGTCAACTGCGTTTGTTTAAAATGATTTAATACGGATGCTGTAGAATAAATTATGATTTGAAGTAAAAAGTACAATTAAACAGGCTGAAAAATGCAAAGACAAAGTACAAAAGCTGAGCACATTAGTGATCGAATACTGAATCATAATCTACAATAAGCTTGTAGCAGAAGTTGTTAAGATTATTGAGTTGGGATATTGGAACTTCTTGATCAGTAGGCCATGTTAAATTTGGTCCGAAAACCACACTTAGGTTGTTGGCAGTCATTAGATTCACTTTGCTGTTTCCAGCAACCTTAGTGAGAAACTTGATGACCGTTTTCAAAAGGATGTAGTTATCCCGTGGTAGAAGCTTCACGAATTCTTTGACAGCTGCGCTCTTTTCAGCTTTCGAAATTTCTGAAATTTGATTTTTATTTGTTTCCTTGAAGTTAAAGTTATACCTGATAAGGCAGCCAGTTTCGGATAAAGTCTATTGGTAGTAAGAGGCTCTCCTAGACTTCGGAAGAAAGTTTTCAGCAAAACTGATGCATGAAGGGAAGCCACGTGCACATTGTCTTTGTATTCTGGATCGTTTTCAAAGTCAATTTTCTCTCCTAAAAAATGAAATTTATGTAGGTCATTTGACAGAACTTGCTATACCTTTGTTGATTCTATCTTGTAACCGTTTGATGCTTCCAATATTGGCACTTTTCCGGAACACTCCTTCCATTGTGAGAGCGTGTGTTTCCAAGAATTCAATGAGTTGGTCAACAATTGGAGGGATGCTTCCACCACAGTGCGAGAGAATGCTGAAAAACATTTGGGTGACGAAGTGCTAAAATTGTTTAAAATTCGCGTTTCATTTTTTTCTCTATTGGCAAGAGTGTGGCTTTGAAATCTTTCAGAGTTATTTCCGATAAATTTCCACAATTAATCAATTTTAAAAATTGAGGCAAAATGAACGGTGTCAAGAATATGCAGGGTAGGGTACAAAAATGGTCTGAAATCTCCAAAAAAATTTTTTCAGACAACTTTCGCAATCCCAACGATTTAGTTAGCCAGATCGAGCAGCTCACTAAAAAGACGGCAGTGATACCAAGTTTGGAGCATCAACTGCATGCTTTGAAGCATCGAGAGAAAGTTTTCCGTCGGCAATCAGCTATTTTTCAATCTGCTTCTAGTCTCGATGTATCGAACGCGAAAACAGACCACGAAACGGTTTCAAAACTAACTGTTGAATTGGAAAGAGTCAGATCTGAATTGGAACGAACAACTGAAATGAATATGGCCCAAAAAGAAGAGATCAAAAGACAAAACAAGAAGATTCTGGAATTGAGTACTAAACCACAGAAACTGGTAGCTATTTTCCAAGAAGAAATGCAGAAAAAGGATGAGTTGATTCGAAAACTCAATGATGAAGTCGTTGATCTTCGTGGCCAAATCCGAGTGGTTATTCGTGTCCGTGACTTCAAAAAGGATCCATCTTTCAACTTCCAAATAACTAGCCAGAATGAAGTCAAGTTTCAGCAGGTTTGAGAATCCAACTGTCATTTTTGAATCATTTGTGGAATTTTCAGAACAATTTCTCAAATGTTTTCGCATTTGAAAATGTCTTCCAACCTGGTGCAAATCAACCAGAAGTGTTCGATGATATCAAAGAACTCATTCTGTGTGCTCTTCATGGAAAGAATGTGAGCTTGATCGCTTATGGTCCAACGTCAAGTGGAAAGACCTACACCATGAGAGGAGAGTCAGGTGATGAGAAAAAAGGAGTCATTCCACGTGCCATACAGTTCCTGCTGGAACAGTCTATGAAAGAACTGGCTGTAATTGGTTGGACTTACAACTTCGATGCGAGTTTCATTGAAGTATACAACGAGGAAGTTTTCGATTTATTGGATGATAAGAAGAAGTTGGAGGTGATTAAAGATTTCTGATAATTTGAGCCCTATTCTATTTTCCTATTTTCCAGATGAAACAGACTACTACAGTTGGCTCGAAGAAAATTCCAATCAATGATATGGCAGATGTGACCGACCTTCTTGAATTAGCCGACTCTCAAAGATCCGTAGCTACTACAGCTTGCAACCAACACTCTTCTCGCTCTCATGCCATTTTCCAAATTAATATTGACGGAGTTCACAAATCTGGAGAAACCGTCAAGTGTTGCCTGAACTTAGTGGATCTAGCTGGTTCGGAGCGAGCAAAAGAGTCTGGAGCACAAGGAAAACAGTTCACCGAACTAACAAAGATCAATCAGAGCTTGAGCACTTTGAAAAAATGTATTCGTGCTCAGAAGACAAAAATGCCACATGTCCCCTGGCGCGAGAGCAAGCTGACCATTTTGCTTCGTGATTATTTGGGTGCTGGATCTTCGAAGACTATGTTCATAGCTCATGTCAACCCAAGTGACGCCTCGGAAACAAAAAGAACCTTGGAATTCACAGCCGATGTAATTTCATGTTTTTTTCTTTAATTTCAGCTTTCTTTAATTTCCAGCTCCGTTCCACCAACATAGGAAAAGCCACCGTTCAAACTGGACAATGACAGAACTAGATTCGCATACAACTTTTTTTTCGGTCGAATAAAATTTTGAATTTTTTCAATGTTTAATGAATGACTCACAATTCTAGGGGAACTCCAAACTGTTGTGTTGGTAGGGGTTGTGAGGGTGGAGTCTCTGGACGGCTGACCTGATTTGAGAATGTTTTATCATGATCACGAATCGGACTTGGAAGGTTTAATCTGAAAAAAAACTTACTATAATTCTTGAAAACAAACTGAAAGTTACCTTGAAACAGAAAGCGCGTTTTCCAGTTCGTCGATACACATTACATAGTGGAATTTGTTCTCAAATTTGCTCGATATGAAACCTTTGAACAGCGAAAAGATAATGCGGATGAATCGTGTCGGATGCACTACATACAACGCCTTCAGGTTCTTTTTGAATCTGCAAAACCAACCGGTTCGCGAGTTTTTTATTATTTCTCCGTTTCGTTTAGTTTGTGAAAGAAGTTCGAATTTTACCTTCGATCCAGTTGTTTGTAAGCCTGGAACAACCACCGAACGGGCGGTTTGTTGTGACTCCGGAGACCATAGTGGAAATATACAATCGTGTAGTCTTGGTCCACAATCTGAAGACAATAACTATCGTAAAATCCGTATTTGAAGATCCCTCCTACTTTTAACTTTGACCCAATATATTTTTTCGGTTCCTTATTTGCAATTTATTTTGGATATTCAAATATAAAATTACATACCTTGTCTATAATTTGTGTCAAGTATTGGAGAAGACGACTATGGTCGATTTCTTTATTTGAAGGAAGACGATAGGCATAGACGACAACAATGGGCCTTCCAACTCGATCGCCGTCGGCAATTACTTGGATTATTTCATGTGCGGATATATCATTGAAAATGTCTTCGAATGGTTCATCCAGGCCGCCCAATTCGGTTTCAAACTCTTCCGTCTCCAAAAAAGATCGAGATGGTGTCATTCCAGTGACATTGACTGAAAAATAAACAATTTGAAAATCATATCAGTGTGATAATGCATTAACCACTTAGATCATCGGGAGTTAACAAATCATCATCAGCATATCCGTCGACTGGATCTTCGAACTCTCCTAGATTGGGATGGGGTTCTGGAGGATGTGTTGAATCCATATGGAAAAACTGAAAATAATGAAAAATAAGAAGATTTGAGTGGTCCGTGTGAAACTAAACGAAACGAAGAAGAAGCTATTCAAGTATCGTGGGAATACAAGGAGAGAATACAACGTCGATAGCAAACACTATAGCGTCATCAGTTCGGTGATAACAAAAATGGTAAGCATAATAATAATAATGGAGAATCAATGTTTGGAAACATGTGTCAGATGTATTGCATACTGAGGTGGGAAGTTGTGAGAGAAGAAGGAAATCAAGAGACGCAGACATACTTGACCGGAAGAGAGTACAGTTATGACGGAGGCGTGGATGATTGAGGAAGAGGGAAGAATTGAACAGTTCTGTATGTACCAAACGGCTTTTGTGTTGAAAGTGTAGGGAATGAGGGGAGAAGAAATTGCTAGGAAACATCTCTCCCTGTGTGGCCGCCGACTGACTGGGCAGCGCCGGTTTTTTATGAGATTCGTATCGAGGAGAGTGGAGGTTTTTGGATAGAGAAGAAGCGAAGAGAGGGAAGATAATTGATTGCCATCTGTATTTCTATTAGCGGAATGGGATAACGCTAGCTTTCTCTCAGAATCAACCTTGTCTAGGTGCAAGCAGATTTTTTAAACCTTAAAATGTCAGATGTTAGAGAGCGAGAACGACAGAAATTGATACGGGGTCACGACACAGCGCAAATATGGCGTCCGGCTCGGCGCGGGCGCAACGTCAAAAAATTCAATCGGAATGAGAGGACGAGAAAAAGGAATTTTATGTTTGTTCAGCATCCACATGACCAGTGGCCGAAATGGATTACCAGTTTTCAATTAAAAACTCGAAAAATAAAACAGGTAGTGTGTTGCTCGTAAATCCACATGGCCTAGGAAACTCGAGGAGCTTTAGGCCGGGGTAGATTTACGAGAATTTTTTGTCTTTTTTCAGGCAGAAAAATATATTTTAAGATGAATACGGGAACTAAATTAATAAAAGCTCATGTTGGAGCTTTCGAAACTTTCAGAACATATCATTCACATCTAGAAGTAAGTTTTTGTTAAAAAAACCATAAATTTGAACAATTTTTGCAGCTTCGAAAAAGTTTCTTCGATTTTTTCCAGTCGAAAAAACACGAAATCGTAAAATCTGCGTCTGTAATTCCTCTTGAGAATGATGGGTCTCTCCTTTTCACAAATGCTGGAATGAATCAAGTGAGATTTTGAAAAAAACATACACACCAGCCTTAATACGTTTTCAGTTCAAATCTCTGATTCTCTCTTCCACCGAACCAAGGAGGGTAGCCAACATTCAAAAATGTATTAGAGCTGGAGGAAAACATAACGACTTGGATGACGTTGGCAAAGATTTACATCATCAGACTTTTTTCGAGATGATGGGAAATTGGTCTTTCAACGACGCGTTCTCAAAAGTGACTGGAAATTTCAGAACTTCCCCGAATTTCTCTCATTTCAGGAAGAAGCGTGCAAATTTGCCTGGGATTACCTAGTCGAAGTACTTGGAATCGACTCTGAAAGACTGTATGTTTCCTATTTTGGAGGAATTGAAAAACTTGGATTACCAGAAGATCGGGAATGTAAAGAAATTTGGAAGAACATCGGAGTTCCTTCTCATCGAATACTTCCATTTGTTGCTGAAAACTTCTGGGAGATGGGAGCAGCTGGACCTTGTGGACCGTGTACTGAAATTCACTATGATAGAATTGGCGGAAGAGATGCTTCTAGTCTTGTGAACATAGATGATTCCGTAGTAGAAATTTGGAATATCGTTTTTATGAGCAACGTTCGTGACTCTTCTGGAAAAATTTATAATTTGGGAAGAAACCACATCGATACAGGGATGGGTTTCGAACGTCTTCTCTCCGTTGTTCAGAACAAAAACTCAAACTTTGATACCGACGTTTTCATTCCAATTCTTGCTAAAATATCATCTCTAACTAAGAAGAATCTGAAATACAATGGAAGCGTATCCTCTCAAGAAGATGCAGTTTTTCGTCTTGTGGCTGATCATGTTCGTGCTTCTACAATTGCTATCAGCGATGGAGCAATTCCGGATGGGACTGGAAATGGGTTCATTGTCCGAAAAATGATGAGACGATCTTTTCTCCAAGGAAATTCAAAACTGGGAATTGACCGATTCGGATTGAGTGACCTTGTTCCAACCGTAATCTCTACTTTGGTAGGTGTAGTTCGACACTAAATTCGAACCATCTTAAATAATTTTTTTTCCAGAAAAATGTCTATTCAGAAGTGGAAAAATCTTCTGACAAGATAATCAATATTTTCAAAGAAGAGGAAACCCAGTTCTGGAAGACTGTTGATAAAGCAAAAAAGATGTTCGATGTCGGTGCCAACGAAAATAAGTCATCTACGATATCAGGAAGAAAAGCTTTCAACTTGTTCGAAACCTATGGGTTGCCACTATCGGTCACAATAGAAATGGCTAGAAATCTTGGGAAGGAAGTAGATGAGAAAGAATTTGAAAGATGTCAACTAGAAGCACAAAAGCTATCTCAAAAAGCTTCTCAATTTAAGTTACCAGTTTTTGCAAAGGATTTCCCAACTCATTCTGACAAGGAAAAGTATTCATATTCTTTTGAAAACGGGAGATATGGTTAGCTCTGTTGGGAGTGATTTGTCCCACTGAAAATATTTTTTCAGCTTTTTCCAAGGTTCCAACAACAATTCTGCAAGTGTACCAGAATCAGGAAAAGGTTGTGGTTTTGAAAGAAAATGAAAAAGGGTTTGTTGTTCTGGAACGCTGTCAGTTTTATGCTGAGCAAGGAGGTCAGAAAAGTGATATTGGAAAACTTTTGGCTGATGGTGTAAGCAAAAAATGAGTTTTTTTTTCAACGAAAGTAGTCATATTCCAGAGAAATGTGTTCGAGGTAGAGAGCGCTAAGAAGTTAGACAACGGATCAGTTACAGTACTTTTCGGACGAGCTCTCGAGCCTATTCAGAAAGATTTACGAGTTGAGCAGCAGCTGGACGAAAAGAGAAGAGAAGGAGTGATGAAGGCTCACTCGGCGACCCATTTGCTCAATTGGGCATTGCAAAGAAGTGGACTCGGAAACGGCCAAAAAGGCTCATCTGTCGGTGAGCCGTAACTTTCAAAAGCTTTAGAAGATGAAGATGTTTTATGTCAGATTGCAACCGACTACGATTTGACTACTCAACTGGGGACGACTCTCTGGATAAATCTCAACGAACAGAAGCTCTGAAACATTTAGAACACATATTGAACGAGTTCATTATGAAAGGAGGACTAACTTCTGTTATTGAAACAACTTTAGAAGAGGCTAAGAAAATTAAAAATCTTCAATCAGATGTAAAAGAAGATCGAATTGGAGATTCCTCCGTGCGAGTTGTAACTCTAGGATCTGGTGTGAATGTTTCTGTAGAATGTTGTTCTGGAACGTATGTAAACTGAAATTTGAATTATATACAGTTTTGCTTTCCAGACATGTTCATGATGTGAGCATTATTGAAGATGTAGCAATCATGTCAGATAAATCGATGGGCCAAAATCTTCGACGTATTGTTGCAGTGACTGGCGAAGAAGCAAAAAAGTGCAGGGAGTATGCAGAGAAGGTTTTCGAAGAATTAAGCTCAACGGAGTTCAAGGAACGGAATAAGATTTTAAAGGTTTTGAAAAGGAACTTGTTCTCTGAAACATTCTTGTATTCCAGAAGATTGATTGGAAGCTTATTCCTCTTGCCCATCAGGCTCGGATATCGACTTTAGGGAAACAAAGGAAACAATAAAAATATAATTTTCTAGTTTAGTTGTAGTTTTTTTGCTTGTTAATAATTTTTGTTGATAGTTATAAATTCGTTTTTTGTTCAACCCATCTCTTTCTCTCTTCCAGAATCAGAAAGCAGAAATCATGAGGGGCATAACATACGAAATATTCGTAGTCTTCTCACAAACATTTCAGTTTTAGCACTGTCAGACCAGTAAACTGCTCAATAAAATATGGGGAAAGACGGGCGGCAAGACGCAGAATGTTCAAAGAGAGTTCCACCTTCCTTATAACACCAATTACGCATTCTTATCAGTTCCCCAATACATTTTTTCTCTTTTCTGGCTTCGTTTTTAATACCGGGGCATAATTTTTATGCGTCTATGTTTGACCATGATAATCTTCAATTCACCTCTCTGAAACTATAAAAATGCGAAGAGGAACGATCCGAAACATGACATTGTTTCAGAGTATGAACTTGGTGAAAACCTGTTTCCTTTTTCTTCTTCCTCTGTCACTGAATTCTGTATTCTGTGTTACGGATTTAACCACAGATCAACCTGATAGTTATGCGGAGATTCCAACCAGTTTAGGATATCTGCGAGGTGTAAAAGTTCCAACGAAACAAGGATTCTATGTTGATTACTTCAAAGGAGTTCCGTTTGCAGAGAAACCAGAGAGATTGAGAGTAAGTGACCGACTATAATGGAATGTTATTCTGGTACAAAAATCGAGATTGTTAATAAGAAAAGCCGGTGGCCGGAAGTCCCACAACGACAACTACCGCAAACTAAAAATTCCGTGAAACCTTTAATAGAAGGCACTGTTAAGTTTGAGATCAATTATCTCGGCTTCTATAAGAGATATTAAAAATCTACCAACTGATAAAATGTTTGGGATATCATGATAAACAATTTATCCGTTGACAACTTCTTCACATCTTCCACAGGAACCGAGAAAAAAATGTTTCAAGCTTTAAAGTTAGGGGCCCTTCTATTACAGGTTTTACGGTATATGTTCGTTTCCAGTATTTATTTTCTTTTTTTTCAGTCAATTTTTTATTTATTTTCAGACTATTTGGGTAAAATTATTTTGAAGTTACGGTAGCTGTCGCTCTTCCACAACTCCGATTTTTTGTACAAGCATAATTTGTAAAACTGGAAACTTTGTTTCAGAAATCCGAACTAGTTCACCGGTGGCCAGGAATCTATAAAGCTCTCAAGTATCCACCCAAATGCATTCCGGCACACCGTCCAGCCAATGAATCAGAATTTAGTGAAGATTGTCTTTATTTGAATATTCTAAAACCAAGTGGGCTAAATGTAATTTTACAGAAATTCAACAGAAAAAATAAGGAAAATAAATTACAGACAGTAGAAAAGTATCCGGTAGTTGTTTTCATTCATGGAGGTGGTTTTCAAGAAGGTATGGGATATTGGAAGATTCTGGAACAAAAACGAGAATATTCAGGTGATGGGAATGACGCTAGTTGTGAAGCGTTTGCTGAAAACTTCGTTAGCAAAGGAATGATAGTTATTACTATTCAATATCGACTGGCAATGCTTGGATTTCTTTCTCTCGGATGCACCGATCCTCTGATTCCTTGTAATCTAGGTCTTTGGGATATGGTCACCGCGTTTGAGTATATCAATAAAACAATCGAAGATTTCAATGGAGACGTTAATAGAATGACTTTGATGGGTCATAGTGCTGGTGCAATGGCTGTCAGTCTTCATTCCCTATCTCCCATTTCCTCAGTCTATTTCCAAAATTATATCCAATTGAGTGCTTCCAGTTGGCTCTTGACCAAGTACAAAACTTCCAATGTTGAAAATACCCAGAGGATTCTGCACGATTTGAATTGCAATATTTCGAGTGCCAAGACTATCTTCGAATGCGTCAATTCCTCGTCACTAGATTCCATGTATTCCGCACAGGTGACTGTAGTGCTTGAACAGAAAATCCACAAAATTTTGTTTTTTTAGGTTGATACAAATCTGTGGCCTCAGTTTGGAGATGACCTACTTCCTGATATTCCAGACAATCTGGTCAGAACCACCCAGAACCAGAAAGTGATGCTGGGAATGATGACGTTAGAATCTCTCTACTTCAGTGAGTTTAAGTTCCATAACTTCAGAAAAAAGAACTCATTCCAGCTTACCTGAAATCGTCCCCAACAATTTTTCCATTCATCCAAAGAAGTACAATAGAAGAATACATAAACTCATCGGTTGCGATACAGTATGGCACAAATTGGGAAAGTGCGAATGATGATTTGTCTAATCATTATTTATCCAAGAATGCGTCAGAAAACGATTATCCGTATTTCATGTGGCAGCGTTCGTTGGTATAGCTTTCATAACTTGAAGTTTGTTGTTTGACGATTTCTTTCAGATTGACTCCAACATGGTATTCGATATGCCAATCCTTCGTGAAGCCCGGGCGAGATCGTTAGTTTCTCCCAATCTTTATCTCTACCACTTCCCCTACTTCAATCCAGCTGAATTCGATGAAACCTTTCCAGTCAAAGCCACATATCATTGTCAAGAATTTCCGTACATCTGGGGTGTCTACAAAGACAATTATTTTGAATTCAATGACGATGATCGGGTGGTTTCTTCCTTCCTGATCACTTCGCTGACTAATTTCATATTGACAGGGTTCGTTTCTTCTGAAACTCGCTCTATTCGATGCTTGAGTGTTCCAGGAATCCCTCCACATCTAATTTCACTTGGAAACTTTATGATTCTAATGTGACACATACTGTAATCCAACCAACTCCTATCACTGGACAGAGTATGTTAGTAATACTTTTCAGTCATCAAAAACTAAATTTTCAGATCTTTTCCAGTCTGATTTCAACTTCTGGGAGTCCATGGCTGCCCGTTTTCAGTTTGATCTCATCACGGGCCTTCCTGTTGGAAACATTGAAACCACAACCAGTTCAACCTCACCAATCTCTGTTACTCTACTTTTACTTTCTGTATTCATAATTGCACTAGCATAATTTAGAAAATTCACGAACTTTATCGGCGAGATCCGGATAATAAACAGATGTTATTACAAAAAAATAGCAGAAAAGGACTACTAAATTCTTGATAGAGGGATGGAAAAGTGTAGACAGGAGAAGAGTGAACAAGGATGATTAATTAAATTAAAAGATTACAGTGGCTTTGTTTGTAATAAAATTTGGTTCAGTTGTCGCCGTTGTCCATTGGTGATGCGCTACGCGAGCGTCTTGGTGATCCTTTCTCGGATGGAGAGCGTGAGCGCCGGGCGGGTGAAGCTGAGCGATCCTTTCTTGGGGATTTCGATGGAGAGCGCGACTTTCTGAAAAGAGAGTTTTGAAAACTGGTTTTGACATGCGGGTCGCTTTTACCTTCCATCAGCACTACGAGAGCGGCTTCTGCTGCGAGACTTGGACTCGCGCTTGGCGCGTTTCACTGGAGAACGGCTACGGCTTTTCGAGCGGCTTGAACTGCGAGAACGAGAGCGACGACGATCACGGCTGCGAGAACGGCTACGCGAGTGGCTGCGTGATCTAGAACGACCGCTTCCAGCTTGCGAGTCGTCGACCATTTTGATTTTTCGGCCATTCAAATCCATGCCGTCGCATTTATCGATACATCTCTTGAGATCCGATGGTGTTGCAAAGCAAAGAAGTCTGTAACGCCAATTTAGGTTATTCATATGGATGGTAAACTTACGCCTCGTTTGGACGTTTGTGAGCCTCAGCATAAGTTGGCTCCACTCCTTGACGACGAACTTGATCTTTGAGATCCTGGAAAAAACAGAATGAGTCGGAGTCTTTGTTGTCAAACAAATGGAAGTCGAGAAGTAGGGTTAAGAAAAACGTGCCGGAAAAGCGCACATATTGGAATACCACAAGGAATCCTTCCATATTTGAAAACACGGAAACCTCCGAATCAGCCTAACCACGCGAACGTCAAAACCCGAGATCACATCCCAGCGAGCAGGACCAAAAAAACAGGAGCCAAGTACTGAGACACTACGCGGTAGAAGACCATAAAACAGTTTGCGGTTTTGTACAGCGCTCCGACCATCATCAGACAGGCTCGGGATCAAATGTTACCAAATCACAAGCACCATCATCATCAACACCATGATCCTCCAGTTATCATACAATCTTCATCTGCTTAAATATAAATGATTAGGAAAATATTCCTCCCATTGGCAGTTTGTGATGACGAGCTTCGTTTTGGTTGCAATTTTCGGATTATCAAACTACTTGCTTCACTTACCTGCCAAGAAATGCGGGAAGAGAGATTCTCGACAAGGACGCGATGACGAGTGCTGTATGGACGACCATAACGACTGAAAACAAAATTGAACAATTTTAACAAGCGACGAAGTAGAGCTCACCTTTCTCTTCTTGGTGGTCCACGATCGTAGCGGTCGAAACGGTCACGACCTCCACCGCCGCTGTAAGAGCTGACACGTCCTCCTCCGCGACGATCTCCATATCCACCACCGCTTCCTCCTCCTCCTCGTGGCTTCGAGTAGTCCAGAATGACACGATCACCACCGAGTTCTTTTCCGTTCAAGTCATGAACTGCATCTTCAGCATCACGCTTGTCGTCGAACTCCTGAATCACCGAATGTCGTTAGCGATGAGAGCACGATTGCAACTTACAACAAATCCGAATCCATTCTTCAGCAGGACATCGCGAATTTGTCCGTATCCGCGGAAAAAGTGCTCGATGTCCTTCTCCGAAACGCGAGAAGTTAAGCGACCAATGTATATACGAGCAGCCATGCTGGAATAACTTTTATAACGAAAGTAGCAGATAGCATTGAAAAAAAAGGACATGAGTTGTTTAAAGGTGGGGGGACATGAAAAAATAATGTTCTCGGAATTTCGTTTAAATATGCCCCTCGAGGAGTTGAACTTGTTGGGGCGATGATTGAGGGTGCGGCGCCGCTACCGACTGAGCTACACGGGCAAAAAAAGAAAGCGGTCGCCCGATTGCATACATAAAGGCGAGGACGACAGCTGTACGCAGAGTGACATTAAGCGTTGTACACCGTCACGGTAGAATGTATACTCTGGCCCCAAAAATCCCGCGTAAAATCTCCTGTCCCCCACCTTTAAGAGAACAATCGATAGGGAAGAGGTGTGGGGATGCGCGTAGCGTTCTGTTGGTGTGAGTCGCGGTTTTGCGTGCCCGGTAGCCATGGAAACAAGACGCTTATCTTCCTCGAGAACAATGCGATAACTAACTTTTTCTCATTGAAGGTGTTTCAATGTTTGAATCTGACCTACTCCCCCGCGCCGGCGAAACTTAACGCCAGCGATACAAATATGGAGATTTTTACATTATAAACACGAGAGTTTCTGAGAAGAAAATTCGGTGAAAATCAATGACTCGACAAATTTAGTTTGCTTTCCGCTTGTTGGTCCTAAAACTAGGTGTTTTTTTCGGATAAACAGTCAAAACTCTATTCTCTATAGCTAAGAAATACTGCACAAAACTTTTATGCAAATAAAATCAATAGAAAAACAGAGAGTGGGCACGAAAACAAGTTAAAAATCGAATAATTCGGTGCTCGCGATGATGCGATAGCAGGCGCAACGCAGCCGCGACGCGCACAACAGCATACAAACAATCGATCGTGTCAAAGTGCCTTTTCCCAAAGAGGTGCATTCGTTCAATCGTCTCCAATTTCTGTGGAGTCTTGTATTTTCGCCTTTTCCAGCAATATTTTCTATCGATTTCTGTAACCCCTTCTCTAATCATATTTCTATTCTATCTCTATAGCCAGATTCCAGAAGTTATCCCAACATGGTCCGCGTCTACATCGGACGTCTGCCGAATCGGGCCACAGATCGGGACGTTGAACATTTTTTCCGTGGATATGGAAAGTTGTCCGACGTCATCATGAAGAACGGCTTTGGATTTGTGGTAAGTTTCTAACCCATGTAACGCCGTTCTAGTAAATATGTTTCAGGACTTCCAAGAACAACGAGATGCTGACGACGCTGTTCATGATTTGAACGGCAAGGACCTCTGTGGAGAGCGCGTCATTTTAGAATTCCCCCGTCGTAAAGTTGGTTACAACGAAGAACGTAGTGGAGGTGGATTCCGGGGACGGGAACCGACTTTCAGAAGAGGTGGAGAGCGCCAATTCTCCAACCGCTACAGCCGCCCATGCTCCACAAGATTCCGTCTTGTCATTGACAACTTGTCGACTCGCTACAGCTGGCAGGTAAGAATATTAGAAGCGCTCTGAGATAAATTCATAATCAATGCGTGTTTGAGTGTGTTTGCAAAACTAACGACCTACTACCCCAGTCCAAATTCAACTGAAAAAGTCTTGAATTTTTTTTTCAACTGAAATTTCTGAACGCTGCAGCAGCAAGTCAGTGGGTCTGCCATTTGCCAATACAATTTGCAATCCAATTGCACACAACCAATTTCCTGTGCCGCAATCAATGGCGTTCTTCTTCTTCCTATCAATTTGGCCCTTCTCCACAAACAGCCAATACCCTGTACCTGAATTTTAGGACATCAAAGACCACATCCGCAAGCTGGGAATCGAGCCGACCTACTCCGAAGCACACAAGAGAAATGTCAATCAAGCGTATGATAAGTTTCAGGATACATTCTCACAGCAGATTTTTCAGACTTGTATGCTTCAGCACACACGACGATTTGCGGGATGCAATGAACAAGCTTCAAGGAGAAGAGTTGAATGGGCGCAAGCTCAAATGTACCGATGAAACTCGTGACCGTAGTCGTTCAAGAAGCCCTCGCCGTCGTTCTCGTTCTAGAAGCGGATCGAGAAGTCGCTCTCCACCACCACGCCGTCGTAGCCCGAGCTCTGGCAGATCGAAGAGCCGTAGTGCGTCGCCAAAGAAACGCTCGGAGAAGCGTGCACGCAGCGAGAGTCGCAGCCGTTCTCGTTCTGGAGGAAGGTGAGAGTCAGTTCTACATTTCAGAGCTCATTTGGAGTGATTTTTTACAGACGCTCTCGAACCAATTCGCCACCAAATCGTTCTCCATCTCCAAAGAAAAGACGCGACCGTTCTTCTCCCCGCTCCGGATCTGCTTCTCCATAACTTCCCCCTAACATTTCAATGTCATGTGAAATTCCCTGTTCTATTTTCCGTCTATCCTAATCTCAAATGTCAGTAACTCTATAAGATGTCTAATTCATGTAGCCAAGATTGCTAATATCCAAAATCTTCATTTATCCCTCATAATTAATTTAATAACTCGTAATTATTAGATGGGACAAATAAATATACTGATGTTGATTCCATCAATCCAACTCGCTCAGTGTAAAATGTTCAGCACAATTTTTGCTGTTCTTGCTAGTTGGGAAGAACGGGCAACTCGTGCTGGGACAATGTAATCCAACAGATGGGTCACTCAGATTCACACTAGTTTGTTTGAATCCAACCTGAAAGGAGTTATTTAAAAAAGGCGAATTATGAGAGATGAAATTACCGGTTGAACGATGGTGTTCCAGAGATGCATTCCAATGTTTCCATGTCCGTAAGCAGAGAAGTGGAAACAATCTGGAGCAAAAAATGTCATGTCGACGACACCAGGGCTCTAAAAAGAAAATGTTTTAAAATACGTTTCTTACCATACTCACTGAATATGGAGGATCAAGAATGCCATTGAAAAACGGTTGAACAACGAAAGTGAAATCGTCTTTGTTATCGAACATTCCGGTATTCTGAATATCCTTTTCACCGTCCTAAAACCGTTAAAAATGTTTTTTTTCCCCGAAGAAATTCGCTTTTCATACCATGTATCCGAAGCAAACTCCTTGAATATCGTCATCTGTAAACTTCTGATTGGATTCACAATCACATTCGAATCTGAAAAAATTCACTTCTAGATTAGATTCCAAAGGATGTAACCAACGTATGAAGTCCCTCGCAAAAATACTTCTTCTTATCAATTTTACGCAGCATTCTCATATTAAACATTCCAGTCAACGAGACTATAGTTCTGTAATTCCAGATGTGATTTCCAGATGTGTGTACCCAATATCATTACCTTGGCAAGTTATCTTGGAGAATTTTCACAGCGGTGATGATATTATTCTCAAAAGTTGTCTTTCCATGTGGAGCTGTTGAGTTGAAAAACGGATCCTCACAGTATACACAAATGTCGTTAGCTCCAATAAAAATGTTAACCAACTTCCAGTCTTCTTTGACATTGATCTGAAAAATTTTGTTTTTTTCAGTATTTAAAAAACACGAAGAAAACCTCCGAATGAGAATGCATTGTGCTCACAAGAGTTCTAGCTTGTCCAATAATATCTTTGGATTCGGCACCCGATACTCCCATATTAAGATGAGCAACTTCCCAAACATTTTCCGATCCAATTCCCTTCGACGCTCCAACCAAGTTAGGATTGAACTTTCTTAGCACATCTGGAACAATTTTTTATTTACGAAACATCGTATCAAAAAACAACTCACTGGCAACTGTAATATGCTCATCAAGACTTTTATCACCTCCAATTTGAAACGCAAGTCCTCTGTACTGTAGAATAACAGCAAGTGGGTCACCTGGAGGAGCTCCTGCTCCATTTGCTGCTGTCAATGAATCTCCAAGTGCTCCAATTACCTTAATGTCCGCAAATCGAACACTGTGTGCACTGGTTGGCACTTTTTTACTTTTCGCCATCACACTGGCATCACATGACCAGTTTGGTGCACCCAGATCTTTCAGACCATATGCAACTGAGCATAGGAAGAGTACGGTGGATACTGAAAGTGTATTTAAACTATTTTTTTTTTGAAAAGTAAATAAATCTCACCCAACCACCGCATGATTCTTGTCTGAAACTGGCAGTGAAGATGATAATTGCACACAGAGGAGACACCTTTTTTCCTACTCTTATCATCAATCAGTTATCAGTAAAGAATGTGCTTTCAATGTTGTATCCGGGCTTGTTTAAACTATTCATTTCGTATGTACATTCATTTATTTAATCGAACAGAATTAATTAGTGGGTGTTGTGATTTATGTTATCAGTGACGCAAAAAAAACAAGTACCAAAATTATCCTCCAGTCGGTGCCTGTGCTCCTAGAACTCCGATTCCACTGTTGACTCCAACCAGTGATTTTCGTGGAGCATATTGTGGAAGTTTAATGAAACCAAGCTGAAAAAATCGATTGGAAATTACTTTTTGGATGATTTATAGAATTTTTAAGCTGACAATTTCCTACTGTGTTATCATAATTCTGTTATCTGCCAAGTTCCGTGAACAAACCATTTACTGTAGGCTACAACTTCGAGTTTTTAGGACGAGGGACCTAGAAATTTCAGTTTTTCCAATAGGTCACTATGAGGGATCAAAAATTATCCGGAATGAGATCCTTCAAAACTTACTAAAAATTGTAAGAACGTTTATTATGAGACATATACTAGTAATTGGAAGTTAGGGGGGGGGGGGGTTATTCTAGGTAAGGTTACAGGGTATTTCTCCATGCTTTAAAACCGGGACCTTGAGGAACCTTCGCGGTCCCTGGGATACAGTCAATATTTTTAGACCAACTAAATTAGGTATAATACAAAACAATGAATACTATAAAATCATATTATGAGTAAAACGGTATCTTCTCTATGAACAAAGCTTTAAGCCATAAACTCGCTGATCCGAGTCGGGCCTCTAATTTAGTTGTTTCAAAAATATTGATTTTAAAAAACTATGAGAGGGACCGCGCAGGTCCTCCAAGAGCCCAATTTACAAGTATTATTCTCTTCACCTGTTTTCAACCCTAATGTTTAATTTATTTTTTTTGCCTTTCCCTTGCCGGAAAGTGAACTTCAAAGATCCTCTGGTGTTCCTTACCCTAACAGCTTGTATATACTTCAACGCTTTTCCTGACACAATCAAATCCTTATTCCCATCATAGTCGTTCAGCGATATTTGTTCTCCCTGAAACAAAAAAGATACACTCTTCCTTTTTTTCCGTCCATCATCATTTCTCTTTTTTCTCTTCCAAGACAATCAAAGAGAAGGAAAAGAGAGAAGCGCAGCACCGTACGAAAACATAAACATTTGATAGTTTGGGAACGGAGGGTATGCAAATCGTCTTCAAAACGGCCGCACAGTTCTTTTTGCAGTTCGTTGCTTTTTTTCGCGAGAGAGGCAGTTTTTGTCAACGTGGAACTAAGAATCAAAGCTCCGCCCCCTATTCCTCCGAATCAGTTCTATGAAAAGGGGCTCTATATCATTCATTCGTCCATCAACACCTCCTCCTCCTCCCTCTTCTCTCCTCTCTGAAATGGCCCACAACTAATATTGCTTGTACACACAGTGGAAATACACAGCGGGATCCCTTTTGAGGCGTCATGTCCCTCTCTATTACTATTATTATTATTACAAAATCATATGCATATACAGGCCCCATTATTAGTCGTGGCCCCATTCACTCCTCCACTCAATCAGCTAGGGATTATGAAAAATCAAGAGACGCCGAGATCGTTGGGCCACTGTAGCAATCGAATTGGATTGTGTGTGCACAGCTTCCAGCACGATATTTCTATATTTCTCTGCGCCACACTCCACACTCTCTCGCTGCCGTATAAAAAGATTGAGTGGGAAGCAGTGAAGTCAGTATTCCATTTTTGATTCCTATTCCTATTCCAACCGAGGTCTCTCCCAGTTATAAGTAGTAGTGCCGCAGGTAACCGCTTCCAGAAAATTGGTTTACCTACTGCCTTCTGCTTAGAATTGGGATTTTGATGACCGTCTATAATAATAATAATGGTTTACCTGTCTTGGAAATATAGTTTCAGTGAATGGAGGAAGACCTCCAGCAGGCCCAGATTCGCCGAGACCAACATTGACACCAGTTCCAACAGACACCGGATCGTTTCCAGGAACGCCGACGCCCACACCAAATCCGACACCTGTAATAAGAGGTATAAGATCTGCCTCGTGGCTGGAAGTGATTCATTGTAGGATTCAGAATTCGTTTATGATGCCATTTTATTATTGAATGAATTTCCATAAAACACCCGTTCAAAAAAAACCGGCTTCAGTGAACTATCAGAAAAAAAAACAGATCATTAGATTTGTAACGGCCGAAAACTGTATTTGAAACGAAGAAGTCGGCTATTCGGCATGGTTATGTTGGCATAAATTCTGAAAAACAGATTTCAATAACACACCAATGGTTCCAACATCTTTCAAAAGTCCATTATGCTTTGGGTCTGGTGGTAAATCAGTTGTGGTTATTCCCGATTGGGCATCTCTGACTGCAGATCTCAAATCTTCCGCTGGATCTACAGTAGTAGTTGGCAGTTCTGGAGCAGGTCTAGGTCTCGAAGCGATTCTATCATTCAGCGCTTGCCGATCATTTTTCTGTTCTTGGGCATTTTCTTCTTCGTCGAATCCCCACGTGTTTTCTTGATTGAATTCTTGTGGGCGATGCTGACGATAATGATGATGGTGTTGACTTCGTTTTTGAGAATGCTCTCGTTCTTCTCTGTTGGGTTTTTGAATTATTCAGATTAATAAAGATATTGAAATTGACTTACAGTCCCGCATTACTCGAGAACGGATCCGGTCGATCGTCCAATCCAAACGGAAAAGGATCTCGTGGAGTACATTCTATAAAAGTGTATTTTAATAACCCTGAAAACAAAATGGGTCGATACCTACAACCAAGATAATAAAGAAAAGCATATAGATTTTATTCATGATTATATAAAGAAATAGGTAGAGATATACATACAATTATGTGAGAGAAAAAGGAAAATGGCGGAGAGTATTTAGTGTAATAAGAGTGTAACATGATAGAGGTAGGCTGAACAAAAAACAAGATATGACAAAAATAAAAAAAATGCCAGTGATGATTTGAGTTTAATGAAGAAAAAAAACTTTCAGGATTATAGGAAGCGGGCATTCTTCCTCGTTTTGAAAATCTTTGCAACAAAACGTAGAACACTGGAGTGAAGATTTTTTCAGACTTTCAGGAATACTTGTGAAATGGTCGTAATACCTGCGAGTTTGGATAAAAATTGATTTCAAATTCTCGTCCATCTAACACTTTTGTTAAAACTGTTGAAAACCTTTTTGAAGAATTGAATGATATTCGGACGCTTCGGGGAAAAATGTAAAAATGGGTTATAAAGAATCAACAATATTTTTTTGTTGATATATGTGGGAAAATTATGGAAGATAACAAAGGTTTCGAAAGTGTACTGATTAGCCAGACCAGAAAGTCTGTTGATCCCTTTCGCCACGTAGAGGCTCAGTACATGAAAGGGAAATAAGGTTTATTTGCCAATGGGATTACCTTCTAAAACCCATAAACCCATAGGAGGCGGGGGGAGAGGTCCCCCACATCCTAACAAAAATAAAAAACAAGAAGTCACCCGAAAAACCCCTCTTTTCGGAGAACATTGTCGGTTAACTTTCATAAGCTCCTTCTTCCTGACAAGAAGCCACATTGCATACCGCTTTTCATTGTTGTCTCAATTTTTTTAATCTTCGATAAAATTTCTTGCAACTGGGGGACGTTCAGTGAAAACACCTAGCCATGAACCCCAAAACATGGCGACCCTTAGGGCCTTTTAGTACTTTTTTCACATCGGACCAATCGACAGAAAAAAGCAAAAGAAACAACAAAGAGCAGCGTAATGCAAGAAGCTTCTTACCAGAGAAAAAAGTGCCTGTGAAAATTATCCAACAATAAAATTTAAAGAGTTTGATTTTACAAAGAACTGATTTTTTTCCAATACGTGGAATTTTTCAACATGGACAGAAGGAAGGGACGTCAACTAACATTAAAAGATTTGTTTATTTATTGCGTTACGTGAAAAAGGAAATACAATTGTTTGAAAAGCATGAAAATTATATGTAATTTGACCTTAAAAAAAAGATAAATCAAAAAATGAGAAGCTGAACTACGAACACTAAAATAAATAGGTTGAATCGCCCCGACCGCTCACCAGCCAGCTATTAGTGTTGTTGGAAATGAAAAAGTTTCGTACTTTATCACTGGAAAATTTTCCGGCAACTCCACAATTTAACAGAAGTTTGTTGAAACACTTTTTTTGACAAAAATTTTGCTCAATTTTTGCGGAAATTGGTAGATGTTCACGAACTTTCTACTAGAATTCACAGATTTCTTAAATGAAATTTTTTGGAAAAAATGTCCGGAAAAATAGAAGGGCTCCCTCTAACTGAAGGCCCCTTCAATAGAAGTGCTCTCCGGTTGTACCTTGGAACTAATCTATCACAGGTTTTACGGTATGAATAAATTAGTTTCAAAAATAGTTCCAGAAAAAATTTATTTAAATGTTCCACCACTTTTGAAAAGATACTCTAAAATGAATGTTGTGACTATTGTGCACTTCTCAATTGTATAAAAACTTCACTCTACCATAGACTCACCGACAAATACACTATTTATTTTACAACAAAACAATGAGCTAACATTGTTATCATTCTCAACTGAAACCGCCCACATGTGCAACTTATTTTCTGTTTAAAAATTGATTCGTACTCTACGAATACTTCCAACTCCGTCTATTACATCATCTACTTTTTTTTGTCTCCCACATTCCAGCAGCCAACAGAAAATGATTGGAAATTGATAGTGCACCACCATTTCCTTTTCGCTCCATTGTGCACACTCGAGCTGATAAGACGAAAATTGAAAACCAAAAAAGTTTGTCTTCGGTTTTCAGTCTTCAGTCCTGGAGCACTTTTACCTTTTCTTGACCGGTTCGAAGCTTACTTTCAGCTGATTTCAAGGATTTAAAACTTTTTTGTATCCAGTTTTTATTGCATTGTTGGTACCCCAATTTTGGTTTGAATTAAAAAATTCCAGGGCGACTAAAACCTAAAAAAACTCCAAAAAATGGGTTCCATCTACCGATCGGAGCACATGAAATTGTGCCAAATCTTCTTCCAATCCGAATCCGCCTATCAATGTGTCGCCGAACTTGGAGAGCTAGGAATGGCTCAATTTATTGACTTGAACGAGGAACAGAACTCGTACCAGAGAAAGTTTGTGAATGAAGTTAGAAGATGTGAAGAGATGGATAGAAAGATTAGTGAGTTATTCTATTCTTAGTTATTTTTTCATCTGAATTATTTTTAGCGTTCGTTGAGGATGAAATCAACAAAGATCTGGTGCCAATCCCAGACTACAATGACCATATCCCAGCTCCTCAACCAAAACACATGGGAGAAATGGAAGCCAACTTGGAGAAACTCGAAGAAGAACTTCTTCAAATCAACAAGAACACGAAAACTCTCAAGACCAACCATATTCAATTGCTTGAGATGAAAGCTGTCTTGGAGCATGTTACGTCTTTGATGGACCATCAGAGCAAGAGAGAAGCAGCAATGTCCATCTCCGAAGCTGCTCGCGGAGAGGCTGGGCCATTTAGTGTCGGATTGAAGCAAGAGTTTGATAAGCCAGTCAGAGATGAAAATGAGCTTAAGTAAGTCTTGACAGTTTTGAAATCGCTATGAAAACCCGAAATTTAGATTCGTCACCGGAGTCATCAAACGTGCCAAGAGTATTGCCTTTGAGCGTTTCCTCTGGAGACTCTCCCGTGCTAAAGTGTTCGCCAAGTTTGTTCAAATCCAAGAGAAAACTGACCTCTTTTCTCATGAATATGAAGACAAATGCGTTTTCATTCTCTTCTTCTCCGGAGAACAACTTCGTTCCAAAGTCAAGAAGATCTGTGACGGATTCCAAGCCAAGTGCTACACAGTTCCAGAGAATCCAGCCGAGAGAACCAAACTCTTGAATAACATTAAGATCCAAGCCAATGATATGAAAGCTGTTATTGAGAAGACTTTGGATTATCGTGCAAAGTGTATTCATACCGCAGCTGGAAACTTGAGAAAATGGGGAATTATGCTTTTGAAGGTCAAGTCAATCTTCCATACTCTCAACATGTTCTCCGTTGATGTCACTCAAAAATGTTTGATTGCTGAATGCTGGGTACCAGAAGCTGATATTGCTCAAGTGAAGAACTCTCTCCACATGGGAACCATCCACTCTGGATCTTCAGTTCCAGCTATTCTCAATGAAATGGAAACTGAGAAATATCCACCAACCTACTTCAAACTCAACAAATTCACTCAAGGATTCCAAAATATTGTTGATGCTTACGGAATCGCCAGTTACAGAGAAGTCAACCCAGCTCCATGGACTATCATATCTTTCCCATTCCTTTTCGCCGTCATGTTCGGAGATGCTGGGCACGGAATTATCATGTTGCTGGCTGCTGCTGGGTTCGTAATTTTTGAAAAGAAGCTTATATCGATGAAAATCAAGGATGAGATCTTTAATACTTTCTTCGGAGGTCGATATGTTGTATTGCTCATGGGAATGTTCGCCATTTACACTGGATTAATCTACAACGACTTCTATTCCAAATCCATCAACATGTTCGGATCCAGCTGGACAAACCCATACCCAAAGTCTCTTCTAGAGCAAATGGACAAACAAGGAGCTGAATCTAAAACCGAGCTCTCTTTGACATTCCCACCAGAAAACGCTTTCGATCACGGATATGGACCTTATCCATTCGGAGTTGATCCAGTCTGGAATCTGGCTACCAACAGATTGAACTTCTTGAATCCAATGAAAATGAAAACATCTATTCTCCTTGGTATTTCTCAAATGGCCTTTGGAATTCTCCTTTCTCTCATGAATCATATGTTAGTTAACATTTAAAAATCAAATGCATAAAAATTTATTTTTCAGCGGAAATCGATCCGTCGTCGACATTATCTTCGTTTTCATTCCACAATGCCTGTTCCTCGGTTGTATTTTCGTCTACCTCTGTTTGCAAGTCATCATGAAGTGGATATTTTTCTATGTCAAACCAGCCATCATCTTCGGAAAGTTCTATCCAGGATCCAATTGTGCCCCGTCTCTTCTCATTGGTCTTATCAACATGTTCATGGTTAAGAGCAGAGATGTAAGCAAAATAAACTTTTTGAGTAGTCCATTATTAATTCGTTTCAGCCAACATTCGCATTCGATATCAATAACGGAAAAGGAAAATACAACGCCACTTTGGACGACGGAACCAAATACACCTACACCGACTACGATCAATGTTATCTTCAACAATGGTATCCAAACCAATCTCTCGTTGAGATTATTCTTCTTTTGATTGCCGTCGTTTCTGTGCCTGTTATGCTTCTTGTAAAGCCATTCTATATCCGTTGGAGACATAGCCGCGGACTTCCAGTCGATTTGGGACATGGACCAGAAGATGAACATGGAGAGTTCAACTTTGGAGATGTCATGGTCCATCAAGCAATTCACACCATTGAATTCGTCCTCGGATGTGTTTCCCACACTGCTTCATATCTCCGTCTTTGGGCTCTTTCTCTTGCTCACGCTCGTTAGTTTTCAACCCTGAAAACAATGATCCCAAAATTTTCACTTCCAGAGCTTTCCGATGTTTTGTGGACCATGGTGCTTCGTATGTCTTTGAAAATGGGAGGATGGGGAGGATCTGCTGCGGTCACTATAATTTTCTACTTCATTTTCTCGATTCTCTCCGTGTGTATTCTGATTCTTATGGAGGGTCTTTCCGCTTTCCTTCACGCAATTCGTCTTCATTGGGTCGAGTTCCAATCGAAATTCTACGGCGGAACTGGAATTCAATTCGAGCCATTTAGTTTCACTAAGATCATTCGTGTTTACGAAGGACTTGATCAGTGATTTTGAAAACATTGTTGTATTTTTTTTTTGATATTCGGACCGCGTTTAGGTGGTAATAAATTTGTAATTTTGTGTGATAGCCTGTTTTTGCAATATGATAGAGTTGTTCTAAAAAATGTAGTGCCGGCAACAGTAATTCATTTGAAACAAAAAACAGTTTATAATTGATAAAGAAATCTCCCTCTCATGATGAGATTTAATTCAGAAAGCAAGTTTTTGGGCGTCGCCGGTAACTTCTATTCAGAGATCGGTCAGCTTCCGGAAAAGACCGTTACTAAAGCCGACCAAACTCCTACATCTGACCATGTCTACAGCCGCTCTACAGCCGTTTTTGAGCAAGCTCCGACCAGGACCTGGCCAACGTCCGTCCAAAAGCCGATAACGGTTATTAACGGGTTTTAAAATGAAGCTAGAACGATAAAATTTCCAACTGCTGTTGGAAGAATTCCTAACCTTTTGAGTGGTGCTGTACTCACTAGGGAACTATCTGAGCGGGAATTCAAGTTACAATTCATGACCTATATCATTAGAAAGCCCATAAAATTCTGATTCGGAATTAGTTTTCTTTTTTTGCGAAACGGCGGTGAGCTT